TACTGTTTTATATTAATTATGTAGACTAAATATTTTATAGAGAAAACTATAATATATATAATAATATAATTTTTTAAGCTTACATCATCCAGAATTGTTTTAACAGCTTCCTCGGTACGGCCAGACACAGTTACAAGTCTAGGTAAATTGTCTGGCTTCATGATCTTATCTATCGGATTCGATTTTAACAATACGTGACAGTTTGCACCACCAAATCCGAAAGAACTTATACCTACATAACCACCATTCCATGGTGTAGGTTCAGTAACAATTTTTATTCTACCTTCAATAATAGCAGAAAGATTGCTTCGCGGTGATTTGTAGTGCAGAGTTGCTGGAATCTTACCAGTTTCCATTGCTATCAGTACCTTCAACAGTTATAAGTATATGTATTATTTATTTTCATGTTTACAGCAGAGTTTTCCTTGACTCAACTTTTTGGAACTGAGTTATTCCTCTGAGTTTTGTCAAAGACGTATACGTAAGAGAGGCTCTGCTGCACTTTTACAGTTATATTTTAAATATATTCTTATACATATGATTGCTCATTTCAAATAATCTATTTTGTCAAAAATAATTTTACAATAAAGTTTTAAATTGACAAATGATAGGTAATTTTTTAGATTAACTGCTTCATATATTGACATATTTATACTCATTCGACGCGATTTTTTGAGAAACAAAAACAATCTGGCACAGAGACAATGCGTCGCTCTGTTTCGCGAAGCAAGTAAATTATTAATGAAAATGCGGAGCTTGAAGAGCTTTTTAAAAATTCAAATGTAATTCAAATTAACTGTAGCAATACATGAGATTTACTTTAAACACTCAAGCTTTTTAAAACGTCAATCTGTTTTTATTCTATCATACATTTAAAGAGCAATAAAAACGGACTAAAGCGCTAAGCACACAATCCCCGATAGCTAAATGATAGCAGTATACCAGCAGTATGTACGCAGGTTTTATTGAAGTAACATTTAGCAAAATAGATTATTTATTATAGCTAATCATGTATATATCAACATACTTTTGCTATTTGACATATACCACTGGCAGGTTCCGAATGTCCAAGATTTGATTTTATTGAGCCAACCAATAAAGGATTATTTCTGTTTTTACAGAAAACTTGATCAATAGCATTAATTTCTACTGGATCACCTACTTGAGTACCAGTTCCATGAGCCTCAATATATAATATTTCAGAAGGTGCAATTTTGCATTCCTCATAAACTTCTTCTAGCACAGCCTTTTGCATATCAAAAGATGGATATGTGATACCTTCTTTTTTGAAACCATCGCAATTAGATTTAATATTAACACACGTGGCATAAATTCTTCTTGCATCTTTTGCTTTCTGCAAAAACAGCACAGCAATCGTATCACTGCGCATGTAACCATCGCCTTTTTCATCAAAAGGTCTGCAGCGACCGTCAGGAGATAATACTCCTAAAATTATTTAATTATTAATAGTTTATTTATTTTACGGATATGTTATTTCTCATATATGCATATTCAATGCTTAGTATTCCACATTATTGACATAAATACTAGCTGCCATTGAATCATACGCGACGGAACAAATAAACTCTCTTTTGGGTCTCTCTTACTTCTGTGCTAGTTCTTTCCAGCTGACCACGATTATTTATCATCCGCGTATGATAAATGAAAGGCGGCCGACTAGAAGAAACTGACGCAGTAAAACCAAAAGAAAACTAAAAAAATTTTATTTCTCTCATTGCGCACAATTTAATGACGGCAGCTGTACTTATTTTTGTGATAAATTAAAAAACAATATAATATAATGTTAATTATTATCATTTAAAAAGAACTATACCAAGACGAAAGAATTGATGTGTCATGTAAGGATGTAAACACAGATTGGCACCAGCTACAATGGCCGCATTACAGTCTCCGTTTTGTATCCTTGTATACGCATGGGCTAAAGCGAAAAGACTTGAACTACAAGCTGTATCTGCAACATATGATGGTCCAAAAATATCTAACCAAGAAGAAATCTTGTTTGCCATCCAAAATTTGGCTGATAAATGTACATGTTCCATTATCTAGAATTATATAAATATATATATATACATATATACGGAATGAATTATAAATATATACATGTACATTTAGTTTGTATGATGTGCGTCATTTACATTCAATTTAGATTTGAAACTATTTTCATTTGAGTTGATGTTACATTTTTTTTCGATAAATAAATTGCCATAATTCAATGCCCGAAATTTACATTTTCTTTAACCAGATTCTTAACGGATATGTAACGTCTTTTTGGTTTTTTTCATTCATTCATATGTACCTTAATTGCTTTTTCGCGAAGTTAACGCGCTTCTAAAAGCAGTACCGCTCCGGCGCGTTCTTTCTCACCGATTGTGAAACGGGACCATTTTTAAGCAGTAAAGTGACAGCAACGGGCGTGAAATTCGGCTAGACTCTCTAAGAATCTAGCCAAAAGTGCAAATAATTTCGAGTGTTGAATTATAATTACATACACGCACATACACTTATCCCTGATACAAAAACATTTATGAAATTATGTGATAAAATCTTGCATGAAAATTGTGATTTGTAATTATGTAGATATATTTTGAGAAATAAATGTAAAAATATTGATTTTTTATAAAATATTTGTAACTTTTGCAAAATTACTTTTTAAATACTATTTTGGCAAAAGAATAACAATATGGCAACTTATCTTAACAGTATGTTTCCAAACTTAAATTTAAAAAGAAATTGTTCAATAATTGAGAAAACAAATTTCAGCTATGTAATGTTTAAAACTTGTAGAAATATAATTGCGTAAATGCAGAAATCAAATTATTTTATGTACATACTTACTGGAAATGCATAACAAGACTCTTTTCTAATTTTTGACAAATAATATTTCGAAAATTTTATTTTGACAAAACTATTGCGTTATGGCGAATCATTTTAGTGCAATCATTGAAAAATTGTCGTCATTCATGACGCCATTTTTGTGCAATATTTTTACAATTTGCTTATTAGGGATATAATATATTTTATGTATCACTCTTTAAGTGTTAAAATAATAAATAAATATTTTTTGCAATTTTATTAATTATATTAAAGAAAGTTTTATACCGATTTAGAGGTATAGTTAGTGTACGCTAACGCATCAAATGTCGTGGAATCACATGCACCTACAAATACTCCAGTATTTGTACCACGTAATTCTTCAGGATTAACTCCAGCATCTACAATTGCTTCATAAGTGTGTTCCAGTAACATTCTAGTCATAGGATCTAGTATCTCTGCTTCGATAAAAGAAATGTCGAAGTATTGTGCGTCAAACTTGTTTATGTTATTGATCTTGCCGAATTTAGAAGGCATGTCAAATTCAGCTGCCAAAATTCAGAAAACATCAGTACCTATTATTGCGCCATATTTCGAATCGCGTTGTCAAATAGTCTCAGAAACCGACATTCATGTACTGTGTTTGGTAATGCAAAACGGAGGCAATGTAGTGCTCTTTTACCTCAGAAATTTGTGTATTCGACTGCGATTGGATGCAAGTTTTAATTTTTTATTATTTGCGTTCGACTTCCGACGTCTCTGATTTCCAATACCAAAGCCATACAATCAAATCTTATATTTAAGATCGTCTTAACTTCAAATAAATTTTGTAAACTACTAAAACGGTCTATCTTAAAATGAACTCGAAACAATTTTAAATATAAGATTCGATTGTGAATGTCGGTTTAAATATTTTCAAGTTAAATCATATAGTTAATGCGCAGAGCTACAATGTATACGATACTGCAGTTATGTATGCAAATGACTTATTGTTAGTATAAAACAACGACGACTGTATTCTGTCTACATCTATATTATAATATCTTTAAACTGCGTAGCTTTTTTTGTATGTATTCTCTAGATTGTGTGTAACAAAATCCATGAAGTCTTTAATATTTCGTTTTAACAAGAAAAAAAACCGTTTCTGATCAGCTATCTAATTGGAACGTGAAATGTGTAAATTCTTATGTTTTACGCTCTTATGACATAATAGAATACATATTATGCAGCAATTACTCCGGTATCTTTGCGCGCACACGCACATACGCACTCACAGTTTTATCTTACCAGCATTCCATCTTTCATTGTCTTCCGATGAGAGATCAATTTCATTAAAAAGATTCTCCTGAAAATGTTTCATATTATCAGATTTAGGAAATCGTCCAGCAATACCAGAGATAACAATTTCCTCGTTTATATTATGTGAAGTAAATTGTTTGCTGCTGTCCATATCTTCCTTTTTTGCTGTCGACATTATTATACATCAAATACATCTAATCATAAAAAACATTAATATTTAATTATTCCAAAAACAAATAATCACAAACAATGATTTTTTTACTTTCCCAATTTATATAAATGATTTTTTTTGTAAACACTTATAACTAGTAGATTATATCAAATGTTTTGAACATAAACAATATTATGTAAGAAAAACAATGACTTTTAAAAATTGTGTAATTGTTAGTTCCAATGCGCGAGCAAGTATTTACTCTCTTCACACGCACAATCACTGTGTGACACCTAATTCCGTCTTATTTGAGTCAACTTATCTCAAACGCTTATTTTTTATAAAACAGATTATATTTATATGCTATGGTACACTGACGAATTAAATAAGTTTAGAAAAAAAGTTTTTTTTGTAATATTTCTCTCTTACGAGTAAGACAAAATTGCGATCAGAGAAGTTTCAATGAAATAATTGAAAATAAAACTAAGAAAAATCTATTTCTATGTCTAATTGTAAAAAAATGCTCGAAAATAAATACCACATGCCATGTTTTTATTAAATACTACTTTGTACAGACAATTAAAACGATAATAGCAACTTATATTATATCGCCACTTTTTACGTATAATCCCGTAACTCCAAAACGCAAATTTTAGAGGAGAGCAGTTTAAAAGTTTGAAGCTTCATATAGTTTCCCTAGTTAAGGGATCTTTCGGTTTTAAATTTTTACCTTATTTATGAATATTTTTTTTTAATACTGGGTGACCACAAAGAACATGATTTTCTGAATGTCACTATGCAATAAACTGAAAATCCCATATGTGACACTTATGTAATTATACGTAGGGAGTGACGATATATGGAGTACGTTATGAAATCGAAACAGGTAAGATCTATTGTATACTTTTGATGACAGAAAATTAGAAAAGTAAAAAACAGGTGAAAAGAAATTGACACTAGCAAATACTATTTATTTTCTCAGGGAGTAACTTTTGTGTTTCTGCAACGATGCACCAAAAAAAATGCAACTGTATTTTTATTTTAAATAGAACACACCTTTTACTTTTTTTTTATATAAGAATATTTTACGTAAAAAATATTGAGATAAGATGACCAAATAAGTAGTTCGTGACATATATTTCAAATGTTTATCTTCAAATGTTTAAACTTTATTAGAAAAGATCTTCGAACATTTGTTGAATATAAGTTTTACATGCTAAAATGCAAAAGGTTGCCTCAGAAGAATATTGCGGACGATGTTTGTAAACACTGAATATCACCAAAACAAAGCAATACTCTGTATTGTGGCAAGTTTTTGTTTTATACATATTGCATATAATAATTCCAATCTTGCAAAATAATATTTCTGCACCACTCTAGCAATATTCCGTGCTACATGTGCAATAAAGAATTTTTTTGAAAAGTGTTTGTAACTATCGTAAAATAAAATTACAATCTGTAAAATATATATCTGTGTTTTACAATAGATACTTACTTAATTATTTTATAGTTTTTGTGTTTAATTGTTATTAAAGAACACAAGCACAAAACAACATAAATAACACAAATATATGGAACGTCTGTCACATTCGATACTACGGCAACTATTTTTTCGTTTTTCTTTTATATAGTCTATCTTTCTACATCCATATCATACACGTACATTTACATAGTGCATAAATAAATACATAACGCATACACAGTAAAGTTTGAAGCACAAACTTTTCCATAAGACATAAGAAAATCAACCAATCCAGTCTTCTATTTTTATTCCTACTTTTTGTTCTAGAAGACTTTGATTGGTTGATTCTCTTAAGTCTTATGCGTTATGCATTCTGCAAAAGTCTGTGCTTCGGCCTTAGATTATTGAAGTATACGTAAACTTTCAAGTCACTGTTAAAACTTTTACATATAATTAGTAATATAAAGTTAGTAATTTTAAAATAAGGTAAGTATATCTTTAAACTTGAATATTACGTTGCTTAATGTTTTTCTGTTTTTATAATTGTAATAATATATTATGTGGTTATGGTATGTGTGTGTTATGTTGTATTTATGTATTATGAGTATTAAGAATATTTCAAACTTTTTTTAAAGTGTACATTCGCATGTAGAAAGAATGAACGAATATAATCTATACAGTTTTATAGTATTTTTAATATAATTTATAATATTGTTTTTGTGATACATGGAAAATGCAGTAGTACGCCGGCTTTTACACATAAATTGCGGTAAGAATAAACGTAAGACATGTCGTAAGAATTGACCAATTACAATTGTTTATAGTCGAAAATAGCACCATAATTCGAAAATTCGTAATATGACTAATTCTTACGGTATGTCTTACGTTACGGCTATGGCGACTTATATGCAATGGCTCTTACAGAAATCAGTTTTTGTTAGTTATATGCGATCACAAATCGAATTTGTGCAAAATATTGTTCATTAATAAACTACAAGTAAGTTGTAACAATTCTAAAGCAACACGCATTTAAACATGATTTAATGATTAAATGATTAACTTCTTATCTTATATGATACTGTCATATGTCTCATGATACGATCTTGTACTATTTTCATTATTAGTTTCTTAAATATAGTTTGTTTTATAAAAAAAAAATTTTATATGATTAATTGTTGTTAAGTACGCGTAAATAGCGCGTAAGCAACTTTATTGTTATTTACGCGTTAATAACTCGTAAGAGACTTTATTACTGACTGCCACGCGACTTTATTACGTCACAAATTAAATTAAGAAGTTAAGAATAAGAATTACGCAAAAAATTGATCGCGAATCTCGAGATTACGTGTCTAGAGCTCGAAATCAGCTTAATATTTTTACTATGGGACGTTTTGAGCAAGAAGTTTGATTCCGATACTATTGCCGGACTAAGGATTACACGCCTTACCAGAGTAAATTATATGTATATGATATGCTATTTCGTAATTGCATAAAACTTGTATTTGCATGTGACCTATAATCAAACGACAGTAAACGTGCAAACAACATGTCTCGATAAAATGTGTTAACAATTTCTTACTCTCATAGTGTACACTTGACTTTCTTAGAAAATTTTGACGCAGTTGTATTAAATAAAATATATAACATTTTTTAAATAACATATTGAGAATTGTAAAAGCCATACAAGACATTATACAAGACGCAAGATTAATCACTTACACACTGTATATAAAATAAATATAAATCATTTTTTTGTTTTATTTTTACGATCGCGAGCTATTTTCATCGTTACAATAAACTTTACATACAAGTATTGCATTTTTAGTAAATATTATTTCTTAAGCTTATTTTTTATTATGCTTGTACAAAGGTCTTGTTTTGTTGGACTTGAAACTTACCGCATTTCTGAATATACAGGGTGTTTGAAAAAGTTTGATAAGACCATTATGCGAAATTAGATGGATAGATTACGATTATCAATTAATGTAATCAGAACATCATTTATTCTTTTGCAAAATTTGCAATATTTATTAAATTCCGACAATTTAAAAGCTTGTAAAAAGTTACAACCAAGTATTAAGGTCGATACGAGCTACTATGTGCGGATGTACGTAATACAGTGCTTCTCAATTTTTTTATTTCTAAAAAAACACTTGGATCTTATTGCTCTAATAAAAACACAGGTCCAGTTACGATAATTACGACATAAACTAAGATAATTTAATTATTCTAACTCGTGAAACAGTTAAAATAATTCTTCTCTTATGACATCTCCGAAAAGAAATTGAACCATTTATAACGTTTTCTTTATTTATTTTTGTAAACAATCTAAATAGCGCACATATGCGTCTCTCGGCATATAACGTTTAGTACACGGAAAAAAAATAGTTCTACCACAGCTAATTACGGTTTGCTGAAAGTGAATTTGCTGCAGTAGCTATAAAATTTCCTATTACATAGAAACAGTTTGCTGATATTCCTAAATATGTCGACACAATTAGCTGTGATAGAACTATTTTTTTCCGTGTACGGATGACGCATACGGATAACGCACGTGTCTCCAGGCGCGTTACGTACATGTATATATTTAGATAAAGTATAATATTTATGTATAATATTTAGCCTTTTGCACTCGAGAAGCAACTCTCAGTCGTCATTTAATTTGATACAGCAGAAATCTTTGAGTTACTCTAAAAGAATTACTTTCTAAATTTTATAGTATATCGCACAACACATATCAGTATATAACATCTGCGAATGTTGCTTGACTTTTTGAAAACCATTTGCGTTACGCGCACGCTATTGTTATTTTTATTTAACGTGTTGTCAGTGAACACAACCTGTCACCGCGATGACAGATAGTATATACGTCTTATAAACCATATAATACACATATGAGAAATGTCAGAAATAACGCATGAAAATCAAACTCAAAAAATAGTGACAGAGAGAAGTGGAAAAACAACACGTGACTAAAGTCACGTGACAGGGAAAAGGGTAAAAAAGAGAAGATTATATATATTATATGTAATATTCTATATCTATATATAATACACACACATACGCATATATGTATATATATATACGTAATCACGTGACCGAAGTCAGTAACACCGTCGCAGTTGCGCGACCGAGGTCAGTGACCCCCCTCCCCACCAAGGCCGCGCGGCCAAGGTCAGTGACCCCGCCAAGGCTGCGCAGCCGAGGTCAGTGACCCCGCCAAGGCCGCGCGGCCGAGGTCAGTGACCTTACGGTAGTATGTATATAATATATATAATATATAATATAAAGTATAACAATCAAGATCAATAGAATTGATTCTGATTATTTGCACATGCTTTTTCTGATAGGATAGACATATAATAGTTTTGCGTTTTTGCAGGCGTGTGAACACAGCGACGATAGACCACCGTCCGTATTGACATATCTTCGCTCTCCTGGGCTGAAACAGCCTAGCGGGCTAATGTTCTTAATTCAGATAAACCCCTACGGCTGATGATGAAGCAAACGTGAAAGACCTACCGAACCTTCGCACCGTTTATTCCCGAACTGCGCAACTAGCGCAACAAAAAATTTTGACACGACCACTCGCACGCCGACGTACGCAAGACGTTCGTCATAAGTTATAAGGACAGTAGCGCAATCTACATGGCTGCAAATTTACGCAAAAACTTATGTTGATTGGCTATTCTCTGGAGAATTTTATTTTTACTAGCCGAGTCTTTTCGTCGCATACGTAAAAATCGCAATAAAATTTTAAGTAAATTAGAATTCAGCCAATTGCAAGACAGTCTTAAGTTTAGTGAATTTTGTTCTGATTGGTCAAATTGCAATTTAAATTTCAAACTTCAATTCAAAGTCTGATACGGGAATTTTAGAGCTAATATATTTTTGATTAAGTTAATCTGCTGATTACATTAATCGGAAATAAAAATGGTTCTTGGGAGAGGTTTCAGTTGATTGGGTTGATTGCAACAATTGCGAACATAAAACAATATTTGCTATATAACTATCAAAAACATTTGTTTCTCGTTATACATATATACAGACGGCGTCAAAAATTCTAGGATTAGTCGCGGGGATCGGTGGGCAAGCGGGGCGGTTGCTCGTAGCGTCAGCAAGCTCCGTACGAACTAAATAGTAGCAATTGGTTGTTCGCAACTACGTCGTGTCGATAAAATGTAACTATTCTTCTTTTCAATTTTCTTCTCAAAACGTATTGGCCATTTACTAAATATCTAACGTTAACAAATAACATGTATGTGTATATATGTGTGTAATAAATAAAATTATAATTTTGATGTGTGTAAAGCTTCAACAATTTAAAAAATATTTAACAGAACAATGGCTCTTAGAAGCAGACACAGATGTAGAGATGCAAATTTTAATTTTCTTTATTATAAAAGTAAAAGTAGAACGTTTTCGACTGTGGTTTAGGTCATTTTCAATACATATATATACATACATGTTATTTGTTAACGTTAGATATTTATAGCGATTTCGGCTGGTCTGCACCGGTGTGCCACCTGTGTAGAGTTGGTGCAATTGTGTGCAACACCGCATCGGTATGTGTACTGATTACACTAACTGGCTCCGACTAATTTGTGAGAGCCACTTTGTGTACACCCAACATNCACCTATGCGGTGTACTGAGCTCANACGAATACGCGGAACCAGCAAAGAACTGCTGCCATTCGACCAGCCGAACACACAATTTGCACCGACACCCGAAATGTGCAGTCGGTGCAAACCAGCCGAAATTGCTATTAGTAAATGGCCAATACGTTTTGAGAAGAAAATTGAAAAGAAGAATAGTTACATTATCGACACGACGTAGTTGCGAACAACCAATTGCTACTATTTAGTTCGTACGGCGCTCGCTGACGCTACGAGCAACCGCCCCGCTTGCCCTCCGATCCCCGCGCCTACTCCGCGAATTTTTGACGCCGTCTGTACATATCACACATCACATATATAAATATCACATATCACATATATTACATATATACATCATTCCTTGTTACACTGCTTCTCAACGTAATCAGCAGCCAGTTGAGTGATACGGTTTACAGCCTCGGGTGAACCGTACTTCTCTTCGAAATTGATATATTTCTTGAATAGAGTTTTCATCTTTCTGGCTGGAAGTGTCAGAGCACACGCTCGTTCCAACACTTTCCTGTAAACATGAATAACACATTTGCCACGCGGAATGATATTGATTAACTTGATTTGCATGTGAATTGTACAATCTATACCTTGCCATATCAATGTTTTCGGATTTTATCAAACTATCGATGTAACACGACCACACATCAACACGTTTAGGATACGACGTTAGGATGTTCTCGAATAACGTTTGCGCTCGTTCCTTTTCCCCAAACTTGTTCTCCAGATTCGCGAATCTCACTATCAAATTTACATCTGCAATCGAATGAATAAAGTCAAGAACGATAACTCAAACAATACAAATCAAAATTAATTTTAAAAATATCATATTAATAAAATAATGTACTTACGTTGAGACGCGGGCAAGGATTGTAGAGCTCGTTGCATAATATGTCGCGATTTTTTTATCTGACCGATTTTGAGTAACGCGGCACCACAATTTACCCACATTTGAAAATCCTGTTTGAACTTGCCGATTATGGTGTTGATTAATTTCTCCAACTCGGCAAGTCTGCCAGCATCCACGTGCACAGTTAGCATGTACGTGTATACCTCTGACGCGTCATTTGTTCTCACAGCTTCCTGAAAAACGTCGTTGAGAGATTCGGGAGTGCCAAAAGTAGATTCGAGATTCAACCACGCGTTCCATATACTGAGTCGTTCCTTTTCTTCTCGAAAATTGATCGTTTTAATGGCTCGCTTTGCTACCGCTCTCGCTTTGTCAATTTCTGTAGCTTGCAGATGATGTGCCATGTACTGCAACCAATTCAAAGAATTGTTCGGACTCGATAAAACTAATCTCTCGAATTGGTCAACGGAGTTGGGCACTTGATTGCTCGCTAAAGCTTCCTCCCGCTGACGAATCTCACGTTCTTTCTGTCGTTCCTGTTCCCGACGCTCCGAAGCGCTCAGCTTCTTTTTCTTTTGTTTTGGTTCTTCTACAGGCTTTTCCTCCTCATCGCTAGATGTTTCAATAGCAGAAACAGCATTACGTGTTGTATCTTCCCAACAAAATCCAACTTCCGGAATGTGTGTCTTCTTCTCATCAGAAACAGATGTTTCTTTTATTAATATATTTGGTTCCTTTGTTTTGATTTTGTTTTTTTTCTTGACTTTATTTTTCATTTTATCACACAACTAGAACAAAAATAAAAATAATGCGTATGTTATTTACTTGTCAATATGTATATTATTAATTATAAAGAATTATATATATTATATACATACATCTACAGGTGTTTTTCTTTTTCGTGAAGAACTTTCTAATGTCATCTGAAAGAAATTTCAATATCAGTAAGTGCTTTTAACATTGTATACATAGCTGGAGTTTGCACTACATTAACCATGTTCAGCAGACTGAGCAGATCAGTGAGTGTTTAGTGATTCTTCAATATGATTAGTTTCTACACTTAGATCCAGGGAAGATCTAAAGGCAAGATTCAATCGTATTAAAGAATCACTAAGCGATCACTGATCTGATCAGTCTGCTGAACGTGGCCATTATCTCTTCTATATACACTCGCTTACATGTTTTTATACATGTGACATTTATAGGTTAGATTAGATATGAAATATTAAAAAACGTAAAGACATATCGTTTATATCTTAAGTTTGTTTAATTTGATGATAAATATAAAGAAAGAAATTATATTATAATTATATACTTAATTAATTTTTACAATTTATCTTGATATTTTATATCGTCTTATACGAAGTTGAAAATTCTAGATAAAATCTTCGAACTTTTGTACAAAAACTTGATCAATTGGCTAATTTGACCCGCGTTCACGTCTTACCGTTGTAATGTTCGATTAATTGAATAAATTCCGGTAATTGCTATTATCTAATTGCCAAGGATGGCTTGTGTAAAATTCTTGCTCGAATACCGTATTTAATCATAAACGTCTCTTCAAACGCGGAGTTTGAATATAACGACCACGTGCACAAGGTTTGGTTTGGTGCGCTTGTGGCTCTTGGACCTATAACGGTTAGTCCATACGCCATTCTATGACTGATTTGTGTTTGGTGGGAGAGCGGTAGCTTTCCACCAGACGGCGCACACTCATTAGATAAAGTGTGCTTGAGGAATGTCTGACTGTTTTGGTTTAGGCAGGAACCACGTGCACAAGCGTGATCGCTCTGACTACACAATTGCTCCGTTAATTAATAGGAGATTGCGAATAACTGCACTCGCTCTGTATCATTAGAATACTAAATATATTATGTAACCGTATATATATATATATGCAAGTTTTACAAATAAACGACACACTTGATTTACAATAAACGATTTAATACTACATACGCTGCTTTTCGACTCGACTCTCAGACGACGGTTTGACTGCTCTGTACGGGTTGGTACGGCTTCACAAAGGAAAGTGTCTGGTTGCCTCGACGCAGGCGGATATGTTCGATCTTGTTTGAACATACTCGAACAATTTTCGGAGCACCGTCGTCCACGTGTTTCCGCTTTCAGTTCGAAAAGCGTCCGCCAGAGTGCATGAACGGCCGGTATACTCGGAGCTGGCGCGCTCTCGCGGCTGCCATCTTACACCATGGTGTCGTCTTACGCATAGACGTATAATATATAGATTGCGCGTTTGGCTGAAAAGATGTCTTCAACGTTGAGAGAGACAACATACTTTGAATAGTAACTCTTTCTCTGTCTATCATTTACCTCACTACTTTGCTAGACAAAGATGAGGCTACTATTCAACACCAGCTGTCTCTCTCTCAACGTTGAAGACATCTTCTTAACATGGCAAAGGTAGGGAACGCGCAGTCTATATATTATACGTCTATGGGTACCCTAAGCAATCTCAGAAACTCTGGCCAATGCCTAAATCGTGCAGGGGCAGTTGCCATATTAGCAATCTCAGAAACTCTTATGGACCTGGCCGCTCTCAGTCTTTTATCTGGTTTTCATTAAACATAGCATACGTATCGACAAATCGCTCGTGAATATGACTACACAGTTGACAATGTACACACTGTTGGACAGCCTACCGTTAGCTAACAGGGCGGAAAAATCGATAACGCAGGTTGTGACAGAAAAATGATAACGGGAACTCGCGAGCCTTCAAAGTCATGTAACAGCGTATTAAATTATATTTGCGCCTTTGATGTTTACGTTTGAGTTTTATATTCCGTAACTGTGATGTTACATATCAGTGTAATTTAACTGATAAGTTGCGTTAGCTGAAGCTTATTTGTAGCCACAAGAAAAAGAAGGGTAATAATTTATCGATACTAACGTATACACGGACCAGTGACGCCTCAGGAAACCTAATTAAAAACATATACGTCTATATACACATATATTTGTTATATATATATATATATATAATTGAAAATACAGACGTTTCGCATTACCGGCGATACAATCGTATCGATAGCGGAGAACTGAACCTATTTTCTGGATCCGTGTGCTTCATCGGTGCACGTGCTAAAGATCAAACGATTTCACAATGTGTCAAAAAATGTCGCCTATCAATTGCTGCGTCGTTTAACACCCCGAAAACACTTGTTATCTCTTATGGAATTTCGTAAGCACGTATTCCAACAAATTTTTCTTCTGAAATCGCCGAAAATAAAGACTTGTTTTTACATATGTATATTTTCGTTGATATAAATAGCAATTGTGATTGGATATTCGCAGGATGTAAACAAATTAAATCTTTGTTTTATTGTTGTTAATACTATTGCTCTGGATCAATCGTGTATGAGATATATCGCCAGTTTTTAAAATCTGTCGATATCGAATCAATAATGAATTCTTGCAAAAAGAACAATGAGAATGCTTTGGCAAAAGTTCTGGATCTGTTTCTTCTGCCGGACTACAACATCATCTCGACAACTTATCTAGATCATTTGCTAAGCCATATTGCGGAGAACACAAAAGAATGTAAGAAAAATATAGAAAAACATAGTTTAGTTTATTTTCTCTTTTGTACATAAAAGTGTTCAATTAAAATGTTCAAAGGTTCTACAGTTGATTACGAATATTGCGAGGTCTTCCAAAAATGGATACCAAAAGCTTTAGGAGTATGGGAATGTGGACAGAAGGCTTCTCAGCCTGTGGTGGCGTTTACACTGAAACTTGTGGGCATTATCTCGCGCCATGAACTACGCTATCATTACTGGCAGTGTCAAGATGTGTATAACAGATTGTGTACAATTTTGCAATTGCGTAGAGATGACTTACCAGCATCTTGTAAAATGGCGTATACAACAATGCTATCCGACTTGATAGCTCATAGAAGTGGCAGACAATGGGTGATAACATCTGGTAAAGCATTTGCACAATTTTAACAATGTTTTTTTGTATTTTGTGTGTGTCTAACACATTTGTGTTATATTTTTTATTTTAATACAACAGGTGTGTGGAAAGATGTTATGAAAGGTGCACAAAGTAATCACACAATATATGTTACGAGAGAGAGCCAGAAATTTCTTTGCACACTGCTGCTTCACGAGCACAAAAATATCGAGGCCTGCAAGGAGATTATTCTGGCAATTGCCGCTCCCTTAATGAACAACACAGTGAACTCGCAAGTGCAAACCACTCGAGAGGACATTTATTTGGAACAAAACAAACTGCTGTGCTCCACTCTGGACCTGCTGATCAGCATTCTGGAGAATACGTTATTTGCGAATCTGGACAACAACATTCCTGTGATGCTTGAGGAACTTGTCGGCCTCGAGTTGCGAGTAAAAGCGATATTTCAAGCCTGCATCAGCACCAAATTTTTGCAGCCTGTGCACAAGTTGGTGTTGCTGTCGTTATTCACGAAATTGAAGCAGGGTATCAAAGAAGACACTAATGTATTGGACAAAGATGCGTTTCAACAGTTTTCCCATGGTCTATGCTACATCTCTATGATGTTACTGTCGAAGAAATATATCATAGAGCTGGTGAGAAACAACAAGTACGGAATGGTGTACTGGAAGAAGCTGCTCGCGTTGCGGGAATTCGTTTTGCTAGAACAGCACAAATACGAGCATCAAGCCATCGCGCTAATGGCAAGTTTACCGTTATTTATTGTATTGTATATAGGCGTTTGCATAGTATAATAAATATTAAAAATTAACTTTAATCTCGATTTGTTAACAGATATTGCCATTGTGCATGTGTATAAAAAAGAATCATCTGAATCACGATCTTTTCGATATGTTCTGTAATAAAATTTTTGACGTAACGTCCACGCCTGTGCAAAGACTGGCTTACTACATGAGAGACACTATACGGAAAGAAGATCTTCCGATGGAACAGATTTGCAAAGTGTCTATTGATCTTCTTCTTGAAATAACCGACATAATGGATAGAGTAAGTAAATTATTAAAACTACATACATTACACAAAAAATATTTTTTTATTATGTTAAATTTGTTTACTTGGCTCTTCGATTTTTTTCAGGATGTAGCGGTGATCACTTTTCAAGCTTTGTGTCATGTTCTGAAGAGTTATATGCCTGCCAGCATGTGTGGGGGAGAAACGAAGAATCGCGCATCGTCAGACACGAGCAACAATTCGTCGGAACACCAGCGAAAGTTCGGGTATAAGTCGATACTGGAGGGTGATCCGTTAGTCGACTATCCCGTTCTGCTGGCCTCGCTGCTCGACGGATTGGCTGTCATGACAGAGAAGTTTAAACTGAAATGGCAGGAATGCGTGGAGACGATATGCGTGTTATCGCTCGCACAAGAGATTCTCAATCATTCTGGGATTTTGCCAACGGTAAAAAAGAAAAAAAAAACTTTTATTAACGTTCTTAGAAATTTTCGACGTAATAATTGTTCAAAATTTAATTCGTCGAAATTCTAAGTTTGAACTTCTTAACGTTCTATTACTCTTCTGAGAAAACTCAAAAGTATAAAAAAAAAATAAAATCCTCGATTTCGTAGATTTGCGTGAAAGCGTTGAAGCTGTGCAAGCTCGCCATTCATAACTTCATGCCGCCGAATTTGGCGCTACTCGTGGATTCCGATAGCAACATGAACGAGATAGGACCTACACTTTACAAGAGGCTACACGATCCTAACTGGGAAGTGAGAGACAGCGTTCTCGAAGTTCTCAACACGATCGCAACCATTTCCGAAGACAGTAAGCGAATTTTTAACATAAAAATATGATATACACACGTAATTAATTTCTACGTCTCGCAATTTAGCTAAAACCGATGTAATGTATAGAAATAAAAACAACAACGTGCTATATCTTTTCACAGAATATCCGGCTTTCCAAGACTTACTGTTGGTCGATCAATTTCCGAAGGTAACGCTCGAAATTGCCAAAATGGATGGCGAGAGTTACGTGCGATCGTCAGCGTTAACGTTCATCGCCACTATTGTGCGCATCAATAAAATATGGGAGCAGCAGTTATCGCAGATGGATTTAACCGTGCGTGTACTTATTTTGCACTTTGCTTTTCTTAGATATCGTTGAAGGAGATATCTATGTGAATTGATGTGTGATTTACAGGAAACGGCGATACATATAATCGAGAACGAGAGCGAGGCAATAGTCAGAAGAGAAGCTGTGAACTTAATCAAAGAGTTATACGTTCATCGGAAGTGGTCGTATGTGGATAATTTTTATAATAAATAATTTTGAAATCTCTAATAAGTAAATTATTATGTATATATATATATGTAGAAAAATATAAGTAATTAATTCGATTCGCAGGAAAGAAATAATCGATTCGATGCTGCGAGCGATGTCCGTAGCGGCCGTGTTTGATCTTCACTGGGAAGTGAAGACGAACGCGTTGTCTTTTTGGGATCACTTCGTTAAATCACATTTGACAGATCAGGGCATGCTCGACGACTCATTTCCAAACGTGACTTTTTCCAAGGAACATAGAAAGATTGTTGCGTTGAACGAAACGGAGATAAAACGAAGATTGAATAAAGCGCTCGATGAACTTGCGAGACAAAATTGTCTAGGCGTAAGTATTTATTTTATTAGGATTATCAAATAACAGATTGAATAATTTAATTTGAGATAATTACGTACAATAAACAATAATCCGAGCGATATTTCTTTGCTTTTAGGTACTTTTGGTCACTCTGAAGGACGACAGTGACTTCGAGGTGTGCAAAACGTCCGCCGCTATTATCAAAAAATTAAAATCCTGCTTGCTTAAGTACAAATTGGACGAACCACTATCGCCGGCGGAGAACAACGCTACGATAGACACTGTTTATGTTAAGGAGACACCGGCAGTTTCTTCACCTGATGTTAGCAAAAAACTGCCTAGCGCTCCTGACGTTATCGAGGAGATCGTCGATGCGAACGACGCCAACTTGTTAGCGACCATCTACGAGAACTCCATGAATGTAGACGAGACACCGAATGAGGAAGCAAAGAAGATGCTGACGTACATCTCGTCCGTAACGCGGCAGGAGTTTCTCCGCGCGATCTTCAATTGCGACATCGACGCTTTCATCGAGGAGAAGAATCGCTGGCTGAAAACGTACACCAGCAGTTTCGACTCGATCCTCGACGACATATTGACGCTGTACGAGAAGAAAGACGTCAACTCGATGGATTGCTACTAAAGTTACAATTTTCCAAAGCAATGTTGTATATGTTTCAAGTGTAATTTTTACGTGTAATTTCAATTCTTTTTTTTTTTTATGTTGCAAAGTCACCGAAAGGTGACGTGTAAATTGTATAAACACAACTAGAATATACACAGGGTTGATAACATATATATTTTGTTTTTTCGCGCGCGGGTACGAAAGCCCGATCTCTGCCTTTTTCAAAGTGGGAAAAAAAAATCTGTCTCCGTCATCAACTGGGAGTAGTAATATAATTTGTATTAATGATTTATCCTGCGCGATTATGACGTGGAAGACTGTCCCTCGTAGTTTTTGTTTTGCAAGCCCGCTAAATTAGCCTTTGTTCTCGGCTGTGCAATTATTTTAGTCTGCGGCTCCCGTGACCTAGCCATCTATTTTTATATCTACACCCCGAGAAAAACTGACTCTTGAGACAGACTGATCTGATAAATTCAACGGCAATTAATTGATTAAATTATTTTGTTTATAGTCGAGTTTTTCATAATTTTATACAAATATCAATATCTTTTTTGGACGGTAAGAAGAGCGCCTTCCCTCTTTACGCATTCCTGCGAAGAGAGCAAATTTTTTTCACTTTCTTTCTGACAGACATTGATGTGAATCGCAATAATAATTGTGGGGATTTTTAACGCGGTCGGTTGTATCGAAATGGACGAAGAACTACGCAAATAAGGTAAGATGGTGCAATTTTATTAGAACAGAACATATGGAATCAGATAAAATTTAATAAATTTATAAATTAAATTTATTTATATTTGCTTGTATACATTTTTTAGATTAAAAAAAAATTTTTTTTTATTTAGAATTACTTTGCATTTTACATAAATTTTGTGTAAACGATAATTAATACCATTTTGTTTTTCCCAGGCAGTGCTGACTTCGATGACAAAATTTTTGTCGTGCGTGCGCGCGCAGAATGTGTCATTTCTGGCATCACTGAAATCACCAGTAATCACCGCGCGCGCGATGATTGCACGTCGTCACTGCGTCAGTAACGCGCGAACTTTCGCACTGTTTCGTTGCGAGAATCGCGACGAGCGATCGAGAGGATAAATAGAGAGAAAGAAAAAACACGCCGAGTAAACAAGATCAAACTTATAAAAATGACATGAGGAATCAACTCTGAGTAGTAAATCGGACGTTCGCAACAAAGTCGAGATCGACAAGCGCACAAAATCAGAAAAAGATTGATTTAGAAATGTCTCGCTTTCGGGATTCACCGAGATTCGCGGATCGGTTGCGCGACATGTCCGACGACGAGATGATGCAGGAAATAAAGCAGAGATTCAACGAGGACAGTGACAAATTCTTCGAGCCAAGATTTTCGAGACGAGATCGTTTCGAGCGGCCCTTCCTGCATTTTCCGAGAGTGAGTAAATTAATATTCGCAACGTGTTCGAATTTGTGTTGTTTTTTGTTTTTTTATTTTTTAGCGCGCGCATGTTTGGAATAACCAATCGCGTTCGAATGCAAATGTCCAGGCGCTTATTCGGTAAAACTTTTTTTCTTTCCCTTTTATTCGCGTTTCGATGAAGGAGAGAGGAAGAAATTCATATTCTTCAGGATTAATATTATTATTCTTTGCACCTTTTATCACAGCAAACTTTCGAGCGTATAACATCATAATTTTTTTTTTTTTTTTTTATCTCACGACTTTCTCGTATCTCGGACAAGAATACGTGTAAAAACCACCCAGCGACGCGACGTGATAAACATCGATGCGGATAACACGAAGATAATGGCTCGTGTTTTCGCGCAAAATTTTAAATCGCCGCAACAGACAAATCGCACCGAGACGAGGCCGTCGTCGTCGCGTACTGTGCGCCGAATTTCTTTGTATTTTTAGCGCCCCGCTCTCAATTCCCCGTTCGGCAAAAGACGACGACGACGAAGAAGAAATCATCGAACGCGACGAGGTTTTGTCACGGCTTGCAATTCCCTCATTTCTTTTCACTCCTCTAGACTTTACCGGTTTATTCTCGTCGTCGTCGTCGCGATATTTTCAGATTGTAAAATAACAAAAGCGCGTTCGCGAGTGCTACAAGTACATATTTTCACAACGAAGATACTCACGTTTACGTATACTGCTAGCCAAAAGTTTGAGAGATACACATATAAAATTTTAAAAACATTCAAGTGTAAATATACTATTGTAAAGTCTTAAATTCGCGCGTTATTCAATATTGTTTCTTAATTTGAAAGTAAACGGGCATTAAATTCAACAGTGAGTAAATTAATAAAAATATTTCAAATTTATAACGCTTAAGTTTTTTGTTTTATTTTGCACAGTAGACGTTTTTCATTAACTCAAACTTTTGGCAGTATGTACGTACCACTTGGAGAGATGTGCAAATTCTAGGTCGCGCTCTTCAGAGTTTCTCTTTTCTCAAATTCAAAATATTCTTCGAATAATTATATACCGTTAAAAGATTTCATTATTGATACCTCCGTTCGGAGATGTATATGTTTGATGACGCGCTTTAAATATCTCGCCACTTAAAAAGCCACTTTTCGCGCGCGTCGAGTCATTACTAAAAAAAAAACTGTCAGTTCTATTTATTCACTTGAGCGGACAATGTATATGTTAAGTTTTTAATTATATATATACGTATGTATATATAGTAAATACAAGGGATGATTGATAAGTAGCCCGAAACGGCGCTGTATGGCGACAGAAGCATCATGCTGCTGTTGTTGACACGCGCCATATAAGCTTTACTGTCTTTATTTTCAAAAAAAAAAAAAAAAAAAGTGACAAGTTTCATCTTCCAGAAGAACAACTGTCAAACGCTCATTATTGCACGTAGTTTTTGTATGAGCTCGTTACAGTAGATGCACTTACAATTAGTGATATTTTACGCTTTTTTCTATGATTATTTTAAAAAATATAAAAAAAATATATAATTAAATGCAAAAATATATCTAATACAATATCTAAGAATAATACAATATATCAAACACGCGACGCTTCAACTGTTGCAATGGCCAAAATTTATGAGGCTACGCATTCGTTGCCGCCTCATTCGTCTTATCTGCCAGATAAAATTCCGTCTCGATGCGATTTATTTCCGAATCTAAAACAATGGCTTAATGGTAAAAAATTTTCGAGTAACAATAAAATCCATCGATACCGTAAATATACATTATTTTGAAGAGCTCGAGAAATCGTTCCATCAAAATATAAGTGAGAGAAGCGGTAGTCGAGATATATTTTGTAAAAAACACAGTAGACGGCTACTATTTTGAAAAATAAATACACCTCAGTTTGCAAATTGTTGTTTACTTTTTTGTTTCAGATATTTGTCAATTGTTCCTCGTATTATATTTGTATAATAAAAATGTTCGATATATGTTTTGCAAAAAGTACTAACGTCTTTTTTGGCTTCGATGTTCATTCGATTGAAAGCATCTTTGGTGGACATTTTTGCGAAGATGACTCAATTTTATTATCGGGCTGATCACAAACATTTTTTCTTTATTAGGATAAAAGCCGAGAGAGAGAGAGAGACGCGGCTTTTTCGATCGATGTAGTATTGTGAAAGAAAATATAGCGACGATGTGTGGGGAAACAAACATCGATCGTAGGCCTCTTCCGGATACTCCTCGTACACTTCTGCAGGCCAAAGGTTTATTGCTCCGTTGTTCGTGAATCAGCCTGAGAAAACGAAACAGACGTGCCTAAAAGCACTGGACCCTTCCAAAACGAGTTCCGACGACTTATCGAGGGTTACACGCTATCGATTTCGGCTCACCCCCAAAAACGGCACCTTTCTCTCCTCACCCTTCTCTTTGTCCCGGCTCGAAATTCCCTTAATAAACGCGTTTCAAGTCCTGTGAATCGCGTGTTATCATTTTGATACGATTGCGTGATGCAAAAATGCATCTGTGAATTTGTGAAATTTCCAAAAAATCAATTTTCCAATATTCAATTTCGTATCCTTGATACTCTTCTTGAATCTTTGTGTTCTTTGTTTAATAATATTTGTTTAACGTGATCGAGACAAATGTTCGATGCAACGAGAATCAATAATAACTCGAATTTGACAGAATCGATGACATTCCAGGAAACAATTATCGCAATAGGAAATAATACCGTGCCGTATATTTTGCGCAAAGTGCACTAATTGGTACACTAACAATGCGGAACAGGTGATGTTATGTATATGTAATTGTGCGCACACATATACCGATCGAGAGGCGGAGAAGAGAGGAGAAAAGCATGCCTCGTTACGTAAAACAAATTGTCTGCCGTTTGTGTGTGTGTTTGTGTGCGCGCACACAATCGTGTGTATGTGTGTGCGTGTGTGTGCAATTATCTCCATTTATGCCTTATTATCTCTGATCCGGAAGAAAAGATAAATCGAATGCCCAGAGTGCATAATTTATAAATCGTTCGAAGTTCTCGGAACGTGTAACCCTGGCCGATTCCTCGACCTCTGTGAACTTGACACATTGGAATTTTTACTGAATTACAAAACACTTGCGAACTTTAAATAACGTGTGTTGGTATTGTGTCATTTTTTAAAAACTTGCGCGTCCGTGAATTAATCTCGCGATGCGAAAAATCATCATTCGAGATAAAATATCAATCGCAAATTAATTTATATAATTTAGTTTAAATTTACATTGACGAGGTCATTTGCGCCTTTTCTCTTTGCGGTTTTATTTATTTAGTTTTCTCTATTACAATTTATTATTTTAGAATATCGTTTGCAAGAGATAAGAGAACAATATTGTGTAGAAATTTATTTTTAATCGGTGCGATTAACTGCAAGTCGTTTGCTAATCGTTCCAGTTTACATAGTCTTTCTCTTTCGCAATATATTATTTTTTTAATTTTTATTTGTATAGACATGAGAAGAATTGAATGATGATAGTCGAAATATAAGTACTATAATAAATTAGCTGAAAATACACGAAGAAAGTTTTAACGTGCAATCATCCGCGTTCGAAGACTGTCATATCGGTCTTTTATTTTTCTATATACTCGATTTAATATCTGACAGTCTTATTCTCTTTTATAAAAATCAGGACAATCACATAAAACAACACGTTCCAGCAATATTTTTACTGCAATTTTTTTTTTTTTTTTATCTTACACAAAGCCACTTCTCGGACTTGTATTTCCGATTCCGCAGTGCGCCGTACTTGATCGTGTTTTCTCGATTTAAGAGGAGAAGTTAAAAGCGCGAGAAGGTTCTAGGGGGTTCGAGCGGTTTCTCGGCCGCCTCCGAGGGTCACGTGTCTCGCGGCGGCGCGCGCCACCTACACACGCATAAGCGCGCATTTAAGGTTTGTTCGCGCTCCGCGCTAGTGTCAGTTTTGCTGTAATCCGCGCGAGCGACATTTCACGCGTTTGGTAATCACGGTGTTGCACGTGCGTGCACGTTTCTCGACGGACGACCTTGAAAAAATACACCTGGCTACACGAGTGCAAAAGAGAAAAACGGGCGCAATACGATACGCATTCTGGTGGTGCTTATATAATCAGGCGCGAGGAGGGAACGAAGAAAAGCTGAAGAACGTGTGAGTGCAGAGAGCTATTGCGAGCGAGCGAGCAAGCGAGAGAGAGAGAGAGAGAGAGAGAGTGAGTGTGTACGTATATATGTGTGAGAGAGCGAGAGAGAACGAGAATTAACGCACGATTATCGCAAAAAGATTTCGAGAAGAATCCTGCTCCTTTTGGCAGCTTCTGTCGAGCTGTAGACCGTCACGCGTAAACGAAGTAAAACCGTTTGAGTTCCGCCAATAAGTCTCGAAAAAAAAGTACGATACTCTGGGGAGGGGAGGGGAGAGAAAAGAAACCGAAAAGGGACAAAATCGAGAGAGAGAGAGAGAGAGAGAGAGAGAGAGAAAGAGAGAGGTAGCTGTCCCAAGTGCGAGCGAGAGAGAGTGTGTGTCACGTATCCAAAAACGGACGCGGGCCAACGGGTCCAGAAAATGGACTCGCCTGTCATCGTGGACGCAGCATCCAAATTCGGAGAAGGGATCGATCTGGACCGCTCGTTTCCCGTAAGTGACGTTATTAATCGTTTGTTTTTTTTTCTTTTTCTTTTTTTTTTTTTTTGGTAATTTCTTTTTCGCGCGATGGAAACACCACGTAGATTCTCGAGATGACGAAACGCGACGAAACCGCGTTTTTTTGAGACATCTTGCGCGAGATGTTTCTGGAAACAAAAAAAATGTATCGAGTTTCGCAGAGAATTTTCTCGTGGCGCGAGTTAGAGAAAAATCGAACGACGACGACGACGACGACGACGACGCGATCGACGCGAAACATCGGCGACGTTGAGGCGATCGCCGCACCAAACGAATGTTTTACGTCATCGATTGTGTGCTGCGGCAAAAAATTGGTTGACATCACTACTTTAAGTTCCGTTCGCCGGTGACACATCGATGTCGTAGAGACAAAATCTTTTTTTTTTTTGCTCTCGCACGTACGCAAGATCTCTCCCATGGTATCATATGTTTGCGCACATATATTTCCATGTGTGTCCCACGTATTTTGCTTTAATCGCTTCTCTTTTACGACTATATATGTTGTGTGCCTTCTCCCTCTCTCTCTCTCTTTCTGTATTTCCTCTCCTCGCCCTCCTTTTGCGTTCAAGAATCGCGTGGAAATCAGAAATAGCATTTGCGTGCGCCGTATTTTTCGCGATATAAAACACGTCGTTGAAAAGAAATCGAGATATGTCGCAAGCGAGAGATCGCGATTGTGGGTTACAACTCGAATATCGGTCAATCGCGTTCGCAAACTTTGTCGATAAACGCGTAAAAAAAAACGGTCAATCAAGCGATGATGATGCGTTAATAAAAATTGACGCGCGAAGTTAATTCCGATCGATTTATCGATATTTGTCACGGTTAGTTGTTGAGGAATTGCCGAACGTAATATATATATATATATTGTATACTACAGCGTAGCCGTGACGTCACGGACCCCTATTTTAGACACCTCTCTCAGAAAGCGCCATTATATTACATGATCGATAATCCACTAACCAGAGGATACGACGTCGTTGAAAGGCGCGGCGACGCGGATTTCGCGAATGACGTCACCGTCATAGAGGCGTGTGCTGCACCTTCCTACGCTCTCGCGACGGTTTACTGCGATAGGTCATTGCGAGTATTTCACCCGTAACACGTAATATCGAAAAGCCGCGCGGAATACAGAGGCTACTTTATACGGCTTTTATTACCACTCCGACTCTCTGTTACGCGCGCGCGTCGCAATGACAACATTTTTCTCTCTCTCTCGACGTTCGCCGCGCTCCGGAACGCGCGCGTTCCGTGTGTTCCAGGCGCGATTCCGTGTGTGTGTGTGTGTGTGTGCGTGCGCGACGCGTGGGCGCGCGGGGATTTGCGCGTGCTTCGACGAGAAACTGGAAGGGAGCGGAAAGACGGAGAATCGCGAACAAATGTTTCCTCGTGCAAAATTTATCCGCGATGAGACAACAAAGAAAAAACTGAAAGTATTTTTATTTTATCGAGATTTTTTACTGCAGTAAAAAGAACAGTATGTTCCGAGTCAGCAGCAATCATTTTGACAAATAGATGACGAATTGAACTTTTTGTTTTTTTTTTTTTCAAAATTGATAAGACAATGTCACATTTTTGATTTTTAATTCTGTTCTACACGCGCGCACGCACACACACACACACACACCGCTTGCGCGAAACAGTGCGAATCATTTTTGGTGTTGACAAGCGAAAAGTTAATGCGCGGCAACAACGATGTGAAATTTGCACGCTGGCAACAAGAGCCGGCAACGTCGCGTTGTGCTGAAAATAGGAAAATCGGTTATCGAGAGCGTAGGTGCCACACATATAAACATTCCTCTTTCACTCTTTTACTTGATATTTTTTTTCCTATTTCTCTCTTTCTCTCTCTCTCTCTCTGTTCTCTTTCTCATTTTTCGCACAATTTCTTATAAATAATTTTTATTCGTGTCACTATCGGACTAGAAACGACGGCACGATCTCGATTTTTCTGCGGGAGGAAGACTCATCACCTCGTGCTCGATTTTGTCTCCATCGGTATCATTTATATGATCGGTTGAAATCGGTTTGATTCGATGAAGTATAACATCTTTTGAACTTGATATAAAAAACTTTTGAGTTGTATATTATTAGAATTGTGCTTTTGTGTGTGTGTTTGTGCGTGCGTACGTGCGCGCGCGCGTGAGAGAGAAAGAGAGAGAGAGAGAGAGTAAATCCAGAAACAATTTTTAACGTTTTTTTCTATAATAAAAATATTTTTTAAGAAATTCAAGCATTAAACAATTCTGGAGAAAAATTAGTAATTAATTGTAATTATATATATAATTATGTATACAATTAACATATATGTTATTTATATGTATATAATTTATGTACACAATTGTGTTAGTTTAATTAGTTTAATTACATGTGCCGATTCTGACAATTGCGTGATTTCTGTTTTTTTTTTTTCATATAGGGTTTTTCTTTCGACGACGACGCTGATATCTTTGATCGTCCGCGTAGAGACGGTATTCGTTCTCATCTTGACGATCTTGCGGCGCGTCATCCCGAGCTCGCTGAGCATTTACGTGGTCCGCCCTGGTCGTTTGGCAATTCCTTATTACGTGATCGGCGCCATCGGCGTCGCGACTCTGGTGGCAGCAACAGCGACAACCAACAGCAACAGGGCCAGCAGCATCAGGTAGACGAAGACGCCCGTAGTCAGGCAAGCGGAAGCAGCGCCGCGAGCGGCGCGAGCGCCGTCAGCTCGCGTAGCGGCGACGAGCCGGATTTGACGTCATCGTCAGCGATACCGCAATACGGTCTGCGCAATACAGTGGACATAGGCCAGCAACAGCGGCGCCGTGGCATGGAGATGAGCCCGGAGATGGGTGATCGCGGTCAGCGTTCGATGTCGGCGCCACCGGAGAACCGACAACAACAAGGGCAAAGTGAGCAACAACAATCGCAACCCGGTCAGGGCCAAAGATTTGTGTCTCGAGTGGATATCACTCCGCAGCACAATCAACAGCAGCGCTCCCAATCACCCAGTAAACCATCCAGCAACGTTCGACATATCCCCATCTTTGTGGAAGGTCGTGATGAACCGGTGATGCCGAGGTTCACATCCGACAAAGCGCCGTCGCCGCCTCCCGCGTTTCATCAGCGACAACCGTCGCCGCCATCTTTTCATAGACCGTCTCACTTCAACGACCATTTCACCAGACAGTGGCCGCCTGGTTTTTATGAATCGACTTTCGATCCAGGCTTTGAGTCGAGTTTTAAGCCGATGCGACGGCACCAACAATTCCAACAGCATCAGCAGCCACAGTATCATCAAGAACCTCAATATCAGAAACAGCCTCAGTACTATCAGCATCAACAGCCTCAGCATCGTCAGCAGCAGCAGCAGCAACAGCCTCAGCAGCAGCAACAGCAGCCTCAATATCGCCCGCAGCAACAGCAGAAACAACATACGCAGCAGGAACAGCAGCAGCAGCCGCAACAACAACAACAACAAGAAACGCAGAAACCAAAGCAGGTGGTACCAAAAGATCCCTTGGAGAAAGTTGCCGAAGTACAGAAAGAAGTAGACGATTTGGCGGAACAAGTGCGACGTTATGCCGGTGGCTCTCGACAGGACAAAGAATACATTTATCTAGACGAGATGTTGACACGCGAGTTAATCAAGTTGGACGATATCGAAACAGAGGGCCGGGAGAATGTACGGCAGGCGCGTAAAAACGCTATTAAAACCATACAGGAAACCATAAGTCTGCTAGAGACAAAGGCGCCTCTGCCCGTTCAACAAGATCAGTCTATGGAAGAAGAAAGTGAACGAAAAGAGGAACAGTGCGCTGACAAGATGGAAGAATCTCAGGCATCCGTGATCATGGACGTAGATGCAAAGCAGGAGAACAACGAGCCAATACCGCTCCCGCCAAGCTCGTCCTCAGAGACGAAGGTAAGAGAAACATGTTCCTTATTTCTTTTCTAATATCTTTAGAACTCAATTCTTTTCTTTTTTGGAACAAAAAATTGCTTATTGTGCATGTATTTTTCTTCTTTTGTTTAGGAGAAAACGGAATCTTCGAAAAATGAAACCATGACAACGGAGTCTGAGTCGCAGAATCAGAGTGCCGATTCTGCGGCTCAACAACAGACGACAAACATGGAGGTTGAACAGGAAGTAGAGAAAACAGAAACGAAAGAGCCGGTCGCGCCCACGTCAACGGACGAAGCTGCGAAGCGCGCTGACGAAACAACCGGGGAATCGAAACCGGACGGGGAACAGCAAAAAGACGATGACTCAACGGAAACAACGACGGAGAGCAAGGACGTGACGTTGAAACAACAACCAGAAGAGGCGAAAGACGGAAGCAAGATGGAAGTGGACAACGCGCAGCAGCAGAGCTCGACGGAATCGCCAAAGTCGCAGAAAAAGACGAAGAAAACAAAGAAGAAGCAACAACAGCCGATCTCCGAGCAAGCGATTCCACTGCCACCGCCGTCGGCGGAGAGCGCGAAGTAGAAATGGAACGTTGAGAAAAGATGTCGTATAAGATCGGATTTTCTCCGAACCGTATACGATGAAGTTCGGCAAAGGAAAGTGAAAGAGAAAGAGGAATAGAGAGAGAGAGAGTTACGTGGAGGAATCGTTGAGAGAAGATATTGTTGAGAAATGCCGACGAGAGATTTCGAAGGACATCGGAATATTGTCGTGCCGCGAAGTGGCTTATTTAAAAGCCGTCGAACAGACTTGCGCAACGCAGTCACTGTTTTTTCCTTTTCTATTTTTTTTCCGATGTCTAAACTAGAGTCGAGCTAGTTTGTTTTCGGGCCGAGCAACGAACGAATCCTTCGACCCTACAAGTCACTCGTCGTTGCCTTAGAGAGGAGGCCTTCTCTTTTTTTTATACATACATATATATATATATATAGAACGGAGTAATCACGAGAGTGAAGAATTATAGAACATAACGAGATTTCTCAAAGAAACGAAGAACCGGCCTTGAGTTGAAATTTTATTAAGCAATTAAGTTATTGCATTTGCGCGTGTTCCAATTTGATTTTTTTTTTTTCTTTTGTCAACACTAGAGAAGAGAATCTATGCGAATCTACGCGCAGTCTAGCGAAATTCTGTTTATCGAGTTTTTCGCGTTTGTTTAATTTATTTACTATACAATTTGTTGCGAGCTCATGAATAATTGTGAAGTAAGACGGCGTCTAGTCCATGCGGGATGAATTCGAAATTACGCGCCGATGTCTGTGACGGCAATTCACTAGTAGACCGAGTGTGTGATATTTCACGAGCCGTACGACATTTTTGTTGAGGATGTTAATTGGCTAAAAACAACAACAGTCAATTTTTCGAGACTAAAAACATTTATCTATTTATCCAATTAGAGTGTCTGAAAGTTTCGTTGCGCGAAAATAAAATTGCTTTAATGAAGAAAATGCCATTTCAATTGGCTAATTTCACTGTGTTTATCTGCTAAATTTATCGTAGAACAAATAAAAAATAACACTGCAAGTGAGAGAAACGAACACAAATCCCAGCGCGATCACGAACACGTGATTTTGAAGATATCCTGCAGAGTAAGAAAGAGAAAACAAGAAATATAGTTTTATGATCGTCGTTGGTAACGAAAATTGTGAGTCATCCGTCGAGCAGATCAAGTCGTTTCGCACGAGAAAACGTGGAAATTTCGCTGTTCGCGAAAACCCGAAAACGAAACACCACAATGACAGGCGTTACAATTATTACGTTTGAAAATAATAATCAGCATTCAACAATGATAATTTAACAAAGTTTGTTTCAAAGTAAAATCTGAGAGTTTATCAGGATAACTATATCTTCCCAAGATCAAGATTGTTGAAAGTGACGTTGGTAAGCGCGATTTACCAAAGATATATTATCGTCTTGTGTGTTGTGTGCGTGTGTGTGTGTGTGTATAAAGTAATATGTACACGCAAATATACACAGCGTATATGTAACATTAAATTATAAACTACGAGAAACGATAGAGGAATTGAATTTGATACACACAATAAAAGAACCGAAAGTGTTGTATCCAACTGACGTTTTTTTTTATTTTCTACACATTTGGCGCGCGACGAAAGAAACGCGTGATGTGAGAGAAATTGATCTGCTCGGGTGAGGTGAACTTGAAATTTTGTGTTCGGTGAAAAGCGTTACGTGAAGTAGTACACAAAAACCAACGACAAAAAATACGATAAGTTTAATTTCTATTAATTTATTACGCAAGTATGTCTCTGCCTGTGAGCATTCGCGAGTATGTTGTGTTTTAATATTTTCAGTCGCATTATAAGCACGCATACCCTAGGACCGTCACTGCTGCGACATTAAGTGCACCGAGTGTGTATACGAGACGTGTGTAAATACGCATGTGTTGAAGTTATGAGTATTTGTTTCGAAACCGAAACTGTTCGTCCCTCGTTTTTTTCCAAGCTGTTAGGAAAAAAAAAAATGTATTTTAACAGAAATTTAATCTTATAACATATGTTATTTTTCAAATCGATTTTAAATCTCAAAAACAACTTACACGTAAAGTGTAAAATTAAATTGAATTCGAAATTCTTTCCACATGTGTGTCGAAAAAATAATTCTTAATGTCGATTGATTTTCACATTATGGATTTCAGATTATGAATGTAATATCTTTATGAAGAATTGCACGCGCGTGGGACGTAAATAAAGTGCGTAATTGTGTGTGTATGTGTGTGTGTGTATTCTGTTCCTTGTTCACGACGATACCTCGTTTACCTTCATGTTTTGTTTTTTTTCTCTCTTATACCTGTACATAGTACGTACAACGACATTTCGTTCGCGTGTCTACTACAACGCTATTTTCCAGCTGAAAATTTTGTATTTTTCTGATGTAAAAATATGTGAAAGGAAATGCAAGAGAAAAAGAGAAATGCGCGTGACAAAGATGTGTGTACACATATATATAAATATTATATATATATATATTACGGCGAGAGTGTGTGTTTATTTTATGAGATAAAATACAAATGAAAATACAAACTCTGCTCTATTAAATTTACTTGATTTACTTTTCTCTAGTCGAAAACAACTCGTGCAACTTTGACTACTTTCATTTTTTCTACTTTATAGCTCTTGAACTTGCTGTATGACACACAGCGTGCAGCAATGAATCAATTCGTGAAAAAAAAAAAAAAAAAAAAAAAAGAGAAAAGTTGATGATGTAAAACAAAATTAGAAAAATTAAGTTAGTGGGGAGACGGGGGTGTGCGAGAAATTTACAATCGCACAATAAGTACCAATGACCTACAAATAATGACAACATTCGAACAAACACAGCTGTTTACTTCTCGCCCATTGCCAAATTCTTGCGAATTGTTGTTCGCACTTGAAGCGCACGATCTAGCTGTCATCTGGGAGTATCACGGTCACACGCGACACATACACACACCCGTGTGACAGAGACAAAACATCTTATTGTTCGTCGTAGCGATTGTTAATTTTTCGTACCATTCTTGAACAGAATAATTTTATTTTCTAAAGGACAGACAATAATAATATATATATAATACTATTATTATTTACAAACACTAATGTAATGAGGGATGACTTCTTGTTTTCAACGAAAATTCTTCAAATCCAATTCTAAGAATTAGACAATGCGAAACAAATGCGGAATGTTTCACGCAGTGAACAAACTCAAAATTAATTTTCCGCGAAATGGTTCGAATTGGCTAATTTCTATATTTTGGGTTTTTTTTATTGTGTATATATTAATATTTTAATTTACAATACTAATACAATTTTGATTAACCGTTGTAATTCGTTAAATCACACTTGTATGTTATAAAAATTGCGCACATATGTATGTACGTTTTACTCTTTAATCGTAGATATATTTATTTTGAATTGCAACGAAAATTGGGATCAGATTTTCATAATGAACGTGTGTGCGCGCGTGAATTTCTACTGATTTTTCATATATATACGAATTTGTAATTTTAACAACGAACAATACCAATCCGGCGCGGCGAAGATCCGGAGAGAACCGTTCCGCAACTTGCAAACTTGGCACGACACAAGAATCACACATATGTGTTTGTCCAAAAATAGAATCATACGATTGGTAGCGAGTTAGGTTGTTACAGTGAACGTGTTTTTGCGTCGCGACGCCGCCGTCGTGTTCAACACGGGGAATTCCGTTGATGCCTCATCGATACAACGTGTCTGAGAATCACGCGTTCATGTCATCCTGAGGTGTCTGCGACGGTAAGTTCTGACGATCCGATTGCCGATCGATATCGGCAATCGACCGCGCCGAAACGTAGCTTGGGAAAATTTGTGTGAATATCACACACATATTTATATATATATATATATATATATATATATATATATATAACATGTATATTACATATATGTTATATATAACACGTATGTGTAATACACATACATGTGTATGTAAAATATAAACACTGATAAACTCTGTTGAAGAACTTCTGTGCTAAAACTCGCAATTTATTTTGTTGTCAAAACGACAACAGTTTTTGATGCATTTTTAAGACTTATTACCGAAATTGCGCAACAGAGTAAATCTGTGTATGTGTGAAAATAAAAAGAATTTAAATTTCGATCTGCTTTACCGACAATTTTATCATAAATAAGATCAAAAGACTTCGGGCGAATCGCGCACGTACATAGCTCTCGATTCTTTCATTTTTTGCTAGGTATAATTTCTTCATGTGCACGTATACTTTATTGCTTTCTGTTAATAAGAAAGATTTCTTATTTACCGTTATTAAAAACATTTTTAAACAATAAAAAAAAAAGAAAAAAGAAAACACCTTGGTTTATTTTTCGGCGTTACTTTTGTTCTCATTTCTTTCTACATGCGCGCACACACTGCACGTTCGGATGCATTAGAAATATTGAAACACAATCTTGTTCCTGTATAAAAAAAAAATGTAACAAAATGTTTTAATTACAAAACAAATAACAAAGTCTCTTATGTCACAAAGCAGTAAAGGTTTTGTTCGATATAAAAAAATTCTTTTAATCGTTCTTCTTATTTTTTTTTTTTTTTTTCTATTCCATACGTCATCGCTTGCGGATCGAAAAAAAAGGACGATAAAATGTGTGTACCAGCCGCTTGTCCAGGTGCGCGCTTACGTAACGTACGTAAACTAAAAATATGAACACAGAACGATAAACACACACAGAAGATGCGGAATATCACAATATATCATTCTTAGAGAAGCATCCTGTGCGGCATCTCGCGAAACAACAGTAAAACAACGCGCAAAACTGTCTCGTCGAGAACACAAACGCACAGGTGAGTCATATAATCCGCCTTTTAATTAAAAACTCAATCAGTTCTTCTTTCCTTCGATTGTCGCGCGAGTGTAGCCGATTACTTTACGCGCTCGTATACAAATCCGCGCTGCGTAATTCAATAGACAAATAAATTTTCATCGTTCGACGACGCGGAAGGTGTTTTATGTAACACCTTAGCGCTGTAATTGAACGAACAAAAATCGATGATTCTCGAAAAGACCGAAGTGTGCGTTTTAACAATCTGGCCAACGGATCGGTTTGTAATTTCGCCGGTGTAAAAATTTCGCGAGCGCGCGCGCGCGCGCGCGTTCTTGTTTGCAAATTACACATGTTCAGCTTTTTTAAATCGGCAAGATAAGATTTGTACGAGGACGCGTGCGTTATAGTTATTTCGTTGCAAAAAATATCGCTGTCTTTATCTCCGTGTCAATGTATCATTTTGTACATTAAAAATGGAGCGAGTCTGTTCTCTCTCTCTCTCTCTCGCGCGCGCGCGCGTGTGTGTGTGTGTTATGTTTAAAGTTCATAATACAGAAATCGCACAACCTCTGCGACATTAGATAATTTATCTCGATCGCGTATAAATATATATATACATAATATTTATATGCGCTTGAAGTAAACGTACGTGTTTCGTATTCGCGATCGCGTCGCGTGAAAATTTTCTAGCCGAGAGTATATATTTTCAACACACACACACACAGTGCGTGCAACACACACGCACGCACATTCCATCGAGTGGATTCCTGCGTAATGCAATATAAGTCTTAAACTGCGCAGGCGAGTGCAAAATTTGTGTGTCGAACACGACTGCCAACGTAGCAATAAATAATTTTCAGACCCGCGGAACGCGAAAAACTCTTGCGAATTGTTCTACTGTTCGGAAATTTGGTTCAAGCGTGCGGTTTTTATCTTTCTGTCAGAAAGAAACACTGTGTTGTAGAGTCAATAAACTTCTCGCGAATAATGAGCGTCGTTTGAAATTCTTCAGAGCTAATTGGAAACTCTTTCGAAAAAAGTTTTAGTTGTCACACGTGAAAGTGACGTTTAAAAAGTGTAATCGCCTGGATGTGCAAAACCCATCCGTCGTGTTTGTTGTTGATATAATGAAAAGAGTTTAATAATAATTTATTTACTCGAACATTGGAACGCAAGACGGCGTATATTTCGAAGTCCGGATAAAAGCTTGCCAAAATTTGTTTTCGCGCGTTTTTTTCTTTTTTCAATCGTTTGCGCCTCAAGATCAATCCGCCCCGGGGGGCGAATCGCGTGTGACTTGTGAAAGAAAATTACAAGTCCGAAAAAATGGGACACGCGCAAGCGCGCGCTTTCGGGACGTATCGAAGCATCGACAAACGCGATAACATTCCGCGAAACTTTCGCTCTTAGCTTCCGCTCTTCTGCGACACTCTGACTGATTTAAGTAAGTAAATAAATGTGCGTGAGAGAATCTCGATCCACATTCCGACTAAACTTCCTTATTAAAGTACGTGTACGTAATTGTTCTGCATCACAGAAGTACTTCTCAATTGTTTCTGCATTATATTGTAAGAAACGGGTACAATGCTTTTACATAACAAATTATTGTGAAAATGATAAAGTAGAAATCTGCAAATTTTATATTTACGCAGTCGCCGCTCCTCTTCGGGATCGCGCAGCGTCGTTGGCAGCATTGCTCGCGGGTATGAACATGGCGAGAATCGCAATGAAAATTTGAAAACGCGATATTTCGAACAGACTCACACATCAAGCGCGAGTTTTTTTGATCATCTTCGGGATTGATGACGATCTTACATTGAGCGAAAATAGATTGCAAAAATATAAATATGCGCGAAAATGCGCGCTTCCGTTTAAATTTCATCAAGAAACAGAGAGCGACGACTTAAAAATTTATCGATTGTTATTTATCAAATGGTTTTTTTTTTTTTTTTTTTTGTCGCTCTCCCGACTGATCGATTTGTCTCTTCTTGCAGGATAACGAGAGAAAGAAAAAGAGACAAGCACGTTTCTTCGGAGTATTTCGTATATTCGCGCGGGTCATCTCCAACGTCGACGGCGCGCTCTTCCAGGTGGCGTATCTCGTCTGGATCGAATTCCCCTGCTGCGTCGTCGCAAAACTCTAACGTGCGCGTTTACACACACTCCCTTTGCCGCACTCACCCCTCTTCGTCGCGGTTGCTCTGTCAATCTCTGGTTGTCGAGCCGAGGATAAATGTGTGGTACGTGTGTATGTGTGTGATTATTTCACATTTGGGCTGAGACTCGCTCTCGTCGAACTTTGTGCGACCTCGATTCGATTGCAATATCAAGATTCGAACAAAGTCAAATTGAGTTGTCAGTTTGAGAATGAATTGCGAGTAGAAAGCACAATCGAGGATAATCCGTCTCTTTACTGTGATACAAAATAACTGGAAGGGAGGAAGAAATAGAGGGGGAGAAAAATTGTTATAAAAAACGTACCGAGAAGTGATAAGAAGGGAACCGTGTTATCGCTGAATACTGAGAGGTGCGAGGGAAAAAGAAAGTAGCAAAAGAATCGAGCGGAATAGTAGAAGAGCAATTAATTACCACCATGTCGCACACACGTCTGCGTAACGCGGTGATCGTCGGCGGCTGGCCGACGAGGACGATGACGGCGCCGAACAGGCAGGGTGTCAGTAACGGCAACGGTACGCTGATTGGTCGAGCAGCAGGGACATCTGATAAATCGGCGGTGGCGGCGGCGACGGTGTCGTCCACGCCGATGCTGTTACAGCCGGTTATTCCGTGTCGCGGGATGGCGGCGAGCACGGCAGCGGTTGCCGGCGGCGGCGGTGGCGTCATGCCCTGTAACAAGGTCCTCACCGAGAAAAATGTGTTCGTGAATTTGCGTAAAATGGAGTACGCGGTGCGCGGTCCGTTGCTAATCAGAGCGCTGGAAATCGAGAAGGAGCTGCAAAAGGTAAGAAAAGTATGGGTGCTAACGACACAATACATAAAAGGTGATTTTGTGTTGGGGAGATCTGACGAATCAGAGAGATCTCGGTTTTTGAACGAACAAGTACGAGGCGACTATCGCGTGAACTGTACCTATATAGTGCGGTTGCGGATAAGTAAATGAAGTGGATCAAGAGTAAAACTGAATGAAAACGGGTCGGATAAGAGGGGAGAAAAGGATGTGTTTGGTGACACGTACACGCGAGGTTGCCATGGTGAAACCACCAAAGGTATCGAAAGTAGGGAGTCAGAAAGAAGATGGAGAAGGGGAAATTGGTTTCCTCTCTTTGATGAATGATCGTAACCGCGTTTTATGTGATTTGAGAGTTTAAAATATTTTCAGATTCGGAGTCGAGTCGAGTCTGAAACACAGAAGACGCGATTAAAGAACCGATGTAAAAAATTTAATGCGCGTTTAATAAACAAAAAAAAAGAACGATCAAACATTTATGTCTCGCATCAGTCGTACTCTTTTATATATATTCGAAAACAAATTATTTTCACTCAATAATGATAAAATGTATTTGGTAGTAATAAAATATTGCAAAATTTTAATTTTTAATAAAAAAACGATAATTCGTTTGTTCTCAAGAACGTTTTAAGTGAACATGCATGTAGTTGAAAAGGCAAATTTGAGTGAAAACAAAAATGCATACATTCTTTTTTTTTAAATAGTTCGTCTTTCTCGCAAATAGAGTCGTAAAATTCGACATTATGCAATCGTTGACTTGTTAACAGAAAACGAATGCGAATTTATGAGTGCGTGATAATGCATCGTTCGTGTGTATTTGTATAATTACGATTAACAGATTCTGCCGTGACTGTTGGTTTGCATTGTTCGAGCGAGACAATTGAAACCAGATATGTCTCTGCTGCGTGTCATGTTGCTTAAAAATTAATAATTATGTGTAATTTTTATAATCTATTGATTGAAATTTAAAACACATGCAAAACTCGTTCTCGTTGCGTCAATAAATTTTAACACAGCACGGGTTGTGTTTTGTTCGACCTTTAATCTTTTTTTTAATTTACTTTATACTTAGTTTTCTTTTTTTTGTTTTTTTTTTTGTTTTTTTTTTTTTTGTTTTTGTTTAGATATTACAGTGTTACGAGACACACATTGCTGAATCGTGATTTCCTGAACATCTATAGTCCACGCGTGACGCAAACATCTCAATTACTCATAAATTTCACACAGTAACACGATATTTATCTTCCAGTGTGCGAAGTGCGAGAAACGTCGATTACTGTGTGGTCTCTGTTATTTTTTCACTTCCCGCGAGAGAGAGGAAATATAAGCCGAACATATGGTATTTCTTATCGCCACTCGACACGACCTGATGCAAGAATATATAATAATATATAATATATATCGAACACAGATATCAGAGCGCACAGATTACTGAAAACGGCCACGTGTTTATGATATCAATTTTTCAATATCAACGAGAGCTCGAAAAGATAACGACACACACTGCGTTATCTCTGAGTAATCTTTTTTTTTTCTTTTGGGAACATACAGGACGTTTCAAAATCCGATTAAAGAGACAGTCACTTTCTCATAAGTAGTTTATCGACAGCAGATATTTTTGGAAAATGTTTTTTTTTTACGAGAGAATGTTTGAAAATGCGTTTTGAAAACAATAGAAGTGGTGTCTGATGCTTGTTATGCAAATTGCTGAGATCCGGTTTGCTGGGAAAGAGATGCGTTATATATGTTCGCCGCGCGTCGCAATTGCGTGCTTTAATAATAATAATAATAATAATAAAACACAGATGAATAAGTTGCCATATTGTCACTCGACTTGCATCTCTCTCATTCTGTCAGCTTCACACGTAATTTGCACGTAATTGCGTAACGTTTGTTACTGATGCTCAATTCACGTGGTGCGAATTGTATTTAATATGATCATTTGATGCGGTCAAAGAATATCCTTCTACGTTCATTACAACGTAACTATTACTCAGGCTTCTTTTTTTTTGTTTATTCAAAATCTATATAATTATGTAGGTGAAATTAGTATTTTTGAAAATCAAATTTTGAAAATATCAAAAACTTGTATCTATGTAGAAGAATTGTGATAAAAAATTAAATTACTAAGAAAATATCCAGTAAGATAAAGAAAAGAAAAAAATAAAGACATTTAATAGCGTGAAAATGTGGTTTTCGTAAAAATGTGATGGAAACGCGATTTTAGAATGTTAACTTGATGTCAAATAAAGTGATTTTATCCGTTTGTAATATTCAACTGCAATTATGTATATAAATCATGGGGGTATATTTATTTAACAATAAAAATTCGATTTCTCTCTTGCAGGGCGCCAAGAAACCCTTCAAGGAGGTCATTAAGGCGAACGTGGGCGATGCCCACGCGATGGGTCAGCAGCCCATCACTTTCTTGCGGCAAGTCTTGACTTTGACGGTCTCGCCGCAATTACTGAACGACCCGAGCTATCCGGAAGACGCGAAGGCTCGCGCTCGCGCGGTCCTTGAGGGTTGCAAGGGTGGCAGCGTCGGTTCGTATTCGGAATCCGCAGGTATCGAGGTGATTCGTAAACACGTCGCGAATTACATTCAGCAACGTGACGGAGGTATTCCTTGCGACTATCACAACGTTATCCTGTCGAACGGCGCGTCCGACGGCATCAAGGTGTGCAGATTTAAAATCTGCTATTTACTCGACATTTAATTACATTTTTTATGTTTGAATTTTTAATTTTATCTTTTAATGCCGTAAATCTCTTTGCACTTTGTCGTCTTATCTTCATTCTTTCTTTTCCAGTCATTCCTGAAATTGTTCAACGAGAGAATAGACGGCAAACCCTCCGGCGTACTAATACCAATTCCACAATATCCTCTTTATTCGGCGACTCTGGCGGAGTTCGGTCTCGCGCAGGTCGGTTATTATCTCAACGAGGACGATAAATGGTCGTTAGAAGTCAGCGAACTGGAGCGAGCGCTGAACGAGATGAAAAACTGCTGCAATCCCCGCGTGCTAGTGGTAATCAATCCCGGTAATCCGACCGGTCAAGTTCTGACGCGTCAAAATATCGAGAACGTCATCCGCTTCGCTCAGAAGAATCACTTGTTCCTTCTCGCTGACGAGGTCTATCAGGATAACATATACGACAAGGACAGCGCGTTCCATTCCTTCAAAAAAGTTATGACGGAAATGGGCGAGCCTTACTCGAAAATGGAACTCGCGTCGTTTATGTCTATCTCGAAAGGTGTGCGAAAAAAAAAAAACATTGAGAATTGTGATGCGTTTTACGAGTTCAACTACTCGATTTGTTTCAATGTGGAAATGTGTCTTCTTCAGGATACATGGGTGAGTGCGGAATCCGCGGCGGTTACGCCGAAATCATCAATATGGATTCGGAAGTGATGAAGGTGTTGCTCAAGTCGATCTCCGCGATGTTGTGCCCTACCGTTCTCGGCCAGGTTGTGATGGACGTTGTGGTGAATCCGCCACAGCCGAACGAGCCGTCGTACGAGCAGTTTCAGAGAGAGAAGAAGGAGACATTGCGTTCCCTCGCGGAGAGATCGCAACTTGTCGTCGATACGCTTAATAGTATTCCAGGATATAAGGTAATTAATCCTTTCGCAGAATAGTTTTTTTTTTTTTTTGGCGAAAATTGTGTATAAAACTTTTTTACGCTTTTTCTCCAGGCAAATCCGCCGATGGGCGCGATGTACGTGTTCCCGCGTTTCGACTTGCCGCCAAAAGCGATTGAGGCGGCACGGGCGAAGGGTCAAGAACCGGATGTGTTCTATGCGTTCAAACTACTAGAAAGCACAGGAATTTGCGTGATTCCGGGCTCGGGCTTCGGCCAGAAACCTGGAACACATCATTTCCGAACAACGATATTACCGCAAAAGGAAAAAATCAAAACGATGCTCGAAGCGCTGAAGCAATTCCATATCAAATTTCTCAAGGAGTACAGTTAAATTCCACATTAGCAACGAAGATAAAAAAAAAAAAAAAATAATTACCAGAAATTGAGTTAATGAAAAAACAAGATACTCAGAGAATCTGTGCATAAGTTAGGACCGACTGCTGGTCTGACGGTTTTAATCGTGTTACGAATGTAAAAATATTTTTATTACGATTAACAACACAACTCGCCGAGAGTCACTGCTTTTAATATGTTACTGAATTGTATAAAGAAATTATAAAATTGTTATGTGTAAATGTGTAAATCATTGCCAGAAAAAAAAACTTGTGGAATATATTTGTAAATATGTAATAGTCGGTGAACTTGTACCTGTATCGCTTCAATGCTCGGAAAAAAAAAATACTTTTTTTTACAATTGCAAAAAAATACTTTTTTTTACAATTGAAAAAAAAATACTTTTTTTTTACAATTGAAAAAAAGGGCAGAACGCTCATATATCACTTTCTTCTTTCTTTAATGAATTTTGATTGGCTAATGGTTTGTTTTTTTTGATAAAGAAAAATTAGTATTAGATAAAGTATTAGATAAAGATGACCAATTAGATATACAAATGGCCAATTAGGTAAAATTGGAAATGATATTTTTTTCTGGCTATTTGTTTGCATCATTTATCATAAAAATGAGCATTCCAGTATATACTGTATAGAGTTCACTGATAGTATCGTTGCGTTGGTGATAACCAATACTTTGTAACCAACGATATTGTGATCAATGTAATATACATAAACTGAAATTGAATGGGAAAAATGTTACTGATTATCGTTTTGCTTTTAAGAGTAACGGTCGGACTTCGTTAAACGACGAGGTTGCAGAAATTGATATAATTGTGCTGCAACATATCAAGTTTACCTCTTCTAGCTGTCATATTTAAAATATGAAAAACTGTGTGGAAGGAACAATTAGTGTTGGCATTAAATAAATGTGATAATGTAGTCTTTCGGACCGTCGTTTAACAAGGTTCTATTGTAACCTGTTATTATTTCATATAATTATAATAACAATAATACAACATTTACATACACATTTTTATCGTTAAACAATTATATATATATACAACATCTATAATTTAAACCGTTCAGAGATCTGCGGCGAGCCTTTCTATCTCTTTGACGAAGAACTTCATGTCGGCTTCTGTCAGTCCCGAATTTTGCAGCACCATTCTGAAGAAGTTCGGCATATCTCTCAGCGTTTGATACGTTATCAACATCGATCCGGCTCGTACCATGCGCTCTTTGATCAACGGCGCGATCTGCAGCAGAAATCGAAACGGAAAGATTTAATTTTTTTATTTAATTTAATTTTCTTTGTATCACAAAATACTTGACACAGACTGACGTGGATCCGATATTACGAACCTTATGCAGAGCCTGCTCGAGTTCCGGACTGGTCAGGTGTCTCTTCGACGGCGGGATATAACGGAAGCAGACGTTGGTGCACTCCGGCTCGGCGAGCAGGCACCAGCCCTCGCGCGTCCTAATAAGATCGACGAAATAACGCGACAGCGCGAAGACCTGATCCACGTGTGCCTCGAGACCGCGCGTACCCTTCGCCTTCCACATGTACCAGAACTTGACGACGTCGGCGCGACGGCCGCACTGTATGTGTCGGTCGCCAAAGTCGAACGACGGGTCGTAAAACTTGTCGTTCTGGAAGAGATAGCTCGCCCCACATCCGTGCGCCTTTTGCAGGAGACCTATGTGTCAAACAAATAGAAAACTGTTATCATATAAAAATTTATAAAAAGTTTGACGTTGTATGCCAAAATATGTATTTGTCTTCCATTCAGAAGAAACATAAAATAGAGACCTTCGTGGCGAAGCAGTAAAGTGGAGCACTGCTGTGGCGCGGCGAGGAGCTTGTGGGGATTCCAGGTGACGGAGTCAGCGAGTTCGATGCCGTCCAGAAGACCGCGATGCTTTCTGGAAATGAGAGCGCCGCCTCCCCACGCGGCGTCCACGTGGAACCACAGTCCGTATTTTCTGCAAACGTCACCGATCTCACGAAGAGGATCAAACGCACCCATTACCGTGGTGCCCGCGGTGGCGGACACCATTAACGGCACGGCGTTTTCCTTAATGGCTCGGGCGATCTGAGCCTCCAGATCGGAGACTATCATCTTGCCCCGGGAATCAACTTTTGCGAGATACACGTTGTCGTAGCCGATGCCCAGAAAAGCTGCGAGCTTCTTCACGGAGTAGTGCGCGTCCTCCGACGTGAACACCACTAGCCGCGGCATTTGCGAAAGTCCGGACTGCTTCAGATTCGGATATCTGTTAAAAAAAACAGTATGTATATTTTTATATATAGTTCTACAACAATAAGAAAACAATATAGAAAAAATCGAAACCTGTTTCATACATCGATTAACACACTACTCGAATAAACAGTGAAATATTCTATAAATAGTTTGTTTAATAAAATAAAAACTGAACTGTTCTGAAATTTAATTTTTATTTCAGAGCATAACTGAGAGATAAATAGTCACTTGTAATGACGCGCCAGGTTGATGGCATATCCGTTCGCCATGGAGCCGCCGGGACAGAAGAGGCCCTCGCCACCCTGCCAGCCGATGATGGCGCGCATCTCTCGCAACACGTCCTCCTCCATCAGGGTGAACACCGGCGACACCTCGTACGTGTAGACGGACGGATTGAGCGCGTCGGTCAGCCATTGGCCCAACAATCCGTACGGGTCCAAACTTGAGAACAGCTGATTGACGAAGTGCGGATGGCCCGTCTTCACGCTGTACTTGATGATATCGCGCGTAAGGGTCAGCAGTTCTTCGTGGGTGACGCCTTCGGCGGCCGGAAGTGAAAGATCTATCACGGAATGCAGATCGCGCGGATCGATCCACTCGACCACTCGATTCTCTCCGGAAGTAGACTACAACGACAAAAAAAAAAAAATAAATAACGATAAAAGTATGAATCAAACATGATTCGGAATAAACTGTGCAATCGTCTCTTGCAATTTTATTAGAAGATAATCAGAAGCACATTCGATAAGGACTTCCCCGAATCCTAAAACTTCCAAGAAGTTTATATGTGCCAACAAATTGCAACGATAAGATAACAAAGATCGTTTTTTCAATGATATTTCGTAATATTTTATTTCCCCTTTAATATTTCGCATATTGAAATTATTTAGAGTGTCATTTCTCTCTCTCTTATTTAAAACAAACAAACAAACAAAAAAAATACCAAGAGTGTGTGAAATTAGCATCTTTCTCGATAGCGAGATCCCATCGCTTTCTTTTGAATCAAAAAACAAAAAAAAAAGAACAATTTGAAATTCTTCAAAGAATCCGCTTGCGACAAACGGGTTACTCGCAGTGGGAAACACCGTGTGTATGTATCTCTACCTCAAAAAACGATCGTAATTAGAATTCTCGTTTAATATTCCTCGTATAAATTTCGCATTGGCATTGCGTATCTTTGCCACTTGTCTGTAATTTGCGTCTAATTTGCCGAGAAATATGATAATACGATCAATAATGGTTTAATTACCGCCAAGTCATTTGTTGTTAACTACCGTGACCGATTACTTGGCTACCATCACTATTGTACTTGACAGACGGCGTTTTGCCACGACGTTAAAACATCGTCATTCTGCAATTTCTGTTTGAATGCGCGCGACGTAGCATAAATACAAAATTAGCATAAAAATGCGTTGCGCGCTAATCGTTTGCCGGCCGCACGCACAGAATATTCTCAACATCTCGATCGTTTGCGCTACTAGAAACGATATCTGTGTTATTTAATATTTAACTGGACGATCCGCGCGGAACAACAGGTAATAATCTGATATCAGGAAATCCGTTTTTTTTCCCTCTCCTCCTCCGCCCCGGAGTTTCGCGGCGGCATTGCGAATTGGGGATTCGCGTTATCGTACTAATAATAATGATAATAAGCGATAGCACAAATCCGAGGGATTTTTTTGTAGATATGTTTTTATGTATAGTTTTCATATCTGCAAACCTTTTGAATTCACGCTTATCACAATACATATATATACATATATATAGTATATATATAAATTATACATATATATATAATTAGGTTTTTTAAATATCTGAGATTTTTGTTTTCGCGTTGCATTATTGCACAATGTTTAATTCCGAAACAACCGCTTGATCACAACCGTACTGTGTCTAACAGAATATAACGGGTGAAATGTGCAAATTATAACATAATTGCAGAATGTAACGTTTTCACTGGATCTTTATTATTCCGCTTGGTCGGAAATAAATACAACAGTCGTCTCGGAATGATGCAACAAAAGACGACGAGTAGATATTCAAAACACCAGATAACGTAAAAACGTTACGTTAACACAACATAAAATTAAAAAGATAAGAATATAAATAAACGAAATGTAGGAAACGTAGAAAAAAAAAAAAAAATAAAAATAAAGCGTCAGTAATATTAATTGCACTCTAAAAACTTCGACAAACATTTCGTCGGAGTTTGCACACGACCGCGTTAGTGTGTGCATCTTTGCAAATCACTAATTTTAATGGGACCATTAATTTCACGCAATAAAAATTAATGAACGCTAATAACATTGCATCGTTGTGAGTACTAATTTCAATGGGACCATTAAATGTTTAATTTCACGTAATAAAAATTAACGAACACCGGTCACGTAAAAATAATATTGCGTAGAATAACTGAAGATGATTGTTCTCTGAAAATATGATAAAAGAAAGAGAGTAACGACTTACGAAACCAATATGGGCAAAATGACACACGACAAAATAGTTTTTGTTCATATTTGCGTTATAATATTATATGCGTATATACTATTTTTAATTATATTGTAATTCATTTTTTTTTTTTTTCATATTTTACAGTCTTTCTTAAGCTAAAAAGTTCTTCTTCGTAGTTTCTCTCTCTCCGCAACTATGTGAATTAATACATTTTATTACTTCAGAGTTTCAATAAATTTGCGTATGTATCCCGTACTTTTCGAGAACTTCTGTATATTTTTCAATACTTCAAATCGATGTGAGTGAGAGTGAGGCAATTCGAACTGGTTGCGGGATGTCATGCGGTAAATGTCACTAAATTTAATATCTCACACGTTTCGACTTTATTGATTTAAATCATAATCGATATGGAGAATTCTCTTAAATTAACATTTCCTTATAAATGTAATGATTATGTCGAAAAAAAACGGGATATTATAAAGAGGATGTAATGTATATAAAACTGTTGTCGATATGTGTCGATTTTTGATGTCACTATGAGAGAATCCGTCAATATACGTCGATTTGAAATATTCTTTACAAATCATCTCTCTTCGCGGTTTCGATATTTTTAACAAACGCAATTGACAAACGTAATGACTTTTTACGCATACCTCGAACACCGCTTGCTGCAACACGAGCTCGAAGAAATCTCTGAACAACTTCTCGTGAACATCTCGATTGGGCACGCTGCGAAAGTGCTGTGTACCGACTCCGTTTTGCTTCTCAACGCCGTTGGCGTGTTCCGGAAGAACTGTCGTCGATGAAGACTCGGAACTGTGCGAGAATTTTCCGGATGATTTCCGCGCGACAAAGAAATTCGTTCTTCCGGGCTCCACTCGCCCCAACATAGTGTCGCTGGCGGTGTCCTTGTTGGCCGGCATTACAAGCGGACTGTCAACTGGTGTTCTAGGCCCGCGACAACGACGACGGTTTCCTTTATACGTTTCTACGCTAGTAACGTTGATCAAGGACGTCTCCCTCCAGTGCTTGCACACGCGCTTCCTCGCGTTTGTCTCCCGCGGCGTAGCTTTGTTCGCCACGGTGGTTATTGCTCGAATGAGGAAACAGTTCGAATCCGGAAAAACCCTCTTTAAACCGCTGCGAGCTGATTCACATGTACATGGGGAATTGTTTGCTTAGCCTAGCGATACAGACATTATTATTATTATTATTATTATTATTATTATTATTATTATTAGTGGTATAGAATATTATTTATTCTCTTGTATATATAGAAAACTTGCGTGCGAGCACTTCATTTTCTGTGTGTGTGTGTGTGAGAGAGAAGAGAGAGAGAGAGAGAAAGGAAAAATAAATTACGTCATCTCTTTTTTTTTTTTTCAAGATTTATTCAACCTTATAAAACCGCACAACGTAAATGAATGTTATATCGATCATTTCGATTAGCTTGACAATTAATTTCAATGCTCGCTTTGTACCGATGCAAGTGGAAGTAATTTTTTAATTGCGCGACCTCTCCGACGATTTCCCGCGACCGTGACAGGGAAAAGTAGAATCGCGAGGAGGAGAGCCTTCGGTCGTTAAACACTCTGCTCATGTTACAAGCAACAATAACTTCGCTTTTTGTGTTTTTTTTTTTTTGTTTTGTTTCCGTTTCACTTTGCACGCGTTCACAAGGACGATGTAATTATGGCAAAAATTGCAATCGAGTGACACTTAGTTTCGAGCATATACAGTTCGCGCATTGTGTGTTGTACATTTTAATCACGCGTTTTGTATGTATCTTTATTTTTACAAAAAATGATTAAATAAGCCACGAAATCTATATATCTTCTTGTTTCGGAAACCACGGGATTTGGAAAAAGCGACGTCGCAGGAGGAAAATACTTTCCACTCTCGACGGATGAATGATTCATTTAGTCTGACGTCAATTTCTTTCCCCGAGCGTGTGATAATTGCCGCTATGCTTGCGTTAGATATAATGTCAACGTCTGAAAGATGCATGACCTCCATTCTCCTTTTCTCGCGTTGATGCGCTTGTGCGTTGTCGCAAGAAGGCTCTTCTAAAAAAAAAAAGTTGAGTTTTCTGAAGGTTCCAGGATAACGAGGAAAAAAGATAATACGCGACAGAAAAAAAAGAAGCGCAAGAAATTTATTATTGTCGCAATTTTTTACGGCAAAAGGGACATATCGACGCTGCTTTCCCGCGCAACAATGTTGCGACAACATTGCGTAACATATACTACATTATACGTTAGATATGTTTTCTTATATATATATATATATATATATATACATATATATATGTCTAACACGACTTTTCTTTTTCACGACTTAATAAGCGAATGAATTAACGCAGAAAGAAAATTTAAAATACGCAATATACTAGGTTCGATTAGACGCGGCGAAAACATATGTACCTATGAGAGATTATACATCTGATTTTGCGCATGTGTCTTTTTTTTTTTTTTATCATTCTCTAACCGAGCATCGGACAATGTGCGCTGTACTTTTATTATACATATAATTCTATAAACGTTATCGTAACGCAAACGTTATCAACAACGTGTTGTGCAAAAGCGTTAACTTACCAAGAAATTCTTTTTTTTTTTTTTTTTTATCACACAACGCAAGGAATTCATTTTTTTATTACACAACGCGAATTTCAGCGTATTTTTTTTTACGCATACCACTAAACGTTGTTTTGAACTGTAAATAGATACAATTTTAATCTGTATTATGTATTGCACGTATTCTTTTATTTTTAAATGTCTCGCTAATTACACTTGAATCAATAATTTTTAGACAACGCTTGTTTTTTTTTTTTTTTTTTTTTTTTTTTTTTTTTTTTATATCTATTGTATCATAATGTAAAACATCCTCCCACGATTGGCGCTTTAACCCTTTGCACTCCTATGTCGAGTGTGACTCGACATTAGTTTTTATCTCAGGAGCTCCATTGTGTCGAGTCCCACTCGACATTATTTCATGTCCAAATAAATAGATGTCGTGCACACGTTACCGACGCTCTTACGAGCGAACCGGTTTATTGTTATTAAAAAATAAAAAAAATAAAATACTTTCAAATAAAATACTTAAAAGCGTTGGGAGCTGCTGGTAAAACGAAATTGAAATAAAATTCGGAGTGCAAAGGATTAAAAATCTCCGTCAATTCTTTTTCCAAGATTTTTCCAACTAAAGGATTCTAAAATAAAAAATATTACCATAAAAAAATCCAAATTAATCCAGAATGTCAAATAGAAAAAAGTGACAACAAACAAAAATATTGACAACTAAAAGGAAAACGTCAATGTTATTCATTAGAGTTTTTTTTATGCGGTGTCACTAAAACGCGCCTTTCAACCGTCTGTGCAATTTCTTTGGGCACGATTTTTCCTCTTTTTTTTCTCTCTAACTATCTTTTCTTCTTCTTTCTGATTTCCTTAGATCACTCAGTTCTCTCGATCCATAATATTTTTTTTTTACTTCAAAACTTATATTTGTTTAAAAATATGTATTTATTCTTTAAAATATTTTTCTTCTATTAAGAACAAAAGAAATCCCGAAGAGAAGAAATTATTTTCCTCGCCGCGTAACGTACGATGCAGATCGCTTATTTGATTTTGCGGATTATAGAACAGGATATGATTATTTTTCTTTGGACATGGCGCAACTCTAACCTAACCTAACCTAACGTAACGTGACCTACCCTACCTACCTTCAACGTGATTGTTGGGACCGATTATTAAAGGAACTCTAGTTGTATGTACAGGTTAGTTGCTTACCGAGAGTAGCTTTTACGAAATAAATCGTAATGTTGCGAGAGAGTGTTTGGTGAAGCGAATGAGGTTAAATGGTTACCGGGATTGTAGTGCCGTAGACGGGATTTTCAGCGACCGATAATTTTCGTCGTTTCTCACTGCTTGATAAAATGTTTATCTTGTTGAGGATGCGAGCTGCCTCGATTCATAATCGACGCGTCGTGTCATCTACCGCGCAACATCCAACACGAGTCTGCTCGTTTTGCAATTTTCATCATCTCAAACCCCTCGAGTGTACGTATAGTAGCACGTGTGCGTATTGTTTGTAGAATTATAAAAAACGTTAGACAACACCGTTGCGTTACGAGAACTTAGTATTTTCTTCTTCTCTCATTTTTTGTTGCGAGCATTATTTTGTTCGAAAGTTTTCGAAAAGGAAATGCGCAGAAAAGAAAAGCAGAACCGTCACAAACTTGCGCTACTTGTTTTGTATTAATTGACATAAAAATAAGAAATTATAAATTAAAGTTCGATTGTTTTGTGCGAGTAAAATTTTATATTGCGAAATCTGCAAATTATCTTTTTGAAAATATCTGTATGTAATAATATTTATTTTATTTTTATATATATATATATATATATATATATATATATATATATATATATATATATATATATATATATATATATATATTTGTAGTATTTGTAATTCCATCAGTTTAATCTGGGCTCAATTAGAATAACTTATCAATGAAACTGACAATGCCTTAATTTAATTGTTCTCTAAAGTTTTATTACACAATGTATTGTGTACGTGCAGCAATTAAATCTATTCGGCGTTACACAACGGATACAGTGGAATTGCAAGTTTCATTGAAGAAAAAAGTTAAACGTCGTTCTAAGAAATATGCAGAGTTATTAGAAGGTACATCACCAAGCTGAGTTTTTATTATTTATATATTTCTGTGTAATTTATATTATTTCTGTATCATTTAAAATGTAATTGTTTTTTAATAATATTTGTAAAAATAAGAAACGTTTAATTATTGCATTGCTTTTTTATTAGTAAAAAATCAGGAAACCACCAACACAAAGGCGGCAGTGCGCAAATTGAGCTCTGCTCACATGTCCATTTTGGCGGATCAACCTGATGTTACATTGGATAATTTACACAAGATTGCTAATATTCGCAAAAAGTCAGTTGTAACGCAACCAGGTAGTAAGAAAACTCAAAAGAAAAAGTCAGCTTACATTGTAAGTGTAATTATGTGTTTCGGTATAATATGTTTTTTTTTTTTTATATCAAATCTGTAAAGGGTAGTTCTACTATTTTTTTAAAAGTCTACTTAGCCGTGTTTGTAATTTAAGAAAAAGGAGCTCGACCATGTGCTTAAAGAATCCAGTGAATATTTGAATGATGAATCCGCCGTTGTGGAAGAACTGAAAGAATCCGGCCTAAATGACAGCACTACCTTGATCAAAGGCTCCACGTATCTGAATGTACTGCAGGAGATCGACAACGACGGTAACAATGAAACTCACGAAAACGTGCTGTAAGTCACTCAATTGTTTTGAAATACTTAAAAAAACTGTGAATTTATCAGATTGTTAAACGCGTTATCTTGGATTTTCATCTAAAATACATTTTCAGCACTCAAACATCTCGGTACAACAAAGTGCAAAGTACTCATGTCGCAATCCCTTTCACAATGGAGAAGGATACGCTCGAGGATTTTATTTCCGATCGGTATTTAAAGTTTCAATTATTGGCTTACATAGACGTCTACATACAGTCAGGAATGTCGCACAAAGCCTTGAACATACTGACGCAGAAGAAGGCTCAGCTTAAGCGCGGTAAAGTTCTTATAGCCGAGATGTACAATCTGCTTCTGGATAGCTACGTCTCCCACGCTCATCTCGAGAAAGCTTTTCACATCTACAGATTGATGAAGACGGATTCCGTTCAACCGAATCCGCAGACGTATGCTCTCATGTTCGAGATGATCGCGAAAATGAAAAACCGCGAGAAACAAATGGGTGAATAAATTTCTTAAATTTTTTTTTTTTTTATCTTGAGGAAAAATCTGATATCTAAGATTAAGTTTTTCTGGAAGTTGAAATTTTCTCTGCAATTTTATTTATGTCTTTGCAGAGGGTGTGACGGAATTACTAACTGACATGAACGCTAAAGGTATTTCCGTTAACAAGATGATGGACGTATCGCACATGAACACGACGCAGCGCGACTTGATTCTTCAGTTTATCCGAGTCACGGATCCGGAATATCACGTGCAATACACGGACATCGACACCGCGTATAAGTGCAGATTGTTGAAAAATCTGACAGCGGACAGCAATTATCAGAGCCCGGCGAAAACGGTGGTGAGGATGGATGAGCTGCGAGACATGATGCGCAAACAAATCGATATGGAGAAACAGTGCGAACTGGAAGTGTCGAACATCGCACCTATCACTTCACATCCTGACGTTAGAAAACATGCTGTAAGTTACGTGAAAAAAAAAAAAAAAAAAAAAAAAAAAAAAAAATGTAAGAGTAACTGATCGACTCTGAAGCAACTTCGAAATCGCGCAAAAAAAAATTCTCAATATTGTTTAGATCGAACGAATTACGGAATGGGAGAGACATTGGAGATCGGCTGTAACCGAAGCTTTCGAGAAGAACTTGTTTTATCTGAAACAGAAGGAGTTCAGACAGGAATCCGAATGGAAGTTTCTTTATCCGTTTCTGCGAGTGCTGCCCAAAGAGGAGTATATCAACGCGATTTTGCGCGAGATAAGACAATTGGCTCAATTCTCCGACACGTACAGTTCTTCGATGCCGAATCTTTATACCAAGCTGGGAAACTATATTTACAAAAAGTATGAGGTGAGTGAAAACAATGAAAAATCTCTGTTTTTGTCTTTTGTATATTTGTTTTATTTTCTCATTTTACTTTGAATTTGCAATTTTTTTTATTGTACAATATTTTTAAATTTTATTCATTTTTATTATTTTACGCATTATGTACGTATTTTGTAAAATTTGATTTTATAATTATGAAAAAGTTTGCGAAAACGAACATTCTAAATCTTAGAGATGTTGGTATTGTGTCTGGTACATTTTTTACATTCCAGTTCCAGCGAAAGAAAAAGGCCGGTATCACGAAGAACAATCTGCATATCTACGAGAAGTATTTGGAATGGTATTTACAAATGAATCCCGCTGACAGAACTGTTAACGGGCGTATTAAGTGGCAACAGCTAATTCAGGAAGCTAAGAGGAAGGGTATGTACTCGGAAATGATGGTGCCGGAGTGGCCTCGCAACGTTACGCTGAACGTCGGCAAATTTCTGTACAATATTATTGTGAACGACGTTAAGATCCCACACGTGTTCAAAGTAGACGGGCCCGAGCGACAGATACCCGCGTTTTATTTGCTCTTTAGAACCAAGGCCGGTAATATATTGAGAGAGGAAATTAAACCGCATCCGCATCTGCACAGACTCTACAAGGAATCGCATCCGGAAATGTTAACTTTCGAGACAGTTCTGCTGCCGACGTTGTCTCCCCCGCGTCCCTGGACGAACATAAATTCCGGCGGCTACTTGTTCTCGAAAACGTCGTTCGTTCGTGATCCTTACATGACCCTGTCTTACTTGATGAAGAACATATCGAACGTGCAATTGTATCCGGCGTTCGATTGTCTGAACCAACTCGGTTCGATTCCGTGGAAGATCAACGAACCCATGCTGGACATTCTGATTCAGATTTTCCGAAACGGCGGCTCGGAGAAACTGAACGTACCTCAACCACCGTCCGCGCTGCCGTCTCTCGCCGAATTAACGGCTAACAACACGGTGAAAGATAAAAACAAATTGTCGAAGCTTGCGCTCGAGCTCAGACGCAAGAAAAACGAGATGTACTCGTTGTGGTGCGACTGTCTGTACAAACTGTCCATCGCTAATCATTTCAGAGGCAAAGTGTTCTGGCTGCCGCATAATATAGACTTCAGAGGTAGAGCGTATCCGTTGCCGCCCCATCTGACGCATCTCACGTCGGACTTGGGTCGTTCCATTCTGATGTTTGCCGAAGAAAAGCCGCTGGGACCGGACGGATTGGACTGGCTGAAGCTTCACACGATAAACATAACCGGAATGAAAAAACGTGAGCCGTTGCACAAGCGGCTCGAGTTCGCAAACGAAATTCTGGATCTTATTGTGGACAGCGCGAGGAACCCGTTGACAGGCGAAATGTGGTGGACGAAGTCCGACGAGCCGTGGCAAACTCTGGCCGCGTGCAAAGAGATCGACAACGCGCTGCGATCGCCCGATGTGGAGAAGTACATGTCCAGCTTTCCGATACATCAGGACGGCAGTTGCAACGGGCTGCAGCATTACGCCGCTCTCGGAAGAGATCAAATCGGCGCGGAGAGCGTGAACTTGTATCCCTCAGACACGCCACAGGACGTGTACAGTGTCGTCGCCGGTATAGTCGATCATTACAGACAGATCGATGCGGAGAACGGTGTTCAGATAGCCAGGGTCTTGAAGGGACACATAAGCAGAAAGGTCATCAAGCAAACGGTAATGACTACGGTGTACGGCGTGACAAAATTTGGCGCGAAACTTCAAATCGCCCGGCAATTGAGCGATCTGAAGAATTTTGATCAGAACTATACGTGGAGCGGCAGTCTGTATCTCGTCGACAAGACGTTTCAAGCTTTGCGATCGATGTTCACGAGCGCGAAGGAAATTCAAGATTGGTTCACAGATTGTGCTCGCGTTATCTCGACCAGGTGCAACCAGTACGTTCAATGGGTGACGCCGCTGGGACTCCCGGTTCTGCAGCCCTATTCCAAACGTACCAAGCCGACTAGTCAAAACCCCAAGACTATCAAGTGAGTAATCAAACACAGCGGAGAGAGACGAATTATATTAATTATAATAGCTCACAGAAAAGTTCAAAAATAATAATTGAAACTCTTGCAGGAAACCGGATACTTTAAAGCAGAAGAACGCCTTTCCACCGAATTTTATTCACTCGCTGGATTCGAGTCACATGATGTTGACGAGCTTGCACTGCGAACAAGCGGGAATAACGTTCATGTCTGTGCACGATTGCTTTTGGACGCATCCGTGTACGGTGGATATCATGAACAAAGTAAGAATTATTCATACGAACGCGTGCGTGTGCGTGTGCAATTTTAAATCGCAAATATATGTAGGTTTCATATTATAACAATTCTGTGTTACATGTGATTTTAGATCTGTCGACAGCAATTTATCGCGCTTCACCGCGAACCTATTCTCGAGGATTTGTCCAAATTTCTTTGCAAGAGATACGAAAAACATTTTACGGTCGTGAAGTAAGTTAAGACGATATTAAAGCTTTGAATATTAAAGAATTTTTTTATGTTAAACAAGTGGTAAAAAGATTTATCTTTAATTAAAATTTTTTTGTGTTTAGGCAAAGAAACGACGATCTATCGATAGAAGTTTTTAAGAAACTACCGAGGAAAGGTGATTTCGACATCAACGGAGTTTTGTCGTCGAAATATTTCTTCAGTTGAAAAACTGCTCACGTTCTCCAATCAAATCATCCGATATTTTATTTCTTTTTATAAAACTGAATAAATTTTTGTTTTTTCCCATTTTTTGCAACTTAACAATAGACGGAAACATACGGTAGCTTCTGCTTCAAGAATGCTCGAAGCAAAGGTATTTTGTCTGATTTGTAAGTCTCGAAAATAGCGTTAAAGTTCAGTTTAACTATATATTTGGAGGATGTTTTTCAGTCTTCAAATGTATATTACGCATACTGTATATTAAATTTAATATAAATGTATATACTGTAATATAAAATTTATATTATAAATGTAATTTATATTAAATGTACTTTGATATAATATACTATGTATTAAATTTGATATACTGTATCTAATGTTTTTAGCATATTATTTAATTTTAGTATTGTGTCGTTGTTGGTTAAATAAAATATTTGAAATATTTAAATCGCGTTGCTGTGCATTTATTATAGTTGATTTGCTGTGAAAATGACGAAGCGAGGATTGTTTGCCTGATCTTCTTTGTTGTAATTAACGATTTCTGGCGATCGTTCGACACGTGTATCGAGATTGATGTTGGGACGAGCAAGAGCTTTTTAATTTTTTAAATCGGAAAGTCGAGTTTGAGGTTAAGAGAAAAAATTGTTGTCATGGCAACGCACGTCAACAAAACTTGTCGGAAACTACTTGTATTCATTCCGCACAGTATCTGATGTTTTGTAACAAAAATAAGTTAATATTAACTCTAATAACGAAATGTAAGTGAAAAATCATCGTGCGATGAATAAACATTTCTAGATCCAATTTGCACTCGTCACATCGCTAACTACGACCCGTAGTAGTGTCAGTTGATGTTGATGACAAAAAAAAAATTGATAGGAGAATCCTGAACAAGTATAAAAATCAAGGTATAGCGCGCAACTCTTTGTTAAAATATAAAAAAAATTTATATACGATTCAGCTCTTTGAACTATTGAGAACGTTAAAAAATTTGAAGTTTTCAAGAAGAATCTGAACAGATTCAGAAGTTTAGATCTGAAATATGTGAAAAATTTTAAGATGTTGAAAAAATTTGTTTTTATTAGTCACGTTGTAACATGCATTATTTATTTCAGCAGTACTCAGTAGAAACTCATAGAAAAAAATGGAGGAAATAGAGTATATAGCTCTGATTGAGTGGCATTGTCGTCAGCACTACTATAACTCCATGCTGACTCATGCAAAGCAAGCGTGCAGTACTCATCCAAGCAGCGAGCAACTAAAGTTGCTGCTTTGCCTCGCATATGTTCTTGTTGGCAAGTGTCACGAAGCCATTAAAGAGAGCACAATTTTGCTGAACTACTCGGACTTCATGCTGCCAGCATTGCTTGTGCAGAATATCGCGCTGATCGAGAGCGACTCTGAAAGAAGTACCTTGACGCAAATAGAAAACAGGATTCGCGACGAGCGCAGGAAGGCATCCTATATTGCGTTATATCTTGCTGCATCCGTGTTGCTTCTTTCCCGTAAAGCTGACAAGGCGAGAGAGTACGCTGACAGAGCTTACAAGTTAAAACCCACAAATGTTAACGTACTTCTTGTTAAAGGATGGCTCGTCTTTAGTTCGAAGTTTAATACAAATGTCACAGAAGCTAAAAGTTTCTTTGACAGAGCATTGCAGGAAGAACCAAGGAATCTGTGCGCACTGTTGGGTTTAGCGGAGGCGAAGCAACGCGCTCAAGATTATTCGGGAGCTTTGTCGATCCTGAACACGCTGATCGTGCGGTATCCGAAGCTGCCCCTACCGTTCATCGGGAAGATGAATTGTCTACTCGCGGCGAAGGAATGGGAACAGGTGCTGGAGATTGTGAATCGGGTGCTCTCAATTGAACCCAACAACCTGGACGCCATCAAGGCGAGCTCTGTGGTGGTTCTTTGCAAGGACGGTAACTTCAGCGAGGGTTTGCCGCAGTTGCAATTATTCTTGCGCAATCTGTTGCTCGCCGAGCCCAAGAATGCGTTTCTTCTGATGAAGAATTTGCGTTTGTTCGCAAGCATTGCCTTTCAAGATTACGGAGTTTTATCTGAACTGGCGCGAATAACCGAAAAGATGCTGCAGGCAACGTCGTCAAATAGCGCAGAATTGATGGCGCAACTGGGAGATTTGTATATTACGTTGAGCAACGTCAAGGATGCCGAGCGCTGGTACAAGAATGCTATCCGTGCGGATCAGTCTTCTTTCGCGGCGCTCATGGGACTCGCGCATTGCCAGTTACTGCAGGGAACTGCGGAGGATCTAGATCAGGCGCGCCAGCAGGTATGAATAAATGCATGCGGTAAAACAACAACCGTGTACCGTTTAACACGTGTATTGCAAAATATACATATGTATTATACGTTTATTTTTATCATATCATTTCAGATAGAAATTATGATGGAGATACAACCGCATTCGACAAACGTGCAATTGCTGCTCATGTCTGCGAAGATTGCTTCTAACGAGGACACTGACAAAACGCTGAACTATTTGGACGCGGCAGCGAACATCTTGCTGAAGAATTGCGAGGGTCTTCCTTATGGTTACGAGTATCTCAGCGAGCTCAGACCAGATCTGTGTCTCGAAATTGCCAAGCAGCGTCTGATGTACTCCTTAAACAAATCTCCAACAAGCGATGAAGTAATTCAAAAGAATTTTTAATCTTTATGTAATCTTTGTTTTTTTTAGATTGTGTTATATATGATTACAACATACAATTTTTATTGTAGATTTTGTCACTTGTCTTTTTTGTTTTGTTTTTTAGCAAAATAAAGCAGTGGAAAAAGAACCGAGCGTTCGCTTGCTGGAGTGTTTGGTGGAAGCTTGTCCAGGTTCCAGTGCGAGTCTGTTGCTACTCAGTAAGGCCAGGATGCAGAGCGGTGACTACGACGGCGCGTATGTTCTGTTAAAAGCGCTGGACGCTGTAGAACCGTCCAATGCACAGGCGCATCTCGCAATGGCCCAGATTCTGGCATACCAGGGCAAATATCAACTCGCTTCACAGAGCCTAGAGGTTGGCTTGAGCTACAACTTCAAAATTCGAGACGAACCAATTTATCATATGATCATCGGAATGACACAGCGAGAAGCTGGCGACTTGGACGGCTGTATCAAGAGTTGTCAGACAGCGATGTCGCTAGCGGGAATGAGCGGTGGCATCGGTAGCAAATATGACGTGTCCACGACGGATCGCGCAACGTTGTACTTGGAATTGATCGCAGCGTACAGGAAAATGAAGCGGTTTCCCGACGCGTTGATGCTCGTCGATGAGGCAAAAGCAAATCTCGTCGGCACATCGGAACTGGGAAAGATCGTCATTGGCATGGCCGAGATCTATCTGGACATGGGAGAGTTGGACAATGCCATCGACTGTCTTCAAAGTATCCATCCGGGACAGTCGTACTACGTGCAGGCGCACACCAGACTAGCGGAGATTAATTTGAATTATAGAAAAGATCGCCAAACGTTTGCCAAGTGTTTTAGGTACAAAAAAAAAAACTGGATTCCTACGTCATATGTGGATACAAAACTTGCGATGAAGATTTTAATCCTTGGCATTTGATTTCCAGAGAGCTGGTGGAACATTGTCCAGGACCGAAGACATACAGCATGCTAGGCATGGCTTACATGTCCATACAAGAACCTGAGAGAGCGATAGAGGCGTACGAGCAGGCGCTTCTGCAGAATCCGATTGACAAGCTGGATATTGCGAATAAAATGGGCAAAGCGCTCGTCAAGGCTCATCAGTACGCGAAGGCGATCAGCTATTACAAGGACATTGTGAAGCAAGATAATTGCGCAGCTTTAAAATTGGATCTTGCCAAGCTGTACATGAAGATAAAACAGTACGACAAAGCGGAGGGAACTTTGGTACAAGAGTTACAAAGTGAAGTGTTTAAAAAGTTAAATAATAACGTTTATAATTGTTGACACATCCAAACAAGCTTAAGTTTTGCCTTGTGTAGATAAACGTGGCGATTCAGACATCACGAGCTTGGAGATACGAGGACAAGAGTTGCTGTTGCTTGCCAAAGTACGCGAGAAATCGGGTAATATAAAAGGAGCACTGGCGACGTTGAAAGAAGCCAAGGAGAATCAACATAGGTACATTCAGCGTCTCTCCATGTCGCCGGGCATCGCCGATCAGAGACACGCGCTGGCGAACATCTGCCTGACAATGGCCGAATACGCGTCGACTTTGCGCAACTACGATGAAGCTATAACGCATTACAAGGAAGCATTGACTCACAAACCCACGGACGTAAACGCTCTTCTCTCTTTGGCAAAGCTATACATGCAGGTCAATCAAATTTATTATTTAAACCTTTAGAACTTGAGAAGTTTTAATACTATAATAGATTTATCTTTTAAAAAACGAGCAAAACTAACTGTGATTTCTCTCTGTTAAATAAGTTTTTATTGATCTTAATTTATTAGATGAACAATTTGGATCGTTGCGCACAACACTGTTCAATTCTGTTGAATGCCGATCCGAACAACGAGGCCGCATCCGTAATGATGGCGGATCTCGCGTTTCGAAAAGTAGACTTCGACACTGCGGCGTTTCATTTTCGACAGTTGCTGATGCGCCAACCCACATATTGGACGGCTCTGGCAAGATTGATCGAAGTGTCGCGCAGAACAGGTGTCGTGTCGCGTATCAAACTTTTTTTTAATTCGCTTAAAATATTGCAGTAGCAAACATAATGCAACTCTGTCGTAGGTGCTATGGACGATCTCGACGAGTGGCTGCAACGTGCGCAGGCTGCAATGAGCGCCGGTTCCGTCGAGGCTGGCTACTATTACTGCGCCGGGTTGTTGGACTGGCGAACAGGCAAATTGAATTCGGCGCTTCGCAACTTCAACTTCGCGCGACGTGATCCCGAATGGGGTCAACAGGCGATCTACAATATGATCGAAATCTGTCTGGATCCCGACGATGATACCATTCTGTCGAGCGAAGCTTTCAACGACGAGGATGCCGAGTATCAGGACTCGAGAACAATGGCCTTGAGAACAGCTTATCGATTGCTTCAGGTTTTCTTTGTTTAAATTGACTTATAAGTAAATTTGTGTAAAAAAACTATTATTATTTATTTACAATCGTTGTTTCGTGGTTATTTAGGATGGCAATGCAGTTCATATATATTTATTTAGATTTAATTTGATTTGTTAACAGGAATTAAATCCCAAGGGAAATTCTCACGAAGAACTGACCCACAAATTGCTCAGCAACTTTTTTCTATTGGCTACCAAGCAGAAGTCCAACATCGAGAAGGCTCTGCAAGAGTGCACCTCGTTAGCCAGCCAAGAGGTTCTGCGAGACCACGTAGGTCCTGCCCTTGGTATGGCAACGGCTCACATTCTGTTGAAACAAACACCGCGCGCTCGAAATCATCTGAAACGCGTCAGCAAGAACGTCTGGACGTTCGAGGATGCCGAATACCTGGAGCGTTGCTGGTTGCTGCTGGCGGACATTTACGTGCAATCCAACAAATACGAGCTGGCGAGCGAGCTGCTGAAACGAGTGCTGCAGCACAACGCAACTTGTGTGCGAGCCTACGAATTGTCAGGTTCGGGTGGAATTTTAGTTTGGTTTAATTTAAGTAAAAAAAAATCGCGCGACACATTATTAATCTTTTCTCTTTCAGGCTACATCGCCGAGAAGGATCAGAATTATCGCGAGGCCGCGGCCAAGTACGCTCAGGCTTGGAAGTACGGCGGCAAAACGAAGCTGTCGGTGGGTTACAAACTTGCTTACTGCTGCATGAAAGCGAAAACTTACGCCGACGCGATCGAAGCGTGCAACGAGGTGCTGAAGCAAACCTCGGATTATCCAAGGATCAAAAAAGACATCCTGGAAAAGTGTATAAACAACCTTCGCATCTGAGATCTAGATTTTTATACATATATTGATCGAGATTGTTTCACAGTATATATACATTGTACGCGTATCCGTCCAATTGTTGATTAAACAAAGATGTTACACATGTCGGGAGTTAAAAACGGATAAACTATCTAGTGAGTAAGATACTTGCTTAGTAAAATAATATATCTGAGATGTTCAACTAGCATTGTATAACTGATAATTCAGAGGTTTTACATGTAAATATAAAATAGAACGTGTATACAAATTAAACCACAGTTGACGACGAAATATTAAGGTTGACGATTATTATTCTATGATTACAGTTGTCTGTGTACGATGACAGAGTAATACATTTGTTTTAAATTGGATCTATTCAGTTATATTTTCTTTAGACAGTTTTTTTATTCTTTCTATATATCTTACGAAATAGTATTTGTTCTGTGATTTGTTTGTTTTTAATCAATTATTCTAGTTTTCTCTGTCAGTAATCGAATTCAGCATTCGACATTCGGGAAGAGATTGATTCGAGAAAGAAGTTTAAAGATCGAGATACATGATTTGCGTGGCCGAGGCTGCGCCGCAGGTAGCCAGGATGCTGGCAACGTACACCACCGCCGCGGTGCTGTTCGAGAGACTGACGATCGTTCCTAAGCAACAGGACAGCAGGAACTGCGCGAGGAACACCATGGAGGAGACGATGGCAATGTCGGTGCCGAGTCCACGCACGAAACCACCGGATATCGCGTCACCCGTCGTCGTGAGGGCGAACGTCGAGGACGCGTGATAATGCGCCACTAGAAGATACGGCATGGTAAACAGCGTGGAGTACATGACGCCGGCTGCCCACGAGAAAACGATCACACCGACCGGATGCTTCGTTAAAGCCATCAGCATCATGCCCGCGCTGTAGAACAGCAATCCGTAGATGTAAACCTGGAGACAGACATGTACGTGTTTGTTTTTTCAACGTTCTGATGATCACAGAAAGATCGGTGAGAGAAAACAATTTACACGGGGTATAACAATTACTCTTTCCTCAGACTTTTTCAGATCTTTACATTTAAAAAAAAAAAAAAAAAAAAAAAAAACGATATTTAAAAATATCTCATTGTATTTAGTGTGTCACGAAAGGACAACGTTACTTTGCGCGCTCGGAAGCGCTGGATCAGTCGTTCGATGATGAGCGAGTAGCACGAGCAGGACAGCGAGTACATGGACATTCCCCAGCATCCGAATCGCACGCCTTCCTCGTAGAGCTCGCGTTCGAGGGTGTTCGCAGGCGCCTGCGGATTACCGCCGAACACCGCTTCACCAACAAAGTCCGTGAAATATAAAGAATAGCACACGTGCGCCATCCAGCAGAAGAGATTCGTCAAGCATACCTGATTCAAAGTTAGCGATGTGAGTCACGCGAAAATTCTCTTTTTGGAATAAAGAGAGAAAGAGAGGAAAAAATTGAAAAGAAAAACGAGCAAACAAAATCCTTCAAAATCGATCGCATACCAGGCGGAGACTTTGAGGCATGTAAACGATGGACATCAGGTACTCCTTCAAAGTCGCCTTGGGATTTACATCGCCTTCGCTTTCATCGAAACCAGCGTTCGCATGACCGTCTTCGGAAAGTGGATTCTCGGAATGATCAGACGGTTGAGTCGGCAGCGGATTAAGTGGGAATTCCTTTTAATTTTGATGAAAAATCACATTAGTTTCCAATTCCAGCTTTTCTTTTTTTTTTTTACGTCAAAGTAAAAACGAACTTACCTCCGTCTTCGAAGATTCGGTTTCGCGCTTAGCGTCGAGAGCACCGTACATTTTTTGCTCATCGGTAAAAATTTTTTCGTGCTCGTCCGATTTGTTTTCCGTTCCTTGAGTTTCTTCCGAAACCTGAACGTGGAAAAAAAGCAGAAGTTAAAATACGAAAGAAGCAACAAAACTATTAAAAAAAAAAAAAAAAACCTTGGATTCGTCAATTCGTCGATATTGATCTCTCTCCAACACTTCGAGGGGAATTTCCTTGAAGCTGGTGATTGTCGAGGTGACGCAGATTATAAAGATGATCGTGATGAGGGTGAAAGTCGCGTGCAGATGCCCGCCCAGCATGACGCCGAGCGACGTGGCGTCCCAGTTTATTCCGCCCAAACCGTAACCCATGAAACCACCCAAACCCGCCATTATAGTGAACGTGCTCAGACCTTTGGCATGATCCTCTGCGAATATCGCATAAAGGAATTTGGAATTTGCAAAAACCTCAGATTGTTTGTATAAAAATTCAACATGTAAATTCTAAAAATGTGTAATGCATGCAATTTATTTGTAATTGATTTACCAGGTACGGTAACATCAAGAAGATAAGCTCTCGCGGGACTCTGACAGGCGTCCGCGTCGAAGTCCAGCAACACCGTGCCGAGAATAGTGAAGAAAATACCCCAGGAATGCGACGAAATCCTGTTAGCGGATGGATGAAACGCTTCTTCCTTTGCCGTTGTGCGATGATGTCCGAGAGGAATCGTCTCGTTCGTGTGAAACTTCGTGTCGCCGAACGCGTAGCCGATGTGCTCGCCGTTCGGCACCAGTATAAGACCTGAATGAGGAAATCACACGAGAGAAAGAAAGAATCGGATTGATATTAGAACATTTTTTGATTCACGTGATCCACAAGCTTGCCTATGAAAACTCCCAAAGCTAGAAGAAGGATAAAAGGTCGTCTTCTGCCGTGTTTGAGTCTGCAGCGATCGCTCATGCTGCCGAGAATGGGCGTCACGAAGAAACCGACGAGGGGACTCAGTGCCCAAACCAGCGTCATGTGCTGGTGATCGACGCCTATCTTCAGCAACGTTGGCGAGACGAAAGCGGTCTCCGCCGCGTACGAAAATTCGATTCCCATCACCGCCGCGGACACCCGAACCAATTCGGCTCGAGTCTTCTTCCTGACATCGTTGGAAAAAACAAGACGAAAAGTCACATCGAAAAATAGATTCTTCGACTTTTTTTGAAAAATATTAAGGAAAAACACATTTATATTAAATATATGTATTTTAGAAATATTTTTGGATATATATGTAAATGTATTATATATACACATATATATATATATATATATATAAGTTGCGTTTTTACAAAAAATAAGCTCACAGAATCGTCAACGCGCTTATTTTTCACTCAATTGTAGGATTTTTTCCACACCTGTAGATGTGAGAGTAATCTTCGAGCGTGCGTTCCAATTTGGGCGGCCCTCGCAAATGTTGCTTCAACCCGTCCAAACCCTGATCAAGATTCAGACCGTCTTTCCACTCTTTCCACACGCCCCATCGTTCCCTGATGGTGTCGCGAACACCGTGTATTCTACCGGTAAGTCCCTCGTACTCGTGCAACTTGTCCACCATGATTGGACTCTTATCTCGTGCGAAAGAGAATGAGCGTCGCAACGATGCGCCAGTCGGACAGACACATCATTTGTTCGGAAAAGCGATTTAATTAGGTTGTTAACAAAATTGACATTCTGTTTTTCGCAAAAACTGCAAAACACAATAATTGCAACAAAATTATTATCATCAGTTGTGCTTGCGATAATTTCGCAAGAAGATAACGGAAGCCACACTTCGCGCGGAAGAATACGTACGCATTTTTGCAATATCTTGTTTCAATTCTATTCTTAGTTTAAACGAAATAATTTTGGTGAAATAATTTTAAACTTTTTATGTACGTATATATATGTATAATTTGTTGTTTATATTTTTTTGAGAATGATTACATATTCATCAGTTTTTTTTTTTTTTTTTTTTTTTTTTTTTTTTTTATCTCTTTTGCAGAATTTATATTAAGCTTTCCGAGTTGATAGGATCTGCAGATCTGGTGATCTCTCTTATATCATGTTATCATTCTAATTAGTTGTTACATGCGATATGCGATAAATGTAATGTAAAAATACGACCAACTTTGTTTGCGAGTTGACCGAACGACATCGCGACTTTTCCCAAGAAAACGCGGACGTGAGCGACAACGCACAACTGATCCCCGCAAGCTTGTTACGAAAGCACGAAAGCTCGAGAAATGCCCGCGCAATCTCAGACGAACACTCGCGCAATTCTTGCACAGTTGAAAGAAAAAAAAACAAAAAAAAACTTTTGTTTTGTTTTTTACATCAATCAATCATGACGTCTCGAAGATTTGTGTAACATCGCGATCTCGAATTTTCGACTATTATCGAGTATTATTTCCCGCGAACGGGATACGCACAATGGAATATTTCAGATTTGTTATTATTTATGTTAAAAAAAAAAAAAAAAAAATAGTTTTAAGAGACAGATTGCGAGATATTATATCTTACGAAATCATTTTACAAATTACAGATTATTGTTTGAAAAAGAAAGGGATCAGCGTTGCAGCAAGAGCGGGAGCGATTTTATTTTCGCCAATAATCCTGGGGGAGATTGGTCTTGGGACGTCGCATTTTTCTTCATGATACCCAGCAGATTTACGTGATGTCTAATAAAGAGGAAGGAACGGCGCAATCCGATTAAGTCGCGTATAACAGACGTAAATACGTCGAGAAATAGAGTAAATACTCGAAGGTCCATTCGTCTCGCTCTTGTTATTTTTTTTCATTTACTTTGTTCTCTATCTCTCTCTCTCTCTCTCTCCTCCGTTGTGTAAACAAATTAGAAGAAAAATGCGAAGACACACGGATAATGGAAAGAATGGGAGTTTTATAGCGAGAGAGAGAGAGAGAGAGAGAGAGAAAAAAAAAACAAGTGAATATATATACGATCGATACAGTTTATCGGTCTATTACGCAGCTTCGACCAAGGCCATTCACGCAACGAAAGCTCTTCGCTCTTTGTAGGTCTTCGTGGCCACCCCGTCGTTCGATGTTCGATACCGAAGACGAAGACGCTCTAAACAGTGTCAACTTCCTGAACTCGCGTAAAATCACGAACGCTTTCGTACGAGTAAACTTCAAAAAACAAATCAATTGTTCAAGTTTTTTTTTTTTTTTTTAAATTGTTCCTCTTGAGTTTTAGATTCTATTTGTGTGAACACAGAGAGAGATTTGGTTCAAGCTTATAAAATGGGTACTCTTGTCGCACGGCGACAAGAGTTCAATTCTTTTGTGGACTCGAGAAGAAAAACCGATTTAATTTCTCCGATTCTGAAAGAAACGCGAACAAGCGCGGCAGGATACAATTTCCTCGCAGGAAATTATGTCTACGAGTTGAAAAGAGCTCTTCGCGCCGTAACACGGCGGCGGTACGTTATTCTGTCCATGCTTTTAAAACGCTTTCAGAAATCGATCGTGTCGCGTACGCCACGTAAAGCGCGCGATTGATATTGTCGCTGGCTGCGCTAAATGTATCCGAGCGGATACGGTCTCTCTTGTCGGTGCGAGATGGAAAATATCAACGATGTATGTAATGTACATTACACGTTATCGCACGTGAATTTTAACAAACGATACACACTGAAAATTACGCAATCTTCGATATTTTATATTTTTGTATGTCGCATCATTTTTCAGTGAATATATTACGTGTAATTTTTTTTTTTTTTTTTTTTATGTAATCGTGTAGTATAATACGGTCGTAACAAATAGGATCTTCACTGAAATACAATTCTTTAGGAGACACGCATCTGTATTTATCTCTCAATATATATTTGTATTTCTATTTTTATAACACAAGAAATAATTATATCTCTAATTATATTGTTGTTGAGGTGATGTGAAAATCGTCTTGTACGCATGTAGTCTTTTTTTTTTTTTTTTTTTTTTTTTTTTTTAAGAAAGAAAATGATAAACTGGAATAAAAATTTCAAATTGAGAGACGAACGGTAGTATAACGCGAGAGTCTGTCGCAAGTCCAAGGTGACGGTCGTTAACGAAGAGAGGTGCGAAGACTTTTTTACGAACGTGCATGTGTTCATCCGAGCGTGGTGATTTGGCCGACGACAATAGTTGCAATTAATAGGTTTTGCTCGTGCCTTACTTGTTCTAAATAAGGCATCCCGGGTGTCCCGGTACTCGCCAATCGCTTCCGCAGGGCCGACGCGATAGATTCAACTGGACGTTATTTTTTTTTTTTCTTTTCCTCAAGATCGTTTTCGACGGGTACTTGTACGTAATTTATTTGCGAAAGAATGATCACAATCGTAGAGATTTTTAAAGTTTCTGTCTTTTTCTTTCAGAGAGAAAAATGAAGAAGAAAAGTTTTCGAAGATCGGGGGAAACAATTACATAAAAAACACTTTCTGCACGAGTGTGCGAAGGAAAAAGGAAAGGGAATTTCTTCCGAGAAGAAGATTGTATACAAAACCTCCCTCTCTCTCTTGTGTACAAAGGACTTCAATAAAAAGCTAAACCTCTCACCCGGAAATTCCCATCATAATCTGCTGAACAAAATCCACATTCGGGGTTAGTTCGTTAATTTCCAACGTGCGTTGTGGCACTGAAGATTCTATCATCGACCCTGCGCGGTTTCTTGCCATTGGCCCATATTCGTCTAAATATCGCGCGCATATCCGAAGCAGGTAGGGTTCGCGGCTATCGAAAGTAGTAAACAGTGAGGATCGCTGTCACCCAGAAAGAAAACGTTGTTATTATGACCCTCAGCGTGTGAAACCGTTTTTCCGACTGGAGGAAGTTTTCAAGGTACTTTAAGTTCGATACCACGGTCAAAGTTTTTCCGAATACGGATTCTTTAATCGCAACGTCAGGTTTCTGGTGAGAAATAAGATCCAAATTGTTTTTACGCGTATTTATATAAAATTTAAATTTATGTCAGAGTATTCAAAAGATAATACACTCTTACGTACGCGATGCTCTCTCTCTCTCTCTCTCTCTCTCTCTTTCTCTCTCTGATGCTTTCACGTGTATCATCATGTAACACTCACGTGAGACTTGCGAAATTTATCTTTAGATCCACATCTAGACGCGTTACGTATAAATATATACGTACATATAAATATGTAATATATACACATGTAATTGTTAGATAAAGATGTAGCCTCCCTCTCGTCCGCGGCGCTGTTCCACTCACTTCCTATATTCTCACACGGAAGCATAAATTCTTGCGGCGCAAGAAGTAAAACCACCGTTTACTCTAAATCATCCGTCCGATTTTTGAGCATGTTTTCAATCTCAAACAATTATTTCTTGCTTGTCACGCGAATTACTTCGTTTAATTTTCTCAGAAAAGATCGTGTGTTACGCGCGTTTTGTGCGCGTCTGTGCGCGTGTGAAACCTGAGGAGATCTCTGAAAAATAAACGAGAAGAAACAAGAGACACGCCAATGGCTCATCGCGGCAATAATGTGAAAAGAAACGATCTTTGCCTATGCCTAAGGAAAATACATGAATTGAAGTAAATTAATCTTCGCGCGCGCAGTGCCAATGACCAGATAATTATTATCGACAATAATGTAACTTTCTCGGCGATTGCAAGCGGAGCTTTTGTGTTTTTCCAACCACGAACGATTACATCATCGCGCGATCAATCGATAAGATTATTTGGCAACTTCTTTTGAAATAAAAAAAAAATAAAATAAAATAAATAAAAACGTTAAGCGCCTTAATTATCGCATTATGATATTGCCGATTGGATTTAGACAACACGCGGGTCAAGTGTATAGTTGCAATCGTGATTGCGCATCTACGTTTGATATCGATTTATTTTTGGTTCTATCTGCGATTGCAATCGTGAATTCCGCGTGTCTTCGTCGATACGCGTTCGCCGATACACGTTTGTAAACAAAAGTGACGAGCCAGTCGATCGTTTTAATCGGGGCGAGGTATCACACACACACACGAATGACATTCACACGTCGAGCGGAAATAAAACACGTCACTATTATTTTTGTACACATAAATTTCTTACAATTAATTTTGTTTGTCCCATCGAACACTATTTTTGTGCAAAATTTCAGATTGATTGGGAGCAGGGGTCATTCGGAAGTATATCCCAATTAATTAATTAGAGAGATATTTCTCGATGTTTTAAAAACCGAGTCTCAACTTGTTTTTACATCTTTTTCAGAAACTTGTAGAAAATTATGTAACACATGTGGTTTTTTATATTGTCGCGGAATAAGTTTTTAATCTTTTAAACAAAGTTTCGAACAGTTTTTACATTTGTAAAACGTAATTAGGTATTTTGTCTATTTATAGTTTTTTACATTTATATCTTGTCTATCAAAAAAAAAAAAGATTGTTCTTTTATAAAAGAGAAGACCGACACTTCGCGCGGGAACAATTAAGAATTTAACAAGTAACGTTGTGAAATCCGAATCGCACACGCACACGTACTGCGATCGATCAAACGATAAGAAAACAACGAAGGAAACAACAATATTTTCGATTCCAAGTGGACACATCTCCATTAGATTATTTGTCTGTGCAAATCCCTTGTGATCTGATCGCGCAAACAACACGATCTTTCCGACTAGCTGACTCGTTATCGCTCTAGGATTGCAATCTGCAATCTGTGTCTCGATCGCTTGATTTTTGAAATATATAAAATAGCCGTGAAATAATGCTCGCGCACGTGTTATTTATTTTATATATTTGTGACGCACCGCGCGCGCGCGCGCGGTGTTTTCGAACAGGGTTCTCTTATCGCATGTGGAAAATACCAGGATTTCACAAACACGTTTACTACGTACTCCAATAGTTGTAGATAATGAGAGAAGTAATGAAATAATTGGGTCGCTTTTGACAATTTTCTATTGGCCGCCAACACCGATCGCCAGATAAAGCGACGGCCGCAAAGCTTGTGCCAAGCAATCGCATTCTAAACAAATAACGTCTAAGAAGAAAAAACAAAAACAACAATCCGGAGAACAATCCGTCAAGTGCGCGTATTCTTCTTGAAACGTGATTTTTTAACTTGGAGATTTATGCGCGCGTCATTTTTGCGTGTGTCATTATCAATATTATTATCAGCGCGCTTCGCGTTTCTCAAACATGACGCGCCGATCTTCACGGATCGAGAAAGAGATGTCTCTTGATAAAAATGATTTATTTTCTGATTCTTCTTCTTCAAAATTTCTGAAGTTTCTGCGGATCTTTTACTCACAATGAGACAGAGAAGAAGAAACTTTTTTTCTTTTTTCTCTTCTCATTATATTATTTCTATATAATCAATTAACGCGTAACGTCTATCTGTTCCGAGAAGATGCACGTGTCTTTTGTTACATCATAAAATACTATACTTAATCGTATCAGATTTGCTGTTGTGTGACGCGTAAATGTGTGACGTGTAAATTGATGACAGGGCGACCGAAGAAAGGAAAAAACAGCATGTGATGCTGCGCGGTCCGCGTGATCTTGTATCTTATCTGACACTCTCGAGCAATTAAAGTGACGTAATGTAAATTGTATTACACAGCATGACACAGTTTCGCAAAAGGGAAACTGTTATCTTGCAAAATAACGACGAAAGCAATGATCCACGAGCAAACAAAAGAGTCGACGCTACCTGCCTGACTTCCGCGTACTCGTAAATTACGTATTGTAATTTATAGCGAGAGTGCAAAAAAAAACAAAAAGAAGAACAAATTATCGTTTCACCATGGGCGTGAGTGTGCACATTAGCGTTTATTACGCCAATGTCGGTAATCAATCGCGTTCCCCCGTCTCTCTCGCAAACAGAGAGATTTCAAAAACCGAGAGAAAGAGAATTTTACATATAGAATGTGTTCAAAAATTGTGTGACTCTTTATTAACGCCAATTGTGAAACGAAATGTTGAAGCGAAAATTTGGAATGATTTGGAAATGCAGATTACAAACTTCGTTGCACAACGAATGACAAATCGATTTTGTTTTTTTTTTTGTTTTTTTTCTGAAAAAAACTCGAGTGGATGCACGCGGAAGAAGATAAATTTGTGTTGTACCAGAGCGCAGGATCGGCAGATTAGATTAAAAATTAGAACAAAATCTTTTTCGTATACTCATCGAACTACGTTTGAAATTTTCAACACAGATTGTTTTTCTAATTAGTAATTTAACTCCGAAATTGAGTCGATCGCAGATGAATCTCATTTATTAAATAAGAATCTCGATTTTTCAAAAAGTCGTCAAAATGAATTGAATGAGAAACGCGAGAGTCAGCGCGAAGATTAGAATGATTTTTCGCGCCTTTTGTTTTCACACAGACATATACATATATCAATCATGAGTCATGCAGCGAGAGATCTTCGTTGAGATATATATTGTCTAAAATTCCACACATAAATCTACAAATTTAAAAGATAATTAAGTAAACGAACCTAAATAACGTTTTGCGCACTTGCTTTTAATTTATCAGTAAGTGTGAAAATAATCAACACATTTTTTTCTGCAAAAAATTTAATATTATTAAAGAGACGAAAAAGTAAAACAGAGAGAGAGAGAGAGAGAAATCTGTTGAAATTGTGAAGGTTTCTTATTCACACACACACACACACACACATCAGTAGATTTTTTTATTATCTACATTTCCTCATATTTTCTTTTGTTTGCGCGAGCTAATAAATAGAGATTAAATCAAATATTTTTAAATCCCATTGATTGAATTGTATTTCAAATTTTTTTTTTTATTTACTCAATTAAAATTAAATGTTTCTTTGCAGCCGAAAAAAAAAAACACTACACGTTTCTGTGTCTCCAATTATTTTCTTGTAAGCCATAAGATCTTCGTCTATGATGTACGTATTTTGAACTTCTTCTTTCCGTCTCTTCTTTATCGCTTCGAAAGAAGATTCGATGTTTCTTCCTCGTTCGTTTCACTCATCACGCTTTTGCTCTCAACTTCTCCCCTTTCTTTGAGATTTTTTCAAAAATTGAAACAAACTCTTGTGCCTCTCTCTCTCTCTCTCTCTCTCTCGTATTGAAATTTCAATCCTTTTGCTCGTTGTATTCGGGAAAAACCAAGAAAGTTCTATCCCTCCTTTTCAAAGAATAGACTGATATCTTATCTCGTTTTCAGCTCCAGCCTGAGGCTTCGAAAATCAAGGTGGGTGTCAGAATTCATTGTTCATGATCATTCACTCACAATCGGACGCGGTGGAGTAAAGGTTGGCTGCCGATCGATGATCGGATTTGTTCTTCATTAAAAACTTCCTCGCAGAAAAATAATCGCACAGAAGAGTGCGTGTCACAACGTAGTTGCTCTTGTATTATTTTATTGGTACTTTTCTGCTGGTCGAGACGCTTTTGCCAAGGGGTTGCGATCGAGCCGGAGTGGGATTCACGGCAGCGACGTCTGCAAGGATACCACCGGGTGTTCACTATTCACCAATGAACCTGGGGCATCGCCCACGTCAAGGACAACACTGCAGCGACGGCAGCGGCAGGAGTAGCAGCAACAACAGCACCAGGAAACGACAATCCGGCGTCACGTTCACAAAGGAGCACTTTCGGCGCGCAAGTTCATTCAGGACGTCCAGCGACTTGAGCGGCGACCATGGGTGAGTTTTCGAGCGTTGCTCTAAAACAAAATTTTTTTTACATTTTTAATTAAATATATGAAAAATTTTTCGTTTAACAAAGCGAATATAAATCGCGCGTCATTAATTGCACATTTATTTCTCAATCACTTGTGCCTTTTGCGTCTATTTACAGGACTCGACTTCCTGGCAGACGGAGGTGCCGACTTCGAGCATGCAATCACCGTAACAGGCAAGAAATCAAACACACTCGAATTTGTAAAAAGAATTTTTTTTGTACACATTTTCATTACAAAACATTTGAATTACAAAACAACTATCTTTGTATTTTAAAGAAATACAATGTCTAAAATCAGTCGTAAATCTTTGATCTCGTTGCGTCTAATATACGTGTTTTTTTTTTCAGGTTTTGGAAAATTTCATTACATGCTGCTGGCCGTTTGCGGTCTCATCTACATGGACACGGCAATTGGCGTAACAATACTTTCGTTCGTCCTTCCGGCGGCGCAATGCGACCTAGAGATGGATTCCACTGCGAAAGGGTGGCTGACCGCGTCTCCGATGTTAGGTCGGTGTTAAAAAATGCACGCAAAAAAAAAAAAAAAAAATAGAAATAAAAGTTTCTGAACAAACTTGTTTCATCTCTTATTTTCTCTCGCACTTGAATTGATATTAAATATTTATGCGACAATATTTTAATTTAGTAGTAAAATTAAAAATAAAGAAAACGAGTCAAAAACGAGACCAACTTCCGTCATTTTCGCCTGACGCATTTTTCACAGGCATGGTAATTGGATCGTATATATGGGGATGCCTGGCTGATACCAAGGGCCGAAAAATCGTGTTGATAGCTACATTACTGATGGACGGCATCGTGGGCGTCGCGTCCTCGTTCGTCCAGTATTTTTGGGTGTTTTTGATCTTTCGATTCTTCAATGGCTTTGCGTAAGTAACAACCCACACAGATAGCCAAATGTGAAAACTCAATATAAAGCAAATCATTGTATAGATTTGAAGTTGCTCGCCAATTGCTGTTGTGTTGTTTCTATTTAACGCAACGAAAATTGTTTTTGTCAATTCAGTATCAATATGCTGAGTTTTATTATCAATCAATTGTTGTAGCCAATGTTTAGGACATGTGAGTCGGCAACATGTGAGCAATATATGGGCAATAATTTTTATTCATAAGTTGAGAAAAATAATATAAGTTTATTGCCGATGAGTTGTTGAGAACTTGCTGCTGTTATTATAATTTTGAAAACTATTGTTGGCAAGAACATACTGAAAAGAGGATACACCCTTTTGTTACATTGCTGAAAACATATGAGTAATATTTGTGGCAAGTTAAAAACAACTTGCACTCAGTTGGCTATCTGGGAACTTTTCAGCACGCAATAAGCGTAAAAAGTGTGTGTTTTCAGAATGTGTGTTCTATTTTTTTTTATATGATTTTTTATTTGAATTTGAAAAATTTGACTTCTCTTTTTCACACAGGGTGACCGGCGCCATGGGCATCTGCTTCCCATATCTCGGTGAGTTCCAACCCACGAAATATCGCGAACGCTGTCTCTGCTGGATGGAATTGTTCTGGACGGTCGGCGTTATCGTCTTACCATGTAAGTGTGTATGTACGACCGTCGTTTTTTTTTTTATTTCAGTTTATAATTTTCAATGGTTAAAGCACGATATTACAATTTGTTCTCAGTGATTGCCTGGTTGATCATACCCATCAATTTCACTTACGTGAGCGAGATGTTCTATTTTAAGTCATGGAATCTCTTTGTCGCGATCTGCGCCTTGCCTTCGATCATGCTCGGTCTGTGGTTATTTGCTTTTCCGGAAAGTCCAAAATTTCTGCTGGAGTGTGGTGAAACTGACGCGGCGCTTGAAGTTTTTAAATGGATCTACGCGCAAAACACCAAAGCTGATCCCGACACGTATCCGGTGCGTATTGTTTCGGTTTTTTTTTTGTTTTTGTAGAAATTATAATAAAACCGAATACATTTTTCGAAGACACGTTTTCTCAGTCTATCGCGTTTCAGGTCAAGTGCCTGCAGGAGAAGACAAAGGACAAAAACACTAGGTCTTTGAAGCTGCACAAACGAAAAGATCTGAAGGTTCTCTTCAAGGAAATACGAGACCTGACGAGCGCACTTTGCAAACCGCCCTATTTGCGCAACACGCTGCTCGCATGTGGTATTCAATTCGGGCTCACCAGCAGTTACTACACTCTGATGGTCTGGTTTCCGGAATTGTTCACCAGGTAAGAGTTTCTTCCACTTTCAATTCACACACACACACACATTCACGGCGATTCGCGGCGTTTTTTTTTTAGAATTTTATTTAGATTGTTAATTTATTTAGAAGTTCTCTTTTTTCTGGGGCAAAAAAATTGCGGTAACAAAAGATTGTCGCCTGATAAAATTGATCGAGTTCTATTTTGAAGACGGCTCGAAGAGAACAATTTTATTTTTTGTTTTGGTTCAGATTTCTTTCGACTTTATTTTTTTTTTTTCTTCTATTTTTTACACACGCAACTTGCAATATTCTGCCACTTCTGTGTTATTCGACAGGTTCGAGGAGTTCGAGCACGAGAATCCTAACGAAATCACATCGGTATGCATCGTGTCTTCCTTGCCGCACAATCTCACGTCCTTCGATACTTATGGATGCGACACGGAGATCGCGCCGTCCGTTTATCTGCACACTGTGTACATCGGTCTGGCTTGCATCCCCGGGTCCATCATCCTGCCTCTTTTCGTGCACAAACTGGGAGCCAAGTTCTTCCTAAGTGAGTACAGAATCACGAGAAAATTTTGCTTGAAAAGAGATGAAAAAAATCCTTTTCAAGATGTTTTTTTTTTTTTTTTTTAATTAAGTTTTAATTATATTTGCAATTGGAAGTAAAACCTATAAATGTGTTCCGTTCTCGATGTGTGTCAGAAGTAATAGAAAAACGCATTAACTGTTTTCCAGTCGTCTCATTGGTGGTATCTGGCGCGGTGACAATAGGTTTTTATTATGTGGTAAATTCGATGCAAAACTTGGTGCTGTCGTGCGTATTCGAGGCTCTCACGTCTCTCGGGATCTCTCTAGTTTACTGCGTGATCGTCGACATGTTCCCGACGAATCTCAGGTGAGTGAAATCGGCGCGGTATTATGCAACAAGTTTTTTTTTTTAAATAACAAAACATACGTATAAGTACGGTTCTATATTTATGTTGTATAAATGCCAGAGTGCAATAACAATTAAATTATTTGTCGAGCGCAAAATAAAATAGTTTTTTCACTTCGATACTTTACGCTGACATTCATCACGACGTTCGTTTATTTTTTCCAGAGTGATGGCCGCTGCGTTGTCGCTGACGATGGGCCGACTGGGCGCATTAGTCGGCAACTTGGTGTTCGGTTATTTAATCGATTTAGCCTGCGTGGTACCTATTATATTATTTGCCGCATTCCTGTTCGGTGAGGATTTTTTTTTTTTTTCTAAACTTTTTAATATGCCCTATCTATATTTCACAAAGCGAAATATATATTAGACACATCCAAGCGTCAATGTTTATTTAAAGCGCGCATTATCTCTCAATATCGATTTTCAGCTTGCGGTCTTCTCTCGTTTCTACTGCCAAGAACTGGGAAGGAAACGTTGGAATAGCACAAACACAAAGATCTTCCAAAGCTTGGCCTTCGCAGAATCTGTACCTTTCGAACACTCCTTGTTATATTTATTAATAAATCCATTTGTAACACACACGCGGTGAAGTTACTTTTAATATTTTACATTAGATTGTATAATCTCGCTAATATTTTTTCGCAACACGTCCGCATATATACATGTATATATATGTGTGCATATACATATATTCATTGATCGTAATTATCGATTATAACAAACACGCATAGTTTATAACGTTTTTATCTAATTTGATATTATTTTTTATTTAATATTATTTTTAATCCCTGCACACATACTTATATATTTATTTTTTGATCGTAATTATCGATTGTAACAAACACGCATAGTTTATAACGTTTTTATCTGATTTGATATTATTTTTTATTTAATATTATTATTTTTAATATTATTTTTAATCCCTACATAAATATATATATGCATGTATATATATGTATATATGCGCGTAGACAATTTTTTAACTATGTAACATTTAAATCTTCTGTATATTTCACATACTTGTATATTTATTTTTTTTTTTATGCATATTGTAATTTAATTTTTTGAATAGACAAAAAAAAATATATATATATATATGTATGTATAATATGTATATATAATGTATATATATTTATATGTATATATATATGTGTACACACATATGTGTGTGAGAGATTGTTGACTTGATTTTAAGATCAAATAGTAATATGTGTCATAAATATTATATGTGTCATAAAACGATACTGTTGCTGTAAAAGTAATACATATATATGTATATTGCTATTATTAGATATTACGTTTGCCATCGAGAAAAGGAATTATGCAATTCAGTGTTAGACGCGCGTTCTATCAACGTTGAATTTCTCAATCAATGTCGAATGTGTGATGTAATCACTCAGGTATTCGTTTAACTAACGATTATCATTTTATTTTATTCGTTGTACAAATCAAGTGAATTGACACGCTCTATCGACGACGCTTTCAACACATGTGGATATATGTATACATATATAGAGATACCGTTTTTTCTCTAGATCGCGATACGATACGACACGCAAACCGATCGTGCAATTGCAATTTTAGTATAAAAAAGAAAAAATGATTTTATTGTTGCGAAATGAATTTATATATATAGTTTTTGTGAGCCGCGATTTTTAAGATTCGATTTATAAAATGTAATCACGAGCGTTCATACTTGTTGTGTAATTTCTTACAAAATAAAATGTCTTATGTAATTTTTTTGTTTTAATATAGGATGTTCATCTCAGTTTACGGTGGAATTAAATTAATGTTACAATCTCTCTGTCTCTAAACGTTCTCTTCCGATCTCCGCGCATGGAAGACATTTGTATTGATAAATTTGTAGATTTGTTTTTATTGTAAAAATTTTATAAGATCGATTTTTATTTACATTGTGCGTGTACGTCTATAGTAAAAAAAAAAAAAAACAACTATTATATTGAACAATCTTTGGTATGTGTTCTTTGCCTTAGAAGAGAGAAAAAAAAAGGAATCGAGGATTTTTATTATTTAATCTCTCGCGTGTAGAAATGAAAAAAAAAAAAAAAATCGAAACGCGCGATTCTCTCGTGCGTGAAGAGCGGGAGATAAGTACGCGCTCTATCGCGTAACCTTGGCACCCGCTTCCAGAATATATCAATGAATCGTTTAGTCTACACACGTGTGTGCGCGGCGACATGTCGTTTCAGATTAGTACGGCGAGAGCGAAGAATATCACAACGCGCGATAGCGTAACGTTGTAATAATAGTGTGCGAGTCAGAAAGTTTCGCTTGGCTTCGCATGATCTCTTCTTGTCATCGGAGACGCGTGAGTGCACGAGTACCGAGCCGACGTTGGCAACGACTGTGTGTGATTCACGCTGTTCTCAGGAGGTGACAGAGAGTGGTTCAGTTCACAGACAAACCCAAGTATTGTTTTTGGGATACAGAGAGAGAGAGAGACAAAAAAAGAGAGAGATCGGTGAACGAGAAACAGCGGAAGAGACGGCGAAGAACAAGACGTCGAGAACGCGCGCGTTTCGAGAAAATAAACGCGCCCAGAATCGATGATAATTCGCGAGGATGACGTAACCTGACGAAAAAAGATAACAAACGGCCGTGTTCGAGCAGCTATTTTCAGGTTATGTCCATTTCTCTGTTGTCGGGTTAGGGTCTAGCAGAAGGAAATCTCTTGTAAGCTTCTTCTTTATATTTCACTGATCCTGTTATTGTAAATGTAATGACACTTCTTTATTTTACTGATCTTGTTATTGCAAATGTAATGACACTTTGGCATTTTGTATTTTTCTGGTATGGCGTAACAATATAGTCGGATCTTATTATTTAAATTTTTTTTTTTGTCTCAAGTTCGTCGTCAGATGGTCGTCTGTGGCCAGTAAACGTGTATCTTCCGGATGAAACTTAAGACGATCTCGAGATCGGACTGTGAATATCGGCTCATACCGATAATTGTTATACCGATCATTGTTATCATAAGGTTATCTGGGAAGAAATATTCACAGACAAAAGCGTGAAATTACAGCTTGTCTAAAGATTTGTAAATTTACATGTTCGTCAATTATGTTAAATTTTTCTAGTAAAACGTTTGAAAACAACTGATAGGCCTAGTTTACACCGTTATATCTTTTTGATTTGAAATTTGTCTTTCAACGTATAATTTTGCCATCATTTATAAATGTGCTTGATACGCATATCGTTTGTTGATACGACATCATATCGTCGTTCCAGCTTAATATGACATCGTTCGCATTATTGAGACCAAGCCGATTTAATAACAATAATAAACTAGGTGTGAACTAGGCCGTAGTTTTACTTTACTTGTTCTTTTTGTTGCCCAAGTATTTTGAATTTATTTGATTTTTATTGTACCTACTTTAAGAAAAAAGTGAACGAGAAGGGGGAATGCGTTGCAGCGGAAGAAGCTGTAGAATTTGATTTGAAGAGAGAAAAGAAAAAGCAGCAAAATGGTCTTCGAGTCGGTAGTTGCCGAGCTTCTCAACAAGGTGCTCGGTGACTATATCGAGAACTTGGACTATACGCAGCTCAAACTCAGCCTCTGGGGAGGTAAGAAAATGTGTACAACAGATTTGTTTTAGATACGTGGCAAATATACGTGTCTTATACACGTAATGAATATTTTTGTTTCCAGGTGATGTTGTTTTAACTGACTTGTTAATTAAAGAATCCGCATTGGATGTGTTGGATCTTCCAATAAGATTAGAATATGGACGTTTAGGTAATAAAAACTGCGCCAACAATTTATTTGTTCTTAGTGACATAATTAATATCCATGGAACTAAATAAATACATTGATAGTTAAAGGTATTGTGATAAAATGTTATAATTTTCAGGAAAATTGATACTGAAGATTCCGTTCAAAGATATGTGGAATGGCCAGATAGATGCTATAGTTGAAGAATTGTTTATCTTGGTGGTGCCTACGAGTCAAATTTCGTACAACGAAGAGAAAGAGTCAAAAGCGCAGTTAGAAGCTAAACGGGCAGAACTCGAGAGAGTCGAAAAAAGAAAGCAATTAGCCGCGCTAAAACGTAATTACATATTTTTGTTTTTTTGATATTTAAAATCTCTCTGATTTGTAAATTTTCTATAATTTGTTTTTTTTTTTTTTTTTTTCCTAATAATTACTGCAGCACAAGAGAAACTGAACGATTCGATGGTGGAGAAGTTAGTTGCTCGCATGATCAAGAATATTCATGTGGAGATCAAGAGAATTCATGTGCGTTACGAGGATCACGTCACGTTCAAAGAACATCCCTTCTCGGTCGGCTTTACTTTGAACACTTTCATCCTGGAAAGCTGCACAGACTCGTGGGAAACCACCGGCAATCTGAAGGACATGTACGCCATCCCTCAGATCTTCAAGCTGTGCGGTCTGGACGGTCTGGCTGTGTATCTCAACACGAGCGTCGAACAGTACAGCAAAAGCCCACAATCCTCGTACACCAATCTTTTCTGCAGCGGCATTGCGACTGTGGATTACGTCCCGAGAGGCTATCGGTATCTGTTAGGACCGATCAACGTTAATGCCAAACTCAGATTGAATCCTAAACCCGAGTCTGACGGCAGCAATTATACCATTCCCAAGGTAATTAAAATACGCGCGTCGTTGAGACTCTTGCATTCTTTAAATTTTATTTATTTACGATTTGAATTTTTAAGTTATTATTTATCATAAGAATTATATTTTTATTTAATAACGATGTGTTTCGTATCGACGTCTTGGTTTTTCTAAATTCAAATTTTGTTCTCTCGCAGGTGTGGTTAGACCTGGAGATGCAGAAACTGCGAATCGGTCTAACAAAACAGCAATACCGGACTCTGGTATGTTTAGGTGAGGGTCTGGATCAGGCGCAGAAAGCCGCGCCTTATCGAAAGTACCGACCGAATCTGACGTCGTATCGCGGCCACTACAAAGAATGGTGGCGTTTCGCGTACACGTGTATTCTGGAGGAAACTGTGAGACGGTGCCGTCGAAACTGGGATTGGAATCACATGAAGCAGCATCGCGACACTTGCCGCGTTTACGCGCAAGCATATCAGACGAAACTGACAACAAAGAAACTGGCGAAGGAAATTGAGGAACGACTGACCGAATGTGAAACAAATCTCGACATTTTCAATCTGGTGATCATACGCCAGCAAATAGAATTCGAGGTAGAGCGACTGGCGGAGCGGGAGAAGAGTCTGAAGGCGAAGCGGGGCTGGTTCGGTTTTCTGTGGAACAGTTCCCAGGCTGAGGAAACCAAAGAACTCAATTCAGCTGCGGCCATTATGCGCAGGTTTGATTCTAAATGCTCGCCGCAGTAAGTTGTTGTGTTTTCGAATGTTTTCGATCATTTTTAGACGCTTTAAAATTTTTCAAATCTTATTCGTAAATCCGGTTTATACAAATTCTAAATGAACCGTTTAGGTTCGAAGAGGCAATGACGCCGCAGGAAAAAGAGAAGCTTTACCGGGCGATCGATTATCAGGAAAATAGCGCACCTGCGCATTATCCGGAGACATTCGAGATGATCGACACGCGTTTCTTCCTGCACGGTCTGCAGATCTCGCTGCTGGACACGGACAAGGAACATCCGTGTATTCTGGATCTGCAGCTGCACGGAGTGCGCGCGGGCTTCAAATCGCGGCCGTCCGCGAACGCGATCCTCGTCACCGCATCCATTAGCGACATGAAGCTTATGGGTGTGACGCAGGACGGCCGCGTGCCGTCGCTCTTCAATCCGGGACACGGCACACTCGATAACAGCGCACTGCTGTCAGTATCCTACGAGAAAAATCCACTCGACAAGCTGTGCGGCGACCGCGTTGTCGTCAAGTCACGGTCCGTCGACATAGTTTACGACGCGCAAACCATCATTGAACTCGTCAATATGTTCAAGGTATAGTTCTATGGTTCAGTCTGAAAAAAAATTCTGTTTTCTTTTTCTTCGTTAATTATTTAATACTGATAAATATTCTCCACAGATACAAGATTCCTCGACATTGAATCAGCTGCAGACAGCCGCAGCGGAGCAATTGGAAGTGGGTTTGAAAGATATGTCGGCGCTCGGGCTGGAATACGCGATACAGAAACATTCGGTGCTGGATATACAAGTTGATATGCAAGCGTCGCAACTTATCATACCGTATGGCGGTCTCTACGACGATTCGAAGGCGTTGATCGTCGTGAATCTGGGCAGTCTCAAGATGCATTCGTTGGAAAAGGTTGAGAGCGACTTGACTGGCGCCAGCGTCAAGCAGCTCGTTAGTATGGGCAAAAGCGAGGAGGAGGTTTTGCTTCATCTGCGAGAACACACTTACGACAAGTTCGTTTTGAAGATAGTTAATATCCAGGTAATATTAATTTTTAGATACTTGTCATTCACTTTTCGCCAGATAGATAAATAGATTAATTATTATTTTAGATATTTTTTACTTATAAACTATTATTTTTTTTTTATCTGTTAGGTGCTAGTCTCGCTGCCGAATGAAGAGTGGCGATCAGCCGTGGCAAGTACCGAGAGTTCTCTGACGCTGCTTCATCCGACCACTTTGGAAATTCAGTTTCACAAATGTCTCGTAACAGACGATCCCTTGTTGCCAAAAATTCGACTTCTCGGTAATCTGCCTTCAGTGAACGTGAACATAACGGACGTTCGACTGCTACAGGCATTGTCGGTCGTTCAGAGCATTCCTCTGCCCGAAGAGCAAAAGGCATCGGAGGCGCCGAGAGCCTCTCTTTCTGTCTCGCAGCTGTCGCTGAAGGAACTCGGTACCGCGATATCCAGCATTGCTGAAAAAAAGAAACAACAGCAATCAGACAGCGCGGACACACCGTTAAAGCAAACTACCGATCTGGAGATAAAGTTCGAGATGAAGGAATTTACACTGTCGGTGTCGCGAATCGACAACGCGGAAGCGTCGGAATTCATCAGGTTTGTACAACGCGACTTGTATCTCAGTTTCTACACAATCGGATTATTAACCAGAAAGATAATTTATTTTTGTTTTATTTAATAACACAGATTCCAAGTGCTCCAACTGGAGGCGGAGATGCTTCAGCGCACGTTCGACCAAGAAGTGCAACTTCGACTGGGCGGTGTGCAGTTGCGACAACGCTACAAGGATCAGGAGATCTTTATGGTCAACACACCGATGTCGGTCGGCAAAGACGAATATCTGATTGTTGTGCGATACATGAACGTGAATAAGAACTCGCCAGAGTTTGTCACGCGCCACGGTTCTGTTGTGAAGCTGCTTCTACTGGAGTTCACCTCGCTGGACACTCTGTTGCATCAGGAATCGCTTATCGAACTGTTGCGATTCAGCACGTACATGCAGAATCAAATCAATTTACTCGAGAACTCTCAGAAGCCGGTCGAACGCGCGCGACCGACCCAATTGACGTCCATTCAGGAAGAGACCTCCGGCTTTTTGAAGGAACAACTGCAAAAGAGATCGAGATCTGCCGGGCGACGTAAAAGACAAACGGTCGAGTTCGTCGATCTGAAAGTGAGCGCCAAGATCGGCTCGATCAACTTAAAGATCTCCAGTGTTGTCAGAGATATCACCGCGTTTTACATCGAAGGAATCAGCGCCAGTTTTCTCAGCAAGTCCTCTTATTCTCAAGTGAACGTCGACCTGTCTTCCATCAGCATTAAAGATCTGAATCCCGTTTCCGCGTACAAAGACATCGTGGCGGTGGAGGGTACCGAGTCCCTGCAGGTTCAGGCGGTGATGTACAACATCGAGCAGTGGGAGGTAGACAAGAACAACATGTCCGTGAAAGTGACAATGGGCTGTCATCGAATCGTCTTTCTGAACGCGTTTGTCACCAGCGTGATGAATTTCCTGAATAACTTCCAAGCTGCGCAAGAGGCTATTAAAGACGCCTCGGCGGCGGCGGCGGAGGCCGCGAGGACAAACATCAAGGACGTTCAACAGAGCGCATCTCGCATTGAACTGTGCATCAAGATCAAAGCGCCGGTCGTGTATATGCCGATGAATTCCAAGAGCGAGCACAGTTTGATGTTGGATATGGGCAATCTCATGGTACGATCTGACAAAATTTATGACAATTTAATCTAAAAATTAAAATTTTTTAAAATCAAAGATGTGTATATTTTCTTTTTAATGTTTTTTAATTAAATAATTACGTGCAAACAAAAAATATATTAAAAAATTCTTAATGAATTAAATTTCAATATGTATAACGAAAAATTGCGTGGGCAGGTATGCAATGTCTTTAAGAAGTTAGATGTGAGAAACGAGGACATCAGCGAGTGCCCGGTGGTGGACGAGATGAAGATAGAGTTGCAAAATCTCAAGTTGTCGCGCGTTCGACTGAACATAGAAAAATTCACTAGCGAGAATGAAGTATTGCTGCTGGCACCGGTGACGTTCACGCTGCTGATAAAACGCAACTTGTCCACTGCATGGTTCACCAGTATTCCGGACATCGAAATGTCCGGCAGATTGAACAAGATCAGTTTAATGTTAAGCAAGGAAGATTACGCCAAGATTTTAAAAGTGCTCGAGCAGAATTTGGGCGAGACCTTCGACGATCCAAAAACTGTGAAACCTGCACCGTCCGCCGTGAAACCCGGCATTGAACTCGAGGTGAATAATAATATTTGAATTACTATTTGTAATATTTGATATATAAAATTAAGTAATAAAATTTCACATTCAGCAAAACTAAAATTTTTTGCAACGAAGAATTCAAGTTCTCTCTCTCTCTGTTTTATTTTCTAAAGCTTCAGCCAGCGTACAAGTACGAAGCGGACGCGTCGCAAGAACCGCCGTCGACGGACACTCAAGAGCCGTTGCACGCACGCACATCGATCACGTTCGAGTTCATTATGGACAGTCTGGTGATCAATCTATTCACCGGCGGTTCCAAGTTGCTTCAGTCGCAAACGTCGCCCATGCACCTGTCCGAGAACGGTCTGGCGCGCTTCAGTATTACGCACTTCGCCGTGAAAGGTCGCATTTTCGCGGACGGTTTGCTGGTTACGTCGATTCTGCTGATGAATTGCACGTTGGACGACACGAGGCCGAGCCGCGAGGGTTCGCTGGTACGTATCATGGAAAGGACCGTAAGCAGCGGCTTGTCGACACCGGTGTCGAGGAGCGCCAGCGAGGATCACGTGAACAACGCCAAGTACAATTCCCGCAGCATGCTGGACGTGACTGTACGTCAGAGTTCGAACGACATATTCGCCGACGTGCGCGTGTTCTCCTTCAGCATCATCGTGTCGCTCGATTATCTTATGAAGATCAAGGACTTCTTCGATGTGGACACGACGACGAAAGACAAGACCGCGGCCGTGACCCCCGCGCAAAAATATTCGAAGAGCGAGTCGGTGACGCCGAAGAAAAAACAACAACCGACACAGCAGGAGCCGACTACTTCGACGCCCAAGATGCTGACTGTGAATCTGCACGTGGAAAAGCCGGATATCATTCTGCTCGAAAACATGGACGATGTCGACTCGAATTGCATAGTGCTGAACACGGAATTGTTGCTGAAAATGCGTATTATGGGAGAGCATCAGGTGATCACGGGCTCCGTCAAGGATCTGTCTTTATTGACAGGAATATATAATCCTTTGAAAAGGGCTGATTGGAGTTATCAGGTATATAAATCAAATGTTATGCATACAAAATACTACACAAACGTATATTTATGTATTTTAATACTTTATTTTTATTTTTTTCATAATCTTTCCAAAATTTATTTTCCAGGTTTTGAAGCCGTGCAGCATTAGCGTGGCAGGCTCGACACCGGAAGGTAAAGGACTGCACTTGGAGGTCTGTTGCACGGACATTCACATCTCCGTCTCGCCAGGTATTATCTTCGGGATATTATCATCGAGCTATAGTCAGTAATTTATGATAGTAACATGAAAACGTAACGTTCGGCAGGTGTGATTGAAATATTGAACAAGGTCATTCAGACGGTAACGAAGAAGGAGGAAGAGAGCAAAGAGATTGTTAAGCTCGAGCCCAATTACGAGGGATTGTGGATCATCACGCCTTTCGAAGAGCACGATTACTGGTTCTTGAAAACAGGTTATTTTTCGACTGTTTGATAATTAGTCTTGTTCATTTGTGAACGTAAGTACACATCACACGAGTCAGATTCGAGTTAGTTGCTAATAAGAATCCTTCATTTTCGTTCAGAAGTTGCGATGGAAGCACTCGAGGAGTTCGTGTATCCGGAAGACGAGATCGCGACGGTTTACAAAGCGGAGTTGGCGATTGTTTCAGCGCCAACAATCTTGTTTACTCTGGAAGCGGGTATCGGCAACAAAACTCTGCCCATGTTGCTGCTTAACTTGGGCTTTCAGAGCAGCGTCAACGATTGGAGCACAAAATCTGTAAATTTCTTATTATAAAATTTCTTGATACAAGTCAATTAGCGAATGAATATGTTTGTTATCGCGTCTTTATCCCGCAGATGAGCGTGGACTGTTCAATGTCGGTGATTATGGCGTACTACAACAGTCGCCTCGCGCTGTGGGAACCGCTGATCGAGCCTATAGAATCCTACGAAAACAACAAACGTGTCTCCACTCCGTGGGAGCTGAGAACAAAGGTAGTCCTAGTGTTGTTGTCGCTTTTAACAAGTATTTTATATTTTTATTAACATCATTAACGCGTCGGTGTTTAAGGTACAATTCAACGACGTTCTGCTCGACTCCAGAGGTGCCAGCGCGGTCAGTCCGACTTCGGACAGTGATGTTGAAGAGCTGCATCAGGCTACCAAGATGTCCATCGACGTCACATCTTCCGTAAGTTCATATAATTTGTAGATGATAGAGTAAATCATCTTCTTCTTACGTATTCTTGCTCGGAACAGGATAATTTGGAAATAACCGTGACGAAAACGTGTCTGGATGTGTTGAAACAACTCGGTGAGGCGTTTTCTTCAGCTATGGATATCAGCAAAAAGGGACCTGCGAGAAAGATGGCACCGTACGTTCTGAGGAACGAGACCGGTTTACCGATGATACTCGATCTGGAGCACAGTGTCTTCAAGGTCGGTATAATGAGAAATTTGTCTTTCCATTCGCGTTCAACTCGCTTCACGAACGTGAGCTTACAAATGCAATAATGATGCTTGCAGATTTTCGACGACGAATCGAGGATGAAGGACGACAGCAGTTCGTACATGGAGGTGATTCTTGAAACCGGTGCGTCGATCGAGCTCGCGCCGAAGACGTCGAAATTCGACACGCACGTTCTCGAACAGCTGAAGGCGGAAACCGTGAAGGACAGGGAAGACAGTAAATTCACCGTGTCTGTACGTAATCAATAACATACACAATTCAACGACATAATTTGATCACTGTTACCTTCAATTAACGTGACATTGTGAAATTTAACAGTTCAAAGGTATTCAAGGCAAACTGGCGATACCTATGTTGAGAGCGGACAAAAGATTCTTCTTTTTGAAGTATCGCAAGGATGGTTCTGAGGAATGGGGTATCGTGTCGGATGTCATTGTAGAAGAGGGTAGCACGATCGTCACTCTCAGAAGCATACTTCAGGTAAACGGAAAATAACTGTTCTATTTGCAAAGGAAAAATCAGCTTTAAAATGCGTGTCTCTTGATTTTGTGTTTTTTTTTATACAGGTTTATAATCACTTCTCGCAACCGATATCCGTGTACTACATGACGAAACGCGGAAATGAAGTGGAGTGCGTAGGCACCGTGGCACCAGACGACAAGCTCAACTTGCCGTTGGACGCTGTATACACTTCATCTAACATCTACTGGTTGTTCTTCAACGTCGACGGGTTCGTGTTCTCTCAAATATACTTTTGATAACATCTTTTTCTCTCTGCTTTTACGGGACAATAATAAAGTTAATATACGTGTTTCACACGCTTAAAATATAATTACAGATACATGGTATCAGTGGAGCCGTTCATCTGGAAGGACCTGCAGAAAACGGTTTCCATGACGAAATTACTGAAATGCGAACCTCGAGCCAAACAAGACGACAGAGAACCGTTTTACATTCAGGTCGACAATCTCATTTTTTACATAAAATTCTCTTTTTTATGTTAGCGTTACGTGATTCAATAATTAAGTTGAAAAAATATTGAATATTGAATATTATACAATCATTTATAATGGAAGATATTTGTTTGCACAGGCCGTGGGAGAGATAGAGCAAGTGTATTTCGAGAATACAATGCGACACACCATGGCCAGCACTATCTACAATGTGCATCTGTACCCGTCGGTGTACCTGAAGAACTTCCTTCCCATCGATATTATCATTTGCTTGCCTGGCACTGCGCAAGAAACCCTACTTGAGGCTAGCGCTTCTCTTCAGCTCTCTACGATTGATCCAAACAAATCGAGTATAATCATCAAAGTAAGTACAAAAACTCTCTATTGTAAACTTATTTTTTTACAAATTGCACGGTTGAAAGTAAACGTTAATAGAATGTTGAAACTCAAAATATATTTTATATTTAAAATATAAATCATCCATCTGTGTGTAGCTTCCTAATTACTTGGAAAAAGACTGGTCGTGTAAAGGCGAGATCGTGGCGAATCCGCCCGAATTCGCGGTCTGGTCGTTCGAGTCCTTCGACAGCGCGCAAAAGGTGAACCTGGACCTCGGAATGCACACATCCTACAAACACGGTTCGATCATTATGGCGCTGTATTGCCCGTTCTGGATGCTGAATAAAACCGGCTTGATGTTGTCTTACAGGGTAAGTTTGACGGTGTCGATCACAGTCTCTTCTTCTTTTGCATTTGCAACAAAAACAAACTGCATTTTTTATCTTTCTCTTTTATCCTTTCCTTCAACGCGCGTGTGAATACAATTGTTTAAAAAATCCTGAAACTTTTTAGAAACTAGATGATTTAGAATGCATCTTTTGAATTAGAAGTTGAGAAAAATTCCTTCTCAATATATATATATATATATATATATAGTATATATATGTAGAAAAAATGTATATATATATATGTATATGTACATACATACATACATACATACATATATATACATACATATATATATGTATGTATGTACATATACATTAACATGCTGATTTCCTTTTTCGCATTCTCTTTGTTGACGTTTCGCGCTAACTAACCACTGCATTGTGCATGAACCAGATCTCTCTGAACTCAAGATGTGCCCTCCGTTATTTTACAGAAATCAAGTAAGGGTGGCAAAGAGCACTCGAGTCCTATCAAGGTAGAGATCGTTTATTCTTGTGCACTTACTGCGCTTCTTATGTCAATAGCTCTTCTGTTCGCGATTAGTTCCGCTTCTCGAATTTTGTTTATTACCAGCTGTATAATGATAATAATAATAATTGTAAAAACAATTTGTTATCGACTTGTTGTTGGCAATTTTATTTATCGAGTCGTTGGTTATGTGGACGTTAAGTGGTTTTATAAATTTTATTCGTCAAATGTACGTAGAAAACGTCTTTCAGAAATTCGTTTCCGCGATGAAACCCCATCGGCGACGCGCACAGTACAAGAAGAGGAAAACGCGCGCGGTGACGCATCGTTTTTTATTTTTCAAATATTAGGTCTACCGGAAAGTTCTGTTCGTTTTTGGAATAAAACAAAATACAAATTTTTCTTACCGTCAATAAACTTGATTAAATAATATAATTGCCATTATTACTAATGATTTATTGCCAGCGTGAGGGCAATTTGTATATCCCATTTTTGAAAAATTAAGAAAAATTTGTATTTTGTTTTATTCCAAAAACGGACAGAACTTTCCGGTAGACCTAATATTATATCGCTGTTCTTACGCTTCTTGTGTTCGCAAAGACACCTCGATTGTTGTGAAATAACCAACTAGTCGGGATTAATCGCCGGAACTGTGTTAAATTATCATCATGTTAGTCACCTGATGTGCTGAGTTTTAATAATCTTTTATTTACACGTCCCTCCCCCCTCTACCAAGGTTTTTAAATATGTAAATCGCATTTATCTGTGTGTGCGTTATAACCGAACAATTCTATTACGCTTGTTTTTATCACAATACTTTCTTTCTTATTTCCTTGCCTTGTCTATTTCTCTCAATTTATATTTGACTTGTTTTTCCAATGCTCGGACTATATCGTTGCCCAAATCCTCGAATCTCGTCACGTTGTCTCTTTTTATTGTTCAGGGTCTTGGATAAAAAACAAACAACAAAGTTTGCCGTTAACGTGTTATCTATGCATTTGCTAACAGCATGATAATCAGAAAAAAACAATTTTGTTAAGCAAGGGTTCACCGTTGATCGCTTCTTTTTGTTTTTTTTTAGACATCCGATGATTATTTGAACATTCTTTATCACCCGGAACACTTCAAGGGACCTATTCTATTCTCGTTTCGGTCCAAGAACTTCTTCGGCAAGAAGAAGGCCATGATCAGGGTGGAGGACGGCGAATGGTCGGACAAGTTTCCCATCGACGTTGCGGGTAGCGTTGGCGTTGTGACGTGCAAATACAACGGAATGACGTATCAGGTCTCGCATCGTCAATAATTTTCAAGATTTCTCGTATTCCGTCACCTCTGAGTGTCAAACAAATACGCGGAAAAAAGAAATTTTATATGTTACTTTAGAAAAAAAAAAAAGAAAATCTGATTAAAAGAATCAGAATAATCGATTTTCTTGTTTTTATAGATTGGTGTGCACAATCAGCTGACGTACAACTCGTTGACCAAGCAGATCACATTCACACCTTACTACATACTCATCAACAATGCGGATTACCTCATAGAATGCCAAGAGGGTGATCGACCAGCGGATCCGATGATTAAAGTACGTTGGTTAACAGCGATTCGATTATATACAGTGCGAATATTGTTGTTTTGTTGAAATGCTAGATTTATAATAATATAATGTTATTGTATAACGCGCGTGTGTGTGTGTAAAGGTGCTTCCCGGCGAATGCACGGCGCTGTGGCCTCGAACGCAATACGAGCACAAGACTTTGAAGGCCAAAGTTGCGGGTCAACCCGAGAAAACTGCCGCTTTTATTTACACAGATAGCCACACGACTCTGCTAAAATTAGACAATAAGGTGGTAACATGAAACAATAGCCTTTTTAATATAATTGTTTTTTTTTGTTTTTAACAAAACCCAATGTTTATTTTGATATTTTACTTTTTGTTGCAACAGTATGGCGGAATCAATGTAGACGTGCAAATAAACGAAGGTGGCATTTACATTTCCATGTCGGCCTACAGTCCGGGCAACGCGCCGGCTTTGATCATCAACCATACACCGCGTACCGTCAACTTCTGGGAAAAGGGTTCGATCAATATCAGGTAGAAAATCTACTAAATAAATAAATTGTAAAGTTAATGAACAAGGTGACGGGTCGGTTCTGTGTATTTCAGTTAAATATCATCGTGAATTGTGTATATTTGTTCATTGTTAGATCCGTGCAGTCGTACAACAGGATGTTCTACACCTGGGAGAATCCGGCGGGTCCGCGAAAGTTGGTCTGGGAGGACAGCAATAGCAAAGAGATCGAAGATAATCTTCGCAAGGTAAAAGACGAAAAAAAAATGATATCGCATGAACGAGTGAATCCTCCTCCTATATAAAAAATCTATGTGTACCGCGAAGTGCGCGTTTTGATATCGAATGTATCGCATCTATTGTTGTCTCTTTTCCGCGTTGCCGATTAGTTGGTTGATCGAGTCGAGTCGAATCGAATCGGTAAGATCGAGAGAGTAAATAATGACAGAAAAGCGATTTTGACAGTTTGTCGTATACGTGGAGAAAATTAAAAACGTGACTAAAGTAAAGTCACTTGACAGAAAAGAGTAGAAAAACAACACGTGACTATTTAAAGTAACGTGATTGTAATTTATATTATATATAACATTAAATAATATATATTATACATATAATTTATTATATACATATAGTATACAATATAAAGTATAATATTATACTTTATATTGTATATTATATATATATTATGTACATACTACCGTAAGATCACTGACCTCGGCCGCGCGACCGTGGTGGGAGGAAGGTCACTGACCCGGCCGCGCGACCTTGGGGGGGGTCACTGACCTCGGTCACGTGACCGCGGCGGGGTCATTGACCTCGGCCGCGCGACCTTGGCAGGTTCATTGACCTCGATCACGTGACCGCGGCGAGGTCACTGACTTTAGTCACGTGATTATGGTATATATATATAGATATGTGTGTGTGTATTATATATAGATATAGAATATTATATATAATATATATAATATTCTCTGTTTTACTCTTGTCCCTGTCACGTGACTTTAGTCACGTGTTGTTTTTCCATTCTCCCTTTTTTCTCTTATTTTTTGAGTTTGATTTTCATGCGTTATTTCTGACATCTCTCATATGTACATCATGTATATTATATTGTTTATAGGACGTATATATTAGCTGTCATTATGGTGACAGGTTAAGTTCACTCACACTACACGTTAAAATAAAAGCAACAATAGCGTGCGCGTAGCGCGCGCCTGTGTTGTGCTAGTCGTAGAAGAAACGATTCATTGTCGTTTTTCTTTTGCAGGATAATCTTGGTGCGTTTCAACTGCAAGACATAGATGAGGATCTGTTCTACGTGTCCTTTCTGGATGGCACTCAGCGAGTGCTGTTGTTCACCACGAATTTGAAGATAGCGGAGGATTGCCAGCTAGCCGGCAATTTGGAGGTCATTGAGCAGGAAATCACGTTGAACATTCACGGCATCGGTTTCTCCCTCGTCAACAACATTACCAAGTCCGAGCTGTTGTACATGTGCATCGCTAGGTAAAAATAATATAATTGCAACGCGTTTTTGAAGAAGTAATTTATATTCCTGTATTGAGAATGAGTTTTTCTTCTAGCTCTGGAATTATATGGGAGACACGAAAGTCCCTTGGCGGCCGTTGGCGAGCGTTAAGCACCAAAGAAGTTAATGCGATCGAGGAAGGATATCAACGATATCTTAAAGAATTGCAAATTGGAAAAGAAGCGGACTATCGTGTGATGCTGGAGCCGAAGTTGATGGTAAAATAAAATTATCTAATAATTATTAAATTAACTTCTATATATATGTATGTTGTGATTTTTTGTTATAATGATATATTTCAGGTGGATTATTTAAACATGGAGATGCTCAAGCCGCATCGCAGGTACATGAGACGTACTTTCCAGACCGGGCTCTGGTTGCAGTATCGCACCTCAGCGCATCAAGTGCAGCTACACGCGAAAATCAACAGACTTCAGATCGACAATCAGCTGTCCGAGTGCGTTTTCCCGGTCATTCTCGCACCGGTGCCACTGCCGAAGAGTGTCACGCAGAGTACAGGTATTGTTTTGTTATTATCTTAGAATATATCTGTGTGTCCTTGGAATATTGTTTAAAATTGGGAAATTTAAAATCTCAAAAAGTTTTGCTAAGAATTTATTAGTTATCTCTGTAAAAACTATATTTTATATATATAGTTTTGTTATCTCTGTTTTTCGTTTTTCTGTAGTAATGAAACCCTTCGCGGAACTCAGCATGGTCAAGCGTCTATTGGAGCACAGCACCGTGCAACAATTCCGTTACTTCAAAGTTCTCGTACAAGAATTCCACATCAAAGTCGACATTGTCTTCATAAACGCGATAATGGGTCTTTTCGAGGCGAATGAAGTCAACGACGCGGAAGAAGTGAGTTAAGAAATTTATTAAAATTTATTTCTTAATAATTTATTTATGATGCAATAAATACAACAATATACTTTTTGTTATTTTTTTAATTTCAGAGCGCACTTTTCCGTACCGACATGATGCTAGTCAACAAACCATTGATGTATCACGTCAACTTGATTACCACAGCCGAGCAGAAAAACTTTTTCGACCTACTGCACTTTTCACCACTCAAGGTGCATTTTAGTTTTCGCGTATTATTTATAGTTCACATTATTTACACTCAGAGAAGTTATGTTACGTATCTTTAACAATTGAATTTTTATTGTTTTCTCTGTAGATACACATTAGTTTCTCGATGACGGGCAGCGGAGAGGGACCTTCTGCGCTGCCGCAAGTACTTAATGTCCTGCTGCAAGGAATCGGCGTGACGTTGACGGATATTAACGATATTGTGTTCAAGTAACGTGTTTATTCTATTTATAATCAATTTTATTAGAAGCAGTCTTTCTCTTTACTAAGATCCAAACTTCATGATTTTGTACACCTGCAATTTTTTGAGCATTTAGATGTACGTAATTGAAATATCTTTAAAAATTTGCTTTATACACAGATTGGCGTATTTCGAAAGAAGCTACGTGTTCATGACACACAAGCAACTCATTTCTGAAGCGACCACTCATTACGCGGGTCAGGCAATTAAACAGGCGTACGTGCTTGTTCTGGGACTCGATGTAATTGGTAATCCGTATGGACTCGTGATCGGAACGATGAAGGGTATAGAGGACCTGTTTTATGAACCTTTCCAAGGAGCTATACAAGGCCCGGGAGAGTTTGCGGAAGGCCTGTTTCTCGGAGTGCGCAGCATGTTGGGCCATACCGTGGGCGGCATGGCGGGCGCTGTGTCGAAAATTACAGGAGCGATGGGTGCGCGTCTTCAGTCATATTGAACGTTTTATTTATCCAAGAATCAGAAGCAAACAAAATATTTTTGTGTAATATACTTTAAAGTTTTTTTTTTTTATTTATGTACTTAATATTTTCTCTTACAGGCAAAGGAATAGCTGCTTTGACTTTTGATAAGGATTACCAGAAGAAGAGGCAAGAACAATTGAACAAGCAGCCCGCAAACTTGCAAGAAGGTCTTGCTCGAAGCGGAAAGGGCTTAGTAATGGTAAACTTTCGAAATAATTTAACTTTTTTTAGATTAAAAAGTTAATTAACGTATCTTTTATCTGCTCAAATTCTATATGTAATTCATTTGGCAGGGTGTAGTCGATGGTGTAACAGGCGTAGTAATGAAGCCTATAACCGGGGCGAAGGAGGAAGGAGTAGAAGGATTCTTCAAAGGATTCGGAAAGGGCGTCGTTGGACTCGTCACTAGACCCACTGCCGGCGTGATTGACTTCGCAAGCGGTTCCTTTGGGGCCGTCAGACGGTAAATAATAATTGTTAAATAAAGAAAATCTCTATCTCAAAATTTAACACAATTTATCAGTCTTTGTATAAACGTACTGGACATTTATATATTTTACTGTACTTATGTTCTGCAACTACACATTTTACAGAGCTACTGAGTTAAACGAAGAGGCAAAGAGAGTGCGATCACCTAGATTTCTACAAGCGGACAATCCTGTTAGACCATATATTAAGAACGAAGCCGAAGGGAACAAAATATTGACGGTGAGATAAATACGTTGTAAATTTTTTATGTAATTTGTGCGAAATAATGTAGTTAATATTTCACGTTTCTACACGCGAAATTTTGCTTCGCAGGAATTGGAAAAAGGAAAATATGCACACACGGATGTTTATGTCTATCATGTGTTCATTAACAAAGACGTGTTGTTGCTGACAGACAAAAGATTGTCGTATCTCGAACATAATGATTTGTTTGGCGGATGGCGGGTTAGTGTATTGAGTATATTAAACAATTAAATGTAAAAAAAAAAAAAAAAAACTCAGTGTATTGCAATGTCTTTAATTGCTCCAGGTTGACTGGACTTACACCTGGAACGAATTCAGCGGATCACCAAAGATCGTGGATAGGGGTGTACAAATCTTTATGAAAGACACCAGTAGGAAGAAGAAGCTCGGTGGTCTGTTCGGTAGTGCCGATCAATCGAAAATAATTTTGATAATAGATCACAATATCAAAGAGGTACGTCATCCAGTAGTTTGTTTTCTTTTTTGCAAATCAGAAGCAATGCAACTTTATCACACAATGTTCTAATTTTTTTCGAATTGTTTGATGATTTCCACAGCTGTTGTGCAGCAAACTACAGGAGCAAATCAATCAATATGAAGTATAACGCGGCGCCGTACAAAAACACGCTTGAACATCTTATCGACGAATCAAAAGAGAAAAGAAAACGAACAAAAAGCTTCTTCCAAGACAAACTTTCTTCGCGAACGAAGTCGCACAATACATTTCTATATATACGCGCGTTTCTTATAACACAGTATTTATTAAGACTGACACTGCGCTATAACTTAGTCTTGAAAAAAAAAAAAAAAAAAAAAAAAAAAAAAAAAAAAAAAAAAAAAAAAAAAAGGGATAAAAAGACGATCAATGCTAGAGAGCAAAGAATCTTTTTCACTTTTTACCGTAAAAAAAACAAAAAAAAAAACTGTTCGAATCGCACCGAAATCGAACGTAAAATATTGAATTCCCACTGTATAGTCTTTTCTAAATGCTCCGTTTGATGCAAACGGAGCAAAGTTTAGTCGCAAAGAGAGTTACCATTGTAATAATATCGATATAAGAGAATTAACTTACTGTGAGTCTTATCAAGTCATAATTTATTGATCGAAACAATCTTAAACAACAACCGAAGTGATAATTTTAACGTTAAGTGAAAACAGGTTTCATTTTCTGATTCGTTCGATATCTAATAGTGCAGAAGATTATTTCTGTGCTCTTGTATTTACACATTTTTTTTTTTTTTTTTTTAACGTAACTCGCATTAATCAAACACTCTGCCTCACAACTGTTATTTTGTATAATTTAGAACAATTTTACGTATTGCATACGTACATTTTTTGCGAATCGTTCATCGCATCGAGAGTATCATGTTCGCTACTTAACGTGGTTGCTAATCCGTACGCTTAATTATCCTCCCCTTTCCCCGCGACGTTTGATGACGTTGTTTAGAGGATTTCTATCTCGAATGTTGCTCGCGCATCGAAAGTACACGCATATATTGTTACGATGTAATAAAATTCTATTACTTAAGCTTTAACATTTGAACGTGTGCACCAGTGATCACTTCTACCTCGTTTTATCAATGTGCGACACGTTAGTTCAATATATTATATATAATAAAGTTACATATAAAATAAAATTTATATATATATATATATTGAACAGAGAGATAATTGCGTATATATAAAACGCGTATACGTAATAATTAATCGGTACTTCACTTAAGATCTCTCAGAAGGAAAGACATGTAGAGATTTCTCGATCACAAAAAAAAGCGAAGTAATACGAAACTTGTGCAATTAACAATATTAATGTTTCGTGACCCGGCAGTCATTTTTGTCGCGCGTATGCGAAAAAAAAAAAACACCAATGAGCTTAGCCGTTTTAGCTGTGTTTTCTCGGTCCTTTTTAAAATCAATGTAATTTAACATCGTGTGTATATTGATTTGTAGTCATAGGTGACATCGAAGTGCTTTATTTTATAATATTATCCAAAAACGCAACAAATTCCAATATTTGTACAATTTTAAACGACTAAGCGCACTGTAACGAACGATATTAAAAAGTCTTTTTATTTTGCTATATATTTAAATAGATATTTTTATTACAATATATACAGTATATATATATATATATTATACGCGAGTGTAATCGTGAAGTGTTTATTGCGGTAAGTCCGAACACTCTCGGTAAAATACATTTCAAATCGAGAGAAAACGAATAAACAGCAAAACAAAATAATAATTGTCGCTTAATTTTACAAGAGAAAATAGAATATAGAATATAGAACATATGTTATCGTATAATACAAGTTTTTGTGCTTCCATAACACTTGGTTTAACAAATTATCTTAACTTCGCTTTAATTCCGTAAACAAATCATCAGAATTAATTATTTACATACGTGCTCTTTTTTTTTTTAAACGCGTGTATGTTTTATTATAATTCTTTCATTTGTTTTTAAACGTAGCTGCGTTGCAACAGATTTTGCATGTGTTCATTTGCATACACGAATATGTTGGTTAAGCGTCGCTCAACGAGAAAATCGAAAAAAGTGTGAAACTCGATAAACTTTAACAAAAAAAAGCTTGTCCAATGCGGTCCAACGATATCGAGGATCCGTATCAACAGGTTCCGCATCACATCCCGGGACCTCCGCAGCTACCACCGTTGGTCAAGGGGCAAAAGATCAAGAGCGTAAGTGACGTTTCGTTAATATGTCAGCAGGGGGTCTCAAGGGTCTTGAATTGCTACATCTCCAAAATTCCAATATTCACACCTTGCGATCATTTTCAACTAATAATCTGACAAAAATTATCCGATTTTAGGGACCGTACACTGTCACGGTAACCGACGAGATGGTGGCGCAAAGAGAGAAACAGAATCTGGAGCTCTATAAGGCGTGGGTGCGTGAGCAGCGCAGGTTGCAAATGTTGCCAGAAGATGATGCCAATGAGTACATGGGCGATTTCAAGGAAGCGGCGGTCAGAAGGATCTTCATTCGCAAAGTCTTCTGTCTGGTCACGCTACAGATGATATTCACCGCCGCTGTCATAGCCGTCTTCCTGTTCGTGTGAGTATTCCCGAAGAACATTTGTGTAGTTTTTTTAAATCTCTTCTTTTTTTTTTTCTATCTTTTAACTTTTTACTTCAATACGCGTGTTCGAATCAATCTTTGAGATTGATTTTTATTGTTTCTCGTTATAAATTTATCTTTCAGAGATGAAGCGCGACTGTTCATGATGATGCACTCGTATCTGTGGATCATTGCCATGTAAGAAAATTTGTTTTATTTTGTTTTTTTTTTGTTTATTCAAATTATTTTTTTTTACAAAAAATACATTGCGCTTATATACATATGTTGTTACAGGATATTGTTCATAGTGTCGCTTTGCACCATGGCCTGTTCGGAGCACGCTCGCCGAACTCCACCGTACAATTACATCTGCCTAATCCTACTGGTAAAATCTCAGCGGTTTTTGTTTTTTTTTTCACACACACAACGCCTCATCGTTTAAATTAAATATCGAATTATTACTCCGAAAAATACATTGCAGACAGTGGGAATGTCTTATCTAGCCGCCTTTGTATCCACAATTTATAGCATCGAGGTGATCCTCATTGTTATGGGCATGACCGCCGCTGTCACAACGATAATAGTTTTCGTAGCGACGTTCTCGAAGGTATTTTTTCATCTTTTCGGATACTTTTTTATTATTTAAAAAAATGTTTTACATACCAATTATTCACGCAGTTCCGTTTCTTTTGTGATATGAAGTTTATTGTTACTCTCAATATGTTATATCTCAAAATTACTGTCATTTAATATTTATATAAATGATACAACTGTGCAGTTCGACTTAACAATGAGACCGGGCTTGATGCTGATAGTCGGATTGGTCGCGATTGTGGCCATCTTTACAGTATTAATAATTCTGTTGTTCACTCACATAATGGTCTTGCGTCTTGTAATCGCCATCATCGGTACACTACTCTTGTGCTTGGTACATACAATTTTTACATATTTGGTTTTTCTAATCAATTCACCATTATCTATCTCTCTACCACCTGTACGAAAAATTATAAATGTTAATTCGCTGTTATTTATTTATTTTTTCGCACAATTTCTAGAACAAAAAAAAAGCATGAATTATTGAAACGTATTTGAATGCAAATCATTTTGTTTTTAGTACTTGTACTTTGACACGCAGACAATCATGGGTGGACGGAAGATAGAATTGAATCCTGACGAGGTTGTTTTCGCGGCCACGCATCTTTACATTGATATCGTACTGTTGTATCAATACTTATTGATGTTCATGGGATTCTTCCACGAGGGATAACACAACTGGATACGTTTATACATTAATGTACGCATATATTTTACATTTTACATTTGGAGGAACGCATGTATATATTACTATATAAAAATATAAATTTTATTTTTATACATTTTTCTATATATATAGTTTTTTGTAAAGAAAATATTTCGTCACTTCCTACGTTATAATATCCCGTAACTCCAAAACACAAATTTTAGAGAGCAGTTTAAAAGTTTCAAACTTCATATAGTTTCTCTAGTTAAGGGGATCTTTCGGTTTTAAATTTTTACCTTGCTTATGAATATTTTTTTTTTTTTTTTTTTTTAATATTTGGTGACCATAAAAAACATAACTTTTTAAGTGTCACTATGCAATAAACTGAAAATCCCGTATGTGACACTTATGTACAGCCGATTGCTTCATACCTCTCGATATATATATATATATATATATATATATATATATAGATATATATATATATATATATAGATATATATATAGCTATCCTCTGGATAAATTCCTCTGAAAACCAATAAGGAGAACCAATTTTGGGAGATATCTTCTAGATAAAGTTATCGAAAACTTATCTAGAAGCGAAAAAATTGGCCGGTAATCATACGTAGGGAGTGACGACTTGATAATTTTTTTTACGATTATATCTATATTAAGAATAATTTATATAAAATTCATCGCAATCACACACCCGTACGTGTACGATGTCTTTCGAAAGTGGAGAGGGTGTCTCTCTCTGTACACGTGACCGTAGGGAAAGAAAACTCTTTACTGCACTTTCGAAAGTCCATTTACAGCCAATTTTTTTCACTTCTAGATAAGTTTTCGACAACTTTATCTAGAAGTTATCACTCTATCTAGAAGAAATCTCCCAAAATTGATTCTCAGAGGAATTTATCCAGAGGATAGCTCTATCGAGAGGTGTGAAGAAATCGGCCGTTAATGCGCACACACGCGCACCGTAGTAAAATGTGTGTTGAAATAAAAAAAAAAAAAAAGTCAAATGCAAAAGTTCGCGCTCGAAAACTTCATCATTGAATTCGAGAGCGATTAATTTGGCATTTGGTAAAATTGTTTTTTTTTTTTTTTTTGTTTGTTATCAATCACGAATGTAATTGCCGTTGTTTTCTATAATCTTTTCCCAACGTTTCGGCAGCATGCGAATGCCTCGATCGTAAAACGACTTCGGTTTCGCGTTGAAGAAGACGGAAATATATTTTTTGACGGCTTCCAAAGACGTGAATTTTTTCTCATTCAAATCGTCCTGCAACAACGGAATCAAATAATAATCGGACGGCGCGAGATCGGGCGAATACGGGTGCGATATTAGATCCCAATTCAATTCCGTTAATTTGCGCAAGATCTGATTTGCGGTGTGCGATTTCGCGTTGTGGTGAAAAACGATATCCTTGCGATTGGTCAGAATTGGACGCTTCTCCTGAATTGCTATCTTCAAATTGTCCAATTGTTGACAACAATAATTTTCAGAATTAATCGTTCGATCAACGGGTAACAGCTCGTAATAAAGTATCCCTTCGCAATCCCACCAAACGGAAATCATCACTTTCTCGGGATGCGGATTGGCTCTTGTTGCGCCCTCCTCATCCGCTACTTCCCAGGTACGATTGCGTTGAACGGTGTTGTAAACAATCCAGTTTTCGCCGCCAGTTACCAGTCGGTCCAAAAACGATTCTTTGTTCAAACGATCGAGCAAAGAAACAGCCGCGGTAACTCGATTCGATTTGTTGTTCGCTTCGTCTAGCAATTCCGTCGATTGATCCGTCGATGATGCCGAATCTCTCACCCACTTGTCGAGCTTCAAAGTGTACCCGATCTTTTTCATACGCCTATACACGGTCATTTTGTCAACGTTGAGTCTCTTCGCAATCTCGCCCATTGAAATCCGTGAATTATTCTGGATTAAATTGCGCACAATCTTGTCGGTTACGCTGGAAGGTCGGCCGGAGCGCGGGTGATCGTCGAGATCGAAATCACCTCGTCTAAATTTCGTAAACCATCTCTTAACGGTTCGAAGAGCCGGCGCACGATCCCGATAGACATCTTGAATGTTTTCCACGGCAGTTTTAACTTTGACACCCTTCCGAAACTCATAGAGCATAACATGTCGCAAATGCAACTTTCCTTCGCTCATTTTTTTGAAGTTTGTGTTTATTTGGTTTTTTCTCACACAATGTGTAAATTCGGTCAAAACACACACACACACACACACACACACACACACACATATATACACAAACGTCTTTCTCGCTCGAACGATCGAATAATGTTACTTTTTTTTTTTTTATGTACGTACCAGGGGGTCGTAACTCACTCTTGCTAAAAAGAGGGGACTAGTTTCAGCGCCACCTACCCGTGTACCGTCGGAAATAGCGAACTAATGGGATATATATATAGCTATACATAGCTATATATATCTCGCACAATACCATACACATTTCTACT